CTGACTACGAAGTAGCGTATTTGTGCTCGTGTCAAATAGGGGGAGGGGGGAAGAGGGGTGCTTGGTGAAATAACAGTTTTTGCTGACCGACTGACTGACTGACTGATGTTATCTAAAAGCTGCTAGAAAAAGGCCTGCTGTGCTGTGGGCCGTCGCTCTAGTCTCGCGGCTGGAAAAGGACGGAAAAGACGGGTGCCGGGCTGTGGGGCCGAGGGCCGTCTTTGGACCGGGTCCGCGCCAAAGAAATTGGCCTCTGTCCGGACGGTCATGCTCCGCCGGTGGCCCCGCTTTTCGGAGCCGACTTTTGCGAGAGCACTCCAGTCTACATTGGATTCAGGTAGAGACTCGCTTGAAAAGTTTGAACTAGAGGTGGTCATGGGACGGCGGCAAGAAAGGCTCGGCCCAGAGCATGCACCACCCGGCAGCGGCATCGTTCAAGAGCTCAAACAACGTCGCCCCCGGATGTTAATCGTGCTTCGAAGCGGTGCTCTAATGGTCTTAGTATTATAATAAGAAATTATAACTTCCCTTAGCCTTAATATATAGAGATAGATTATCATTATATTGATATATATATATATATATAGCTCCCTTGGCCCTGCCTATATAGGGACCCCTTACCTAATTGACGGATGTTTCCCAGTTGAAGCATTGAATGAGGGGGGGGTCGACTTTTAGACCCCCTTATTAAGTTACTGGTATACGGTCCCGGCAGGCTGCTATTTAGTCAGCGCACGCGATTATCCGACGTGATCTGTGGTCCTACATCCCGTAGGGCTGACAACGTCCTCGCAACAAGTTTGCTATTGCGCCTCTTGGCGATGCAGCTCCTAGTGCCTGCAAATTGCCAAGGTGTGCCCCAACAGAGCCGGATGTTTTGTTCCGCCGCCGCCAAGATTCAGCAAAAACCGGGCGGCCTTGGACTGGCAGGGTGGCAAACCACTCAATCCCAGCAACGGTTGCTCAATATAGTTGAGCAACCGTCAACTCAATCAACTCAATCGAGTGTCTGCTGAATAAGCTTGTCAATTCAATTCATGCTCCCGTTGATTGATGGATTGATGAGATTGCCGTTGACGGTCAGGATCCTGTAGGGTAGGTGGCCAAGCGAAATGTAGGTACGGATTGGGTATATAGCTACCACTAACCTTACAGGTTACTCAGGCCCGTTGTAGGTAAGCCTCCTCTCCTCTTCGGGGAACAGGGCCCCCTGTTCCGTTGGAAGAGTCGACGCGCTGCGCGCATCGACGCGCTTCACAACAAAGTTCAATCTCTCGCCTCAGTTCCACTTCCACTTCTCGATTCTTCCACAACGCCTTGGCTGATCTAAACATTCCTATATGCAATGAGCGAATCTCCTGAGCCTTCTTCTACTCCCTTGCCGCCATCAGGCGATTCGGGCGACTCAGGCCCGTTCCCCATCTCGAGTGGGATGCCTTCCCCTGGCATCACTTCCGCGGCTATACCAAGTCTCAACGCGCCGGCAAGCTCAAATCGTGGATCTGGAGCTTTGGGTTCGACATTGAACATCAAGCTAACGTAGATAATCGCCTCTGGGTCTGTGAGCGGTGTTTACCGAAGAAATCGCCGAAGGGACCCGTGAGCTTCGCGGCAAAGGGGACCCTAAACATTGAGCGCCATCTACATGATGCTCACAATGTTATTGACCCATCAGGTAGACGGTTACCGAAGGGTTCTACAACCAACAAGCGTTCTATTGCCCAATTCTTCAACCTCGATGCCAATGACCAGAAGGAGCAAGCATTCATTAACAAGCTAAAAAACCAATTCGATAAAGATGTCTTCCAATCTCTTGCTTGCTTGGATCACCGAGTCGAATGTTGCCTTCCGCGCAGTTGAAGCCCCTCGATTCCGGCGTCTTCTCGAATACCTCAATCCCTCGATCGCCCTGACTCAAGCCCACATGACACACTCGACTATTCGAACGAAGCTTTTCCAAGAATACCACCAGTACAAGCATATTGTGATAAAGGAACTGAGGAGCGCCCGGGCAGATACACCTTGCGTTTGACGGCTGGAGATCGCCCCATCGCTATGCGCTTAATGGGATTGCTGCGTTCTATCTCTAAGGAAAAGCGGCCACAGAAGATCATCCTTGGGCTCCTGAACTCCGAGAGTCTCATACTGGCGAGAATATAGCGTCGCAGGTGGCGGAAGTGATCGAATCATTCGAGATTCAAGACAAGATCGGGTATTTCACGCTTGACAATGCGAAGAATAACGATACGGCGGTAGCAGCACTGGGACACGTTTTTAATTTTGAAGGGAAGCAGAGACGGGTCCGCTGCTTTGGGCATATCATCAATCTCGTGGCCAAAGCGCTGCTCTTTGGCAAAGATAATGAAGTCTTCAAATCAGAAGAGCGACTCGACCTGGACCTTGCTCGACATGATCTCTGGCGGAAGAGGGGGCCTATTGGCAAGCTCCACAACCTTGTCCACTGGATTCATCAATCGGATAGGTTAACGTACATGCTTCGGGATCTACAACGCAAGAGGGACAGTACGAAGAAACCAGTTGACGTTGTAACGGATAACATGACACGATGGTTGTCCCATTATAAGATGATGGATCGAGCCTTCTACTGCACGACTTTCTTGACGACCTCGTCGCATTGGAACAGTTCGAATATACCCGAAGCAGGTCAAAGAAGAAAGACATGCCTGCATGCTCCGAGATTCTGACCTGCTGACCGGTAACGACTGGACAGTGATCAGCCACTTTCGGAATATTCTTAAGCACTTCGAAAATGCCATCAAGGCCCTCGAGGAGATGCCCAGATTCGGGTGCGTAAGGGCGGCAACCTCGTGGCATACGGAACAGCATGGGATATTATCCAAGCATTCGAATATCTCCTTGAACGATTGGAAGAGGCAAAGGAATTCGCCAAGGATGTGCCTGATTCCGAGCATTTCGCGATAAACGTCGAATTGGGGTGGAAGAAGTTGGAGAAATACTATATCAAGTTGGTTGAGTGCCCGGTATATTATGCTGCAGTCGCTCTCCATCCCGCCTTGCGACTGCAATGGTTTGAGGAGGCTTGGGCTCATCGACCTGAATGGGTCCTTGAGGCACGACGGATTGTTCGGGGCATCTGGGAACGCGACTATAAGTCATTAATTCTCAGCGATGACGAGGCTATTCCGATGGTTAAACGTCGAAAGGTTGACGACTTGAACGAGTTCCAACAGTTCCGACTGAGGCACCGGCTACAAGCTGGTCAGACGGCCACAACCCGTCGGGCCACCTACTGCCGATGAATTCGATCGCTGGACTGTTGATATCGGCGCAGATGACGGAGACATCACGGATCCGTTCCAATACTGGCAACTCAAAGAGTCAACGTATCCCAGACTTGCTCGAATGGCCTTTGATATGCTATCTATACCGCCAATGTCAGCAGAGTGCGAGAGGGCGTTCTCATTTGCTGGGCTAATGGTCACACGACTACGCAGCCGGCTTCAGGCTAACACGATCAATGCAGGCCAGGCAATTCGGTCTTGGCTGAAGGCAGGGCTAATACCCGACTACCAGGGATTATTGATGCTTCAGTCGATGACGATGTCTTCCCGAAGAGGTGCCCCACGAAGGACGAGAAGTTGATGGTGTTGAGGACCTTAAGTAGCTTACTAATAGGTAGGGTAGGGCATCAACTCCGTCAATCAACGCAATCAATTCAACGAGGGCTTGGATTGCTCAACTCAACGAGAGGTTCGCTGATGTAAGCCGTCAATCTACTCAATTTGACTCTTTGGTTGAGTTGATTGAGTGGTTTGCCACCCTGTGGACTGGTGATGGTGCTTTCTTGCTCAGTGAGGGTTTCAAGCGAGGCAAGCTCGGGCTCAGCCACCACCCCCTCCTCCCCCGCCCGTTCGCGGAGTAGAGTGAACCTTAAAGGATATTGCCTTTTTTGGGGAGGGGAGGGTGGTTGGGTCGAGCAGGAGAGAGCCGCGCCAGTCACACTCACACTTGGTTCACTTCGTAGCAGATGTAGCAAAGTGCCAAAGAGAAGAGGCTAAGTTGATAGTAAAGGTTTGGCGGATGGTAGAGTGATAGAGTGGTAGGCTATACGAATAGCGGCGGTGGAAGCGTTAGCAGAGGTAGCGGGCAGCAGAAGGAGAGAGCAGAAGAGGGCACCTGGAGTAAAGCCCCCTTACCACCTATATATGAAGGTGCAAAGACTGCAATGGAGCACCTCTCAAGATCTCAGCCACAAACCTGGAAACCGCGTGCTAAGCAGTACGTCTTTTGCCGCCCAATCCACACTATGACAAAAGTCTTTTAATCTTCGTCGTTTACAGAGCCCTACATCGCATACACCAAAACTCGTAGGGAATATCAAGTCTCTCGGATTATATCAATAGATACAGGGGGCATCTGAAGCGAGTGCATGCAGGCTTGTAGTAGGATAGGCGTCTCAGTAGGCAGACAAGCAGAAGGGGCCGAGGATTACTGGGCGTATGGTGACACCTCTGCGGAGTCGGCTTGACGCTGAGATTATCGGCATATGCTAAGTTTTGCGGTCGTGGCTGCGGGCTGGAATGATTGACAATTCGGATGCATTCTTATTCTCGGTGGAGGGTGTCGGTCGCGTTGAGGCGTCAAATTCTACTCCATAGATCGTAGGATCCGAAGAGCAAGGGGGGAAATAGGCTCGCTTCGGCATTGACGTCCTTCAATCCACTCCCATTCAACTCAGTTTCGCCCTCAATTGATCAACTCAATTGGAGAAACCAATTGCCCAAGGCCGATTCACCGCGATGGGGTCGCTAAAATGATTAAATTGAGTGGTTTAGAACCGGTACGGTTTATTGCTGGTTGATCCCTTGCCTATTCTGTCTGGGAAGCCCTAATGCACAATGCATAGGGAGAGTGAAAGGGGAAACGTCGTCCATTCAACTAAGCTGTGCCTGCCTCTTCCTTATGAAGGGGGCACAGGTCGGACTGTCTAGTGATAGCCGTACACCCTGGCTTTAATGTTAGTTACGGTGAACCTCCATAATAGGTCCCTTGTACTCCTTCTTTGCCCAAGTCAGATAATATATCACGCTGAAAATCACTACCGCGCCAGTCATCAAGACACTCCAGTTTGTGGTAGCCAGGGTCGTAGGCGTGCTTGGAGGCCAGAAGCTGAAGAACCATATGATGACCATGTAAAGGCATGCAAACATGTTGTTGACGATGCCGAAAACACCAGGGACGTGCCACGGACCCCAAGCCAGTGTCTGGCCTTGACCAGCAGCCGTGTTGGCGAGAGCCGGTAGTGCACTAGGGTCGGGAAGTTTAAACCCCTTTCCGCAGCGGCGGTAGAGCAGGAGGCCGGCCGCCATGAGGTACGAGGAGTAGAGACCCGTGACAGCAATAGAGACAAGCGCGTTGTAGACGACTGCAGATCCAATGTTGACAAGGCCAAGCAGGCAAGAGATTACACTTGTAGTGCCGATGGCCCAGACAGGGACATTCGTCCAAGGATCAACCTGTCATTTGCGTTAGCCTTTGCCTATTCAGAATATTCTTTGCATAAAGGTGAGAGGAGGTCACTTTTGACAAAGTCCGCCAGAAAGGTAGGCCACGATCTCTGGCAAAGGCCCAGAACATTCGAGAAGTAGCGGCAATGACGCCAACAATGGCAAAGAGAGTCATGATAAGTATGAGAGACGTCAAGACAGCAGTCCCACTCATGGATCCTGTGGCCTGGTAAAAAATTTCAATGAAGGGATAGCCGGATTTAGAGCCGATGGCCCTGTCAATATCGGTGGCGCCGTAAAGCATAGCAATGATTATGGCTAGGCCCATCATGCCATTGATGACAATACTGATCATGATCGATTTTGGGACGGTCACGGAAGGATTTTCAACCTCCTCACACATCTGTAAACTATTGATTAGCTCATTTCCCGGTAGAGCTCGCCTAATGGATGCATTGAATCGGGATTTCACGAATGGGGCTTTACATGAAAAGAGCAGTCGACACCTACGAAGAAACCACGGATTAGCATATCAGAGATGGGGCCCGATCACAGAATGGGGACCTTACCAGCAAAAGAGAAGACGTATCCTAGTAGCCCAACAAACCACGAGAGCGCTTGAGTCGGCCAGGCGCCTGTGTTGCGGAACTCGAGGAAGACATGAGCTGCATCGCCATGCGCGCCAAGAGTGACCAGCGTAATTAGCACAGCAAAGAAGCAGACGATGTGCAGAACCAAGACCATGCCCTCAATCTTAGGAAGCATGGAGTTGACAAGCGTGTTGATCAGAACAGCGACAAGGATGCACAGCCAGAGGATCAACGTTCCCTGCCATGTCCGAGGAGTGTATGACGTTGACATGAAGACGACCAAGCCCTGAAGTATAGTACCGAGAAGGAAACCACCCGAAGCAGAAGTGCCCTGCCATCCTGCCAAGGTCAACCATCCAGTGATATAGCTCAGAAATTTAGAGCATGACCGAGGGGCCAACATGGCTACCCAGTGGTACTGGCCACCGGATGTAGGGGCGATAGAGACAAGCTCGCAGAGGGTAGAGAAGACGCTGAGATTGCCGATCCAGACGAAGATGAAACCATAGACGAGACCAGCAGGGCCACCATTTTGCAGACCGGGAGCGAAGCTCTGGAGCATGCCTTCCCAGGTGATGAGGATGGCGCAGTTGAATCCCAGAATGGACAAGAAACGAAAATTTCGCTCAACGAAGACGCCCCGTTAGCCTAGAGCGCCAAGCAAGATGGCGGGCAGAGTATAAATGTGAAGCAGTCTCTGAATGAGGCATTTTACCTTGAGAACCGACTTCTTACCCAATCTCGCCAACTGCTCGCGATCTTGGTCCTCGCGATCGGAGACGCCGGAGACACATCCAACGTTGTGCTCAGCGCTCTTCACCTGACCCATGTCGCCGAGCACGAGACTGTCACTTCGAATTCTCATACCGATGCGATGGAGGAGCGCGATCTGGGATGAGCAGTCGATTAGAGTCAAATGTGAAGCGGCAAGATGACGAGTGCCAGCGCGTCTTGCAGAGCACCGTCTGATCAGGCGACCTCGCGTTCAGGGCCGGAGGGGGTAGGATGCAAGGGATGAGCAGGAGAAAGTTAGGCGTTGACGCATGAACAAGGGTCGTGGGTTTACAGTACAGTGGAGACGCGCCGACAGGACACAAATATATGGAGAGCAGAACCACCCATTCAACCAGACGACGGCGAGCAGGAGTCACGAAAATGTGAGACTAATACTGTACAGTTGTGCTGACAGGCGAATCGGGCAAGCACCGAGAAGCTAGCCATTTCAATCGTCGAGTTCGTCCTTTTTGTATCCCTGACCGCGATGGCTGGGTCATTGTGAACGTATTTGGCTCTGGAGTCAAAAGCCCAGCAAAGCATGAGCGCCCCAAACGGTTTTGCCTGTGCACACTGCGTCTACTTAGGCAGCCTTCACACATGTGATTAGTGATCCTCGCCATCTACGCAGTCTTTCCTATGGTCGCTCATTCTCACCATGACGTTCCCATAGTACATGTAGTGACGACCCAGCTGTAGGCAAGACACCGACAGGCTGCCTCCTTGCCCCAAGCTTGCGGTAGATCGCCAATCATCATCTGCCCAGACTAAAGGGGGCATTTCTGGTACGGGGAGCGGGTAAGCATGACGTTCTTACGTTACTCGATCTGCGCTCAACCCCGGACGCAGCGCCTGAGCCACACTGAAGCAAGCTAGCGCAAGTGAGGAGGGGAAGGCAGGAGCTGGAAGATGCAGAGGCCTCGGCAAACTTAAGACAGAGTATGCGAAGGGAACGTAAATTGTGGTTAATGTGCTTTGTCTACGGAAAAGGCGTGGAGCGAGAGCGTCACAGAGACGTCGTCGCTCTGGCCGTTGGCCGGCTGGCAGAGGAGTAGAGATACAGTAGCGATGGCCCGCCAGGTAGTTAGATTCGTATTGATGTTTAATTCCCACCCATTCTGCCTTTTATCGCCAGACGATAGATAGCCCAGAGTGCTCCATCCGTCAAACGCAAGACGGCAGATCACTCCAGCCATGACTTCTCTCGAAATGGCGGCAAATCAGACCTCTTAAAGTGGACAGTAGATCGTTATGGGAAATGAGCTCCGCATGTCTGCTGCGTTCCCGCTGCTAAAATTGCACCGTTCGTTACGCGAAAACAATCCGAGATAAGAACGAACAGTCACCCCCTATTCGTATAGCCTGCCATAGGCACACGTACAACGGCTACCCGATGGTTTTTGTACCAACTATCGCCGAGATCCGCGTACGGCCGACATAAAAACGCCGCATAATGTGTGTGCATTCGTTTCTTCTCTTTCGTTCTTCAGATAGTTCTCGTCGGTCGATTAGGCTCCTAGTGCTGCATTCTCCTTTATTGTTGTGGAAACCCCAATGATGGGACCCCAACTATGGCACGGGATTTTATACAAGCTTCTGTAGAAATCCCCCATCCACGAGTCCGTGTCTGAATAATCCGGTCACCCTGAATGGATCTCTTATGGTGATATGCAGCTGTACTCATAAGGAAGATTCCATGGCGTTCTTTCGCTCCACGACACGTCTAATTTCACAGGATCTGGCAATCGCTTGCCAACCGTAACTTACAGTGACGGCCAATACGGCTCAATATCCGAGCTTTAGTGGTTTTGGGAAGTAATCAGGTCTGGCAACTGTTCACAGCCCCGTCTCTTATAGCTGAGAAAGCCCCTAATCAATACGCTGCACCCCATTCCAGTCCCATGGCCTGGTCTCCTCCCGAAGCACTGCGGGCATATTACCCCAGCTCTCAACTCCTGGCGGCGGATTCGTGGCTGGGAACCAATCTGTGGTCCCGAAAAATTCTCTAACAATCTGTTTCTTTATCGGTTTGCCAGAGACGGTACGTGGCAGCTCTTCTTCCTCGCACATGATCCGAAGCAGAGCAGGCAGCATAAAAGCAGGCAAACTTCTCCCCAGATCCAATCTGATCCGAGCCAAAGTTATTTGCTCTGCTGGCGCCGAATGAAGTCGAAGCCGAACGACCGCTCCGCATAGCTCTTTCGCTTCGTAGTCTGGCACCGCGACGACGCATGCCTCAGCGATATATGGCAACTCTATCAAGCTTCCCTCTACCCTCAACGTTGAGATTTGATAGAAACGGAAGAACACATCTGCGTGGTGGTTTCAGCGTATTTCTCTCCCCAGGGAATGTTACGTGAAGAACACACAGTCAGCATTTGATCGGCCGGCAAACACGAATTCGCCATCTTTGAGATAGGCAAGATCTCCAGTCTTGAAGTACCCTTCGTCATCAAACGCATCGCGAGTTGCCTCCTCCTCACCGATGTAGCTGTCCCGCACAATGATCATCAGTCAATTTGCCCCGAGATTCAATCCAGTTCGTTATGGCACGCACTGTGTAAGCATGTTTGGGCTCTTGACACGAAGCTCCCCGTGGTCTCCTTCTGATAGCTTAACATCGATGCCGGGCAAGGGGGTGCCAATCGAATTCTTCTAGCCGTTAAGTTCATCGCTCACTCCTAGGTGACATGGCCGAGCACTTACCTTGATCCCCGAGATCGCCCGTGTTGCAGGCCCTCCTAACTCCGTTGAGCTATAGACATTCTCGAATGGCAAGCCCGTCAAATCTGTCCAGAATTGCATCGTCGTCGGGCCAAGTATCCCGGCGGCGCATCTGATCGTGGGCAAGCCTTTGAAGTAATTGGAGTATTTCTTCCGGCCCTCCTTGGATAGCTCCCCGCTTCCGTCTGTCATTAAATCCTTCATCTGCCGCAACACCAGCGGTGTGAACGTGGCGTGAGTGATCCGGTGAGTTTTGAAGGCTTCCAAGACGGTGTCGGCGCCAGCTTTCTCTCCAAGGTCGTAGAGCTTCGTTCCCGTCACCACGGGCTCGATAAGACTCCTCGCCCCGCCAATCCAGTGACCTGGACGGTAGTTGATGGCGGCGCTGCCAGGTTCAGCCAGTTGTGCATAAGCAAAGCATCGTTTCGGTAGCACCGTGGCTTTCGGGAGACCGGTGGTGCCAGAAGTAAACAGCACCAGGCCTGGTCCGCCCGAGTCCACCGGGAGACTGTCCTCAATCGCGATGTCAGCATTCCCGAGGGGCTGCGCATCGCTCGAGATGGGCAAAAGCGTCAAGGATTCTGAGTCCTTTTGCTCACTGAGATAGGCGCATATCTTCTCAGCCCTGCCGAAGCAGTCTTTGCTTGCCAGCATACAGGTTGCTTTCGTCTTGGAGAGGAAGTAGTAAGCTTCTTCGGGGAGGATGCCGGAACCTAACGGGACACATGGTTGGTTTCGTCATTGACGCCGCGATACCCGACCATCACTCACCAAAGGTCATCCAGGCACCCCCCATGGCTCGGATGGCGAAGAAGGCGACTATCAACTCGTACCCGCTCCGTGCGAGAACAGCAACATAAGGGACGGCCTCGTGAAAGAAACCTTGCTCGCCTACCGCCGATGGTGGGAGTCGCGCGCGAAGGAGATGGCGCATCTGCATAACATCGCCCAACAGCTCCGGGTACGTCTTCTCAAAGCCAAAAGCATCGTGTACGATGGTTTCCGAGCCAGAAATCTGACGAGATGCTGCGAGCAGCCTGGCCAAGACCGGGTCCTGCGGAAGCTTTTGCGGGTTTCCGGCTGCCATGATCCGTTCGTTAGACGGTTGAAAGATCAGTTCAGGCAACTGTTTCTCGGAACAGCAAGGTCGGGGCGACTGACCCTGTGCTTCATTTTTAGGGCATGGTTGGGGCTGATGTCGATTGTTAACTTTTCCGTTGGGCTGAAATAGACATAAGGCCACATATCTCGCAGAACAATTTGAACAAAGGGCTGCATAAACTCAGACATACATAGCCTTAGTGTCCCCAGCACTACGTACACCTGCCAAGAGACGCAAGGCGTGCTGGCGCAATCACAAAGGCGGGAGCACATATGCCTGGCCTCTCTGGCTCCACAAGAGCGAGACATTCAGCAGTCGCTAATTATACCTTTAGATGAAATATCTTGGCAATTCGGCAACCCTGAAGTCATGTTTGATGTTGAGCGGCTTGCCCTTTTGACTGCGGACGTTGGTGTTCCCCGAGATGTGTCTGGGTCAGTCCGTGCTTTCCAAAGTCGAGCTGCCGTTAGACAGCGAGACCTTATTCGAACTCACTACTAGCTTTGAAGTACGACTTACCATGGTTCGCATGTCCATCTATTAAGACAATTACGCCATTGTGTAACTCTACTTTGTAGTGGTTCTTGAATCATTTCGTTCGAGGTTCGTTATTCGCGAACCCTGACGGTCCACTTTAGCATTAAGTTAGTCGCCTTTCAACCTCTCTGGCTCTCGACGTCAGGCTTCGGTATCCGTTGGGCCGAGCATGAGCAACTATCCTCGACTTGAAATAAGGGCAGGTGAAACGGCGGCAAGCCTCATAGCCTACGTGCTCGACACTCGGTGCCATCAAGGCCCGACGGACTTATTTAACCCGAACCCCATGGGGCTCTGCAGTCCCCAACCAAAACAGGCGGGAGCCAATGGATAGGCCCACGGCTTATTTACCGAGGGTAAAGGAACCTTACCCAGTTATCATCTGGAAGACATGTCCTAGCTATCGTGATAAGACGATGACTTGGCACATCTTTGTCTTGCCATCAAGTCATTTTGGCTCAGCCGAGATCGCTTCGTAATTGAGCACGCAATACAAGAAACGCATAAATGGGTCCTGATACCGCTCAGAGTTGCGGATCCTCCGACCGTGTGACCGACTTGCGTGCTCGTTCGGCTCTTAGAATTGGTCGAAGAATCGCGGGAGGTTGCAATGCGTCAATAGGTCTGTGGGGATGGGGAGCTCCCGTCCAATAACATGGATGGGAAATTAATAGATCGATCAAGCGCTGCGACTCGGGTTCATGTATCGCTGTCTTGAGATAAGGCATTTCCCCGAGTGCTTGTGGGCAGGCCATCAAGTTCCGTAATCCGTATATAAAGGTGGAAACAAATTTGACCTCTCCCTCGATATTGGGCCTTGTATGTTACATGTTGAATCCATATCGTCAGTCTTTGTTGAATACACTACCTTTGGCTTTGCCCGCGATTCCGATCAGCTCTCGACAATGGAAAAGAGGATGATATTTGCGGTCCTCCTCACGCTTCTGGAGATCGCCACGGCCCAGTTGAGGGTCCGCAAGGCATCCGTTTCGGTGCGCAACAATACCCCAAGGCCGCTTCAAGAAGTCTCCGTGGTGCACAAGTACAGCAGCGTTTACAAACACAATCACACATGGCCAATCATCCAGCCGGGCGAGCGGGCCGAGGACCGCATGGTAGTTCAGTATCACACCGGTTTCGGCACCATCGGGGTAGACTGGTGGGCGATTACCTGGGTCGAACTGGAGCAAAAGACGTCTTACGTCTCCAAGCCCCTCAACTTCCGCAAGATCGTTGACTACATGGAGAAGTTTGCTCCAAGGACCATTTCCGCCCTGGCCAGCACAGCCGCCGGAATTGCCACAGTCGAAGCCGGCCCTGGTGCCATGGTGGCCGCCGCCGTTGCCGCCGCCGTAGCTTCTCAGCAAGTTACGGAGTTTTTGTTTAGCTCGGAAAGCACCGATGGATTCAAGCAACACATGCTAGAGCGAGAGGATCAGAATACTCTGACTGAGATTGTCATCGAAGCGGATGGCACCATCGCTTTTAAGTCAAATTCCGGCAACTCGTATACCGTCAGCGAAGCATTGACGCCTGCGCCAGAACCCAAGCAGGTGGATATGAGCCGGGAAGACCAGAGTCTGAACGACGCAGCACACAGAGTCATGGAACTCCGAGACACAGCTCCAGACAGCCAGGAGCTCGAATATGCCGACTTGAAGTTCCAGGAATCTATGGAGAGTTGGCTCCAAGAGTGGAGGGGACAGAACTGGTAACAGTGGCCGAGAAAATGGAAAGCGGAGAACGGAGCTGTTCACCAGTCGGAGAACGGTCCTTCCCCAGCGGTCAAGCATTCTTCTTCTTTGTCTCCTTTTTTATCGGCCAGCCTGTCTTTTCCATCTCTGCCTGTACCATCACATTTTTGTCCGTGGTGACCGCTTGGCCAGAAAACTCCACCGTTTTGTAGAAATGCGCAACGATACCCACTTCGATCATCAGGCTCATACAAATGACTTCGGTCTCCGTGGAGAACATAACTGTCAGGTTATTTGTGAATTATTGCCGGTGCTATGTTGTAGCGACATACGAAGCTCGACGCCCAGCTCCTTGAGCACATCGCCACTCTCGTGGAGGTCGTCCCTGGCCAGCAGCCGCTCGTCCCTGGCTTCAGGAGCACCTAGGCGTGCCGGAGCTGCTCGGTCCACCTAACATGAGAGACGTAGGTATGACAAGCCACCTAAAACACTAGAAAATCGATCAAATATCCTTGAAGATATTTTCCAGCTGAGTTTTGAATGGATGGTTGGGAGAATCACACAGACAACTGAAGGGCCCCTGAGCTGGCTAGGACAACTGACAGCCATTTCCTAGATGGCTCATCTAAGAGGAGGATTTCCGTCGACGATTGTCAAGAGAAAATACCTCAAGCATGAAATCCCTTGAACATCCTTTTCAGCTACTTGATCGTAAGCATTCTTCCAAATGGCCGCCAAGTATCATATTCTCGAATAATATGAGACATTAATAAAAAAGCACCCTAATTTTGAATAGAGAAAAGGGGGGCCGTCAGTCGGTCTGGACTGTTTCAACATACAAGGCCGTAGTCCTGTTAGTCTTCAAGATTTAAACAATCCTATTGCACGGCTGACATCTTTAAAATCGAATGCGTTAGTATCTGCCGACGGCGGAACTTCGACAAGACTCGACAAATGGTTCAAGTGGTCTCGAAATGCTCTTCATGCTATCCCGGTTGCCTTTCGAGGTGCCGGGCTATGGACTTGATACCCTCACACACGACTACGGTGATATGACCGCTAATACTCCCTCACGACTGACGTGCAACCCGAGAACGTTCCAAGGTCGGGTCTTATTGTACACAGCCACCATCGTGAAGAATACTTAATCGGTCCGCGGACTACTATTACCGAAGGCTCCTCGCCCATCTCAAACGTCAGGATCATCTTCTAATAAAACGAAGTTACTACATGCTCTCGCTCGCCTGAGTTTGGGGTGCGTCGGGAAGACCTGGTGATCTTAGTCACTTGATCTTTGCGTGGGAGTTGTGCATACCAAGTGTTCCGCAACGGACGTGATATGTAAACGTGGGCTTTCCTTGACACCGATATAATTGGTAAATGAATTTCATGCTGTAATTTTTAAGGTCATACTTTATACTCGGCGGGCAAGATCACAGCTTTGCTTTAAGCTCCTTCCTACTTTAAAATAGAGAGCAGGGCTACCGGAAATTTCCGAGTTTTCCAAGCAAACACAGTCGTACATGAATGAGCTGCTATGGAATGTTATCCTGTCAGTTAGAGCTCCAACTCAGGTGGCGTGTCGCGTGTTGTTGTCAGAATTGGAGGACTCTGTGGCTCTGGACATTGATTGCCCTGAGCAAGCTTGCTTGGCGTACTGTATTAATAGCAGTACTTCTATACGAGACATGGGATTTCCGAGAATAAGTGTTAATTATATACATTAGCGGATATGATCGAGGCAGTGACATCGGGATGGCCGAAGCGGGTGGAGATCTCGCCTAAGATTTGCCGATCAGCCCCTTGGGTGGCTTAGTCTGTCAGGGGCAAGGATTCACAGTCCAGAACTTCCTGGAGCTCATCCACAAGACTATACGGAGTTCCCGAGTGTCGTCATGCAATCGAAGCCTCTAATGGCATTCGAGGGGCCGAGATCGAAGGGCTGAATTGAGAACAAGCCCACATCATCAGGTGCCGCGCTATGTTGAGAAAGCATGCAGGCAAGCCCACATCTCTCCGACTTTCTTCAGACTCTCTCATAGTCCTGAAGTACCTGGAGGTATGTTCACGAATATTGAATGTAGAAAGGGGCCTTCTCACGTGCTAACTGAGTGCTCGCGCCGACGTGCCGCCCTCAAGAATTCGAAACTTGTTCAATTTAAAGGGCCATTAAAGGAGAGAGTTACCCTCTAGTGTGAACGATTCCCAACTGCTTCAGAGCAAATGAATGACGATGTGTAACCCCAGAGTCTCAAACTTCCCCACAAGGCCCAGTGTGACGACGCCGCTCTTGATTCTACTTGACATTGATAACCAGCAGAGACAACTTCAGAGCACGACCTTTGCTCTCCCCCAAGGAGCCAGGGGCAAATTTAGTGAGAGTAGCCGGGGTCATGAGGAATGCAGTAGGGGCTCTTGCTCGGTTCGTAGAATCTGCAGACGGTCTTGGGAGGGCAATTGCCCGCAAACTAAGGAGAGAAACATCTTGTCAGTCTTCAATCCCACTTCACGGTTGAGGATTTGCAAGTCCGGGCAGATACGTACGACCCATTTGCCGCTCACGTCGCAGACCTGCCACCCGGACTGATCCAGGCACTGGTAGGTGCCGGGAGTGCATTCATAAGCCGACCTCTCGCCGACAGTGCCGGCGGCGGCGAAGGACGAAAGAGCGGCGACGACGGCGAGGAACTTCATCTTGTCGAGTGTCAAGTGGGTTTCTGTGTGGTCTTTGGTAGAGAAAGGCTGTTCTGAGCTGTCTTGTTGCTGTTGTGGTGCTGGTGCTGGTGCTGGTGCTGCTCAGAAAACATGCAACGTCGAGACGAACTCGGGTTTATATAGATACTCAGACCTCTAAACTCGAATAAAAGACCCCAAGCAGAGGCGCACGATTACCTTGCAAGACGGGCCCGATAGCCTCGTACGTCAGCAATACGAATCGCAGCCCACCCGTATACGAACGGCACGCACTCTCGCGTTCAACTGCGCCTCCCCACCATGACACGGCCTTATTTTCATCACTTGTCTTCCATGTTGGTTTGAACGGCTGGCCATGTGAGACCACGAGCCGGGCTTTGGAGGTCGCGCCACCAGGTAAAGTACAGCCAGCCTCGTTGCTCTCAACTCAATTCAGCTCTTGGGTCAATATCCGAATTCTCTCCTATCTATCGTCAGCGTTTGGTCCATCTTTGACTACTCACCAGAGCGGGGCGCGCATTATTCTTCCTGGGCAGCCGAGAATATTGCCTCGCCGCTTCAGCTCGGCTCCAAGCGTCATAGAATTTGCATCGCATTCGAGCCCCGATTCTGTCAGGACAGCGGCGGCATAGAACAAAGGCCGCAGGGGACACGTCATCAAACACCAAGCCATCTCACAGCAAACGATTGAGCATTAGAAAGAGGCACGGAGCTGAAAACATCTATTGGGGCTGGTGACGTTTTCTTGTTGCTGACCAACCTCGCAAAATAAGCAGCGCAACGAGACCGGACGCATGGCTGAGCTGTGTAACTACGAGGCGGATGAGGGATTGAGGCAGAGTCATCGTTTGCGGGAATCGGCATAAGAGCACGTGAGGGTATTGGGTGCCCTGACGGCTAGGCACAGAGACATGCTTGGCAGTGTTGGTGTGTCGACGCTTCGATACGAATTATTTGGAGGCAACAACCACTGTCAGCCCCGGGGCTGAAATGCCCGCTGAGCCGCGCCTATGTACTTGCTCACGAGATGCAAGATGGATTTCCTGCTTGGCAGAAAAGAGGCTCGGCGAACGAGTCATTTCTCGCAACGTGGACGTTGGTTGCCTTGCAGATGTGAGACCGGACTTGACTAGGCGTGGCGGAGGACGGCTTGAGACATTTCAGTTCCGCCAAGGTCTTCTTCGGGAGAACAGCGATGGCATAAACCTGCTCGACTTTGAAGAAAGTTGAACCCACATAAACGCTCGGAATTGATGTCCCCAGCGGCCTCGATGTAGAAACTCGGCTACCCAACGTGCCCCCTTTCTCTTCAACTCGCCGGTCATCAATCGAGCAGCTCTTTTTATATGTATCGCACTTTTATCATTCGCAGGTTGCGTAATCGAGTTTACACCTGGATTCGCCCTACGTCCTGGAAGTAGTGGAATATTTCAACATGTCCCGAGAGTACCAACTTCAAAGAACGTGAGCGGACCTGGTCGGTACGGGGGGGCTTTTTTAGTTTAAGGTCATGCTCGAAAACATGAGCGAGGCTAGACCAGCTGAAGCGAACATGAATACTCAAGAGGGCTTGTTGTTGTTATTGTTGTCCTGGGCCCTTGCATGTTTGAACTGGGTATGAATCACCTTGGATATCAACACCGATTCAGGGCTCAACTGTCTTGTATATGAGAGTGCTGCCAGATCCACGGATAGGATGGAAAATAACTACCAATGGGTGAATGAATGCATAATGATGTAGTTGAGGAACAAACATGCACGCATGGTCACTAGGGTTTGGGTTAATTACTTTAGAGTCTGGGTGGGGTGCACAGAAATGCCCCTCCTCGCCTCAATCGTCAAGACGCCACCCAATCCTGAAACGATACGCCGACAAAGCAAGAGCCAGCACGCCGACGTCGCTCCCTTCGCAGACCCAGCAGCAGCAGCAGCAGCAGCTCGACTACCAACCTCCCCCTCCCCCGCACGAACAAGGAGAGATCGACGTCGCCGCCGCCGCCATGTCCTCGTCGGCCGCCGTCATCTCCGCCGACGACGGCTCCGCCCTCGAGCCGACGCTCCAGTCGCTGCTCGACCAGCGCTCGCTCCGCTGGATCTTCGTCGGCGGCAAGGGCGGCGTCGGCAAGACGACGACGTCGTGCTCCCTCGCCATACAGCTCGCCCGCGTCCGCCGCTCCGTCTTGCTCATCAGCACCGACCCGGCCCACAACCTGTCCGACGCCTTTTCGCAAAAGTTTGGCAAGGAGGCCCGCCTCGTCCATGGCTTCGACAACCTCAGCGCCATGGAGATCGACCCCAACGGCAGCATGCAGGATCTGCTCGCCGGTCAGGGCGAGGATGCCGACGACGCCAGTCCCATGGGCGGCGCTGGCATTGGGGGCATGATGCAGGACTTGGCCTTTGCGGTGCGTTTGCAGACAATGATGAAAATAAAAGATTTAAAGTATTTGGAGCCAGGCAAATATCCTGACGGTTACATACCAATACACAGATCCCTGGCATCGACGAGGCCATGTCCTTTGCAGAGGTGCTCAAACAAGTCAAATCCCTCTCCTACGAAACAATCATCTTCGACACCGCTCCGACCGGCCACACCCTCCGCTTCCTCCAATTCCCCTCTGTCCTCGAAAAAGCCCTCGCAAAAGTCTCCCAGCTCTCGTCTCAATACGGGCCACTGCTCAACGGCTTCCTCGGCTCCAACGGCGCGCTGCCCAACGGCCAGAACCTCAACGACATGATGGAGAAGCTCGAGTCGCTGCGCGAGACAATCTCAGAGGTCAACACGCAGTTCAAGGACGCCCAACTCACCACCTTTGTCTGCGTCTGCATCGCAGAGTTTCTCTCCTTGTACGAGACGGAGCGCATGATCCAGGAGCTCGCCAGCTACGGCATCGACACTCACTGCATCGTCGTTAATCAGCTCCTCTTCCCCAAAAAAGCTAGTGACTGCGAGCAGTGCAATGCCCGCCGCAAGATGCAGAAGAAGTACCTCGACCAGTACGAGGAACTCTACGCCGAGGACTTCAACGTCGCAAAGATGCCCCTGCTCGTCGACGAGGTCCGCGGCAAGGAAAAGTTGGAAAAGTTTAGCGAGCTCTTGATTCGTCCCTACGTTCCCCCGGAGTGACGAGGCGTTGATTGGAAACAAGGCAACATGTGTCACGACGCTCAAGGTGCATACAAGAGACAAGTTGCAAACATTCTTCCTCGAGATACCCATACTTTGCTTGCATGTACCATGGCCCCGTCTTTAGCTCGACGTGTGCAGCGCATTGCCTTTCATTTTGCTACAATGACGGGCGCGATACAGGCGCCAAACAACCACTCATCCTCTCTCTTATGCGCCAGAATTATGAAACCCCCTCTCGAGACGACCAATGACCTCGAAAATGCCTTCCCAGATGCCCAAGCGCCTGTCCACAACCAAGCAATAACCCACCAGCCACAGTGTCGAAGCGCTGCCGCGCATTGCCGCGCCCACTGAAGACGAATTCTCGACTATGTACAAAGGTGACGTGAGTCGTCGCTGCAGAGAACCCATTCCAAACGGAATGGCAACAAGTAGCAGTGTCAGAGCTCCCTGTAGTCGCTCGGGCGTACTCTCCGCTGCTTATTCTGGTGCCGATGGGGGTTGACCGGCTTTCGAAAGTAGGCGTCGTCGTCGGCGCCGTTGGCGGGCGGAAAGCTTGCTCCGTTCTGGAAACCGCCATTCATGCCTCCCATGCCGTTGGCCACGGGACCGCTCATTGGACCCCCTGGGGTATTCATGCCGCCCATACCATTCATGCCGTTCATACCGTTCATGCCACCCATGTCGTTCATTCCCCACCCCCCATTCATCCCTCCAAAGTTTCCGCTGTTCATCCCCCCAAAGCCAGGCATGCCCATCATCGGCATGCCCATCATCGGCATGCCCATGTTCATGTTCATGTTTGGCATGCCCATCATGTTGGGCATCATCCCCATGCCGTTGAACATCATGCTATTCATGCCCATGTTGGGCATGCCGTTCATCATGCTGGGCGTCGTGTTCATGGCCTGTTGATTTTGCATCGCCTTGGGGCCTTTGGGGATCCGAGGATTCTCCAGAAAGTCGTCAGCGGGCCGCTTCTTGGGGTTTCCTTCGCCAGCCGTTGAAACCTCGGTATTCTGGCTTTCGGCAGGTTTCGCGTCGTGGACGAGACTCTGAGGGCCCTTGGGGGGCGACTTTGCGGATTGTAGAGGCGCTGGTGAGCTCGACTTGTCCACGTCCCCAGAGTCCTTGGTGCCGTCCTCCGGCTGATCCGATTGCTCAGCCTTCTGGGCTTCCCCATCCTTGTTCTCTCCATGGACGTTGGTCCCGTCGTCGGCTGCGGCTTCTGGCGACGCTGGCGGTGTAGATTTGGCCGTTTCCTTCTCTTTCAAGTATTCTTGAATCTTCTTTGACGTGCCTTCGTCAGGTGTCAAGTCATCTATCAGCACACCTTCGGTCTGGCACGCAGGACAGACGAAGTCGCTTTCGATAAGACCATTCGTGATGCAGTCGTTACAAAACGTCTTCTTGCAGCAAGGAGTCTTCATTGGCTCTATGAACATTTTTTTGTCAATCGAACACTCGAGGCCGCGCTCTTGCACCTCCTTGTTCTCGGCCTGCGCCTCCTTGTGGGCAGACGAGGACTTGGTCTTGGCCTGGAACTGCTCCCAAGATGCCTTGTCAGGCTCTGCGATGACAAAGTCTCCTTCGGCATTCACCATGATGCCGGATGGTCGCTTTGTCTCATCACCATCGGTCTGCGCCAGGACGACCGACTTGTCAACCTTTTGCAAGAAGGAGCGCGGGATGCCCGTCGTCCGCTTCACCCGGGGTCGGTTGTCAAAGTCCGGGTCGTCATTCGTCGGGCACAGCTGTATCCAGTGGCCCTTATTTCCGCATCGGTAGCAAATGTAGCCGTTTGGGGGATCATGGTCCGGCACGTTGGCTGGTCGCTTGGAACCCGGCTTGAAGACTGGTGCTTGGCTGAAAGATGGTTAGCCGTGTGATTCGTGGGCGCTATCCTGGGCCAATAGCGCACTTACTGTGACATCTCCTCCTGCTGAGCAGACCACTGCTCGCTCTGGGCGGCAAACATGGCTGCCATCTTTTCCTCTTCCGTCATGGCCGTGTTCATTTGGTTGATGGCGCTGTTGCTCGGCTTTGAAGCGGCTGCCTTGACGGACTGTTCTTTCCGGCCAGCATTTTTGGCAGTCACTGGCATCTTGCCCGAAACATAGCGAGCGGCGCGGCCGGCTCCGGGCTTGAGCGCAGGCTGGCGCCGAGCTATCACGGTGGTAGATCTGGGGACAATGGTGGTATCATCGTCATATTCTGAAGCCCAGTATTAGCAACGGCATGTGTCTTCGGGGGAACTGGGGAGGTGGAAACATACCCTCGCTATTATCATCCGTGTAGATGAAAAGATCAAAGTCGGTTCCGTCGCCAAGGCCACTCTTGTGGATGATTTCACGCTTCAGCTCGAACACAGAGATGCCGGTGCCGTCGAACTCGACCCTTGTGGGCTCCTTCTGGGACTTGAACTTGAAAAACACCGATGACGCCATGGTGGCGGCTGCTTGAACCGAGTTTCCTGCTTACGAGGAATCGGCACCGACGGCGAGGTCGGCACTGCGATGTTGCGCGTCCAGTTGATGTCGGGGGGCCGAGCGGAGATACCGAGGGTGAGTCTCAGAGTCGCACAAGACGCAGTCTGCAGAAACAAGAGTGAAGATTTTCTTTTCGGTGCCAAAACAGAGTCTTTCTTTTCCTTTTCTTCTTTGTTTCTCGGTTGGGGTGAATGCAAACTTTCAATTTTTGATTGTACTTGGAACCAAGAGAAGACAATAGGGTCCGAGGGCACGTGAATAAGGAGTACAGTCGGCCAAAGCCAAAAGAAGGATCTGAATGCCCTCCAATCCTCCTCACCACCAAATCACCTCGACAAACACCTCTGCACCAGCGTGCCGTGGGTCAGCTCAACTATCACGCAGTCTCCAGCAACTGTTCGCAAGGACAAGCCGTCGACCCCAACAGGAGTTGCGAGATGAGACGCCGCAGCGTAGCAGCAAAGCACTGATGGATCAGAGATTGCTGACGTGTCGGCCGATTCGTTTGGAGGCGGAAGCGTCGAGCGCGTGAACGGGAAACTCCAGCAGTGGCAACACGGCCTCGGACGAAGCAGAAGAGCACAAGTGACGGTCACGAAATGTCGGAGGTGCTGGCCTCGATGTTGTTGCGATGGTAGGGATGTTGGGCGATGGGGCAGTGATGTCGGTTGCAGGAGAGAAGATGGATGCGTCTGGAAGTGGAACACGCGACGTAATTAATAAGGACTGGCCCCTTTTAGCGGCGGCGGCAGCGTGGTTGCCTGGAAATTTAGGCCGCCACTGCAAAGCATGACTCCCTGCCTTAGTGCGGATACCTTATTGTTTTTCCCAACTTTATCCAGCCATCCTCGGCAAATGGGAGCTGCGCCGCACAGTCACTTTGTACCTACAGAATAGAAAACAAGAGGTACCTACGGATACCTACCTACCTTAGTTGGGCCACACAAGCAAGGTTCGTTGGATGTAGGAGCTAAAACTGGGCTTCCAAGACCATTCCTCCACCCAGATACGGAGTAATCGTGGGTGGTTTCCCCACCCAAGGCCCTTTTCCTTGGGGCGAAATACCTATGTCGGAAGTAACCCCCATCAAGCATGTACAAAAGCGTGATGGGCCCCAAGCTCGCCGGGTTTTCGCCGAGCTTCATGTCGCCTGCAAGCGCAGAGGGGCCATGAATCCGCACAGTGCAGTGTACCCACAGGCACGCAGCCTTCCGGAGCTCTCTCGTGTCAGCACAAATCCATTGGCTGCCGGTGATCCGGTGATAACCGGCGTCCCCTTCACAACGTTTCACAATGCTGCAATTTTTTTTCTATTGGCCTCCAACCGATCCGTTGCCGCGCGCATCCTCCCTCCAGTTATAGAAGGAGGAAAAGCAGGGAGATACGAAGGAGGAGAGAGGAGGAGGAGGAGAAGTAGCAGCGGCAACAGGCGGCATTCGCATGTGAAGCTCGTTGGTCTGTTACGTCAAACCTGCCATGACAAGGGCCGCGATGCCCCGCACCTTCTTCCTCCCGCAGACATCTCCCCTCCTCTGCCGTGCCGCCAAAGCATTCACAAACCTTGCTTTCACCCCGACTGTCTGGACCTCATCCTGCCGTCGCCCCTATCTCACAGATTCGATCCGCCGCCACCAAGCCAAAACCATGGCGCCCCAGCTCGACGGCTACTTCAAGCAGGTCGACGCCTCGGCCAACGACTTCATCGAGCGCCTGCGCAAGGCCGTTGCCATCCCCTCCATCTCGGCCGAGGATGCCCGCCGCCCTGACGTCGTGCGCATGGGCGAGTGGCTCGCCGGCGAGCTCAAGAACCTCGGTGCCCAAGTCGAGCTGCGTCCCCTAGGCAAGCAGCCGCACAAGGAGCACCTCGACCTCCCTCCGGTTGTGCTCGCACGGTACGGCAGCGACAAGAAGAAGCGCACCATCCTCGTCTATGGACACTACGATGTTCAGCCGGCCGACAAGAGTGACGGCTGGGCCACGGAGCCCTTTGAGCTAAAAGTCGACGACAAGGGCCGCATGTTTGGCCGTGGCTCCACCGACGACAAGGGCCCTGTCCTGGGCTGGCTCAACGCCATCGAGGCGCATCAAAAGGCCGGCCTCGACTTCCCTGTCAATCTGCTCATGTGCTTCGAGGGCATGGAGGAGTATGGTTCTGAGGGCTTGGACGATCTCATCAATGCCGAGGCCAAGAAATACTTTGCCGACGCCGATGCCGTCTGCATTTCCGACAACTACTGGCTGGGCACGGAGAAGCCCTGCCTGACGTACGGCCTTCGCGGTTGCAACTACTTCTCGCTCGAGGTCTCGGGCCCCGCCGCCGACCTCCACAGCGGTGTGTTTGGCGGAACTGCCCAGGAACCCATGACGGACCTGGTCAGGCTCCTGGCGACGCTCGTCGATACCGACGGCAAGATTCAGATCCCAGGCATCATGGAACAGGTTGCGCCCATGACCAAGGAAGAGGAGAGCCTTTACGACGGCATTTCCTTCACCATGGACAACATCTTCGAGTCTTTGGGCAGCCAGACGACCATCCACGACGACAAGAACAAGACGCTCATGGCTCGGTGGCGATACCCGTCCCTGTCGGTGCACGGCATCGAGGGCGCCTTTTCCGGACCCGGCGGCAAGACGGTCATCCCTGCCAAGGTGGTGGGCAAGTTTTCCATCCGTACCGTCCCCAACATGGACATCGACACGACCAACTCGTGTGTCTTCAAGTACGTCGAGGAGCAGTTTGCCAAGCTCAAGAGCAAGAACACAATGAAGGTATACGCCCAGCACTCGGGTAAGTGGTGGGCCGCGTCGCCCAAGCACTGGAACTTTTCCGCCGCTGCCAAGGCCACAGAGCGAGTCTGGGGCGTCCAGCCCGACTTTACTCGTGAGGGCGGGAGGTAAGCAGCCGAAATCTGTCACCCCCCGGCGCGCGGATGCTAACGAGACGATGCAGTATCCCCGTGACCTTGACCTTTGAGGAGGCCACGGGCAAGAACGTTTTGCTCTTGCCCATGGGCAGCTCGACGGACGGCGCGCACTCCATCAATGAGAAACTGGACAAGCGCAACTATATTGAGGGCACCAAGCTGCTGGGTGCCTATCTTCACTATGTTGCCGAGGAGCCCCAATCTTAGTTGGCTAGGAGACACCGAACAGGAGCTGTGTGCTCTGGGAAACAACGTGAGGGGCTGTATTCCTAGCAACGAATGCAAATGAGCAGACTTATGTGACCTGGCAAGACGTATCCCGGTGGCTCTTCCCGACACACTGCAACCATGTCAGGCATCGGGATGGAGCAGCGGTAATTAAGAGGGATTTGCGCTTGCTCCTCCACTCGACAATGCGAAGTTGCAAGCGGGCCGCCCTGCACGATGCGCCTGACGGATCAAGGCCATTGGATCGATTGAGTATTGGACACTGCATCTTGTCTTATCTAGGTACCAGTAGGTACTTGTAGACCACCTTTTACGTAGCACCGTACTTCGTATTTTATATGCAATATCGCACGTCAAGTGCCGAGGCGTGGTATCTCGAGATGTCTCATCTTGCGCTCTCCCCTCATTCTTGGGCCCCGTCTTCCCCCCTCTCCCTCGTCTTGTCCTCGTCTTGTCCTCGTCTTGACCAGCATTTGCGGACGGCGTCCCGACAACCAGTGCCGTCATGCTGCTCGGCAGCTTCAGGGGCCTCGCGCTACTTACACCCATAGCAGCTGCTCTTGCCCAAGACAACCAGCACCATAGATATGAAGGCCTACAGGTCGGTCTCGGCGAGCCGGGCCTGACGATTCACGGGATCCCCTTTAGCACGAGGGCGCACTGGATGAGACAGGCCAACGAAGCCCTGTACCATGTAGCAAGGACGCCCTGTCCCTTTGAGGCGTTTGGGACCGTCATCGTCAACCACACGGCCGGGGGACTCGGGGACCTGGTATGCATCGGGGCAAACATGCGGAGTTCGACGGGGGATCCGACAATGCACGGTAAGTCGTTGCTGGGATAACTGGTACCCGCCGTGCAATAACTCATCCAGGGGGCTTGTAGGAGAGATCGCGGCCATCCGCAACTGCAGCGCCATCCTCACCGACCCAACCGGTCCCTACCGCCTGACAGCGCGCGAAGCCCTGGCCGCCTTCTCGCAGCTGACGCTCTACACCAACGCCGAGAGCTGCCCCATGTGCGCCTCGGCCATCTACTGGGCGGGGATGAGAGAGTACGTCTACGGAACCGGCATCGAGGCCATGGTGCGCAAGGGCTGGGGCCAGGTGCGCATGTCCTCGCCCGAGGTGCTCCGCCAGGCGTTCAACGTGGGCGGCGGGCCGACGAGGATCCTGGGCGGCGTCTTGGCCAACGAGACGGATGCATATCTGCTGTGGCAGTTTGACCCGGAGTATGCCTGTCCGAGGGGGTGTAGGCGCTCAGGAGGAGGGTCTTGCATGGCTGCTGACGACGGGACTTGACGTGTTTTTTTGCCATGGTGGACTCGGTTTAGCAGGAGGGTGACCTAGAGTTGGCGTCTGTACTGAGAGCTACAATAAGGTGTGGTAAGCTTTCAATGACAACTATCGAGCTTTGTACAATGTTTTGTCGTGACGTTTTCATGGTGATGCAGCTGCCGAGGCATTGCACGGTTCGCCCTCTATCGCAAGTGCCCCACCTCGTCGTCGTTTCTTCCTTAGCTGCCTCTCGGCTCCATCAATCCATCCCTTCACCCACCCACCCACCAGCAATCGATGCTCAACCTCAGGCTCGCCTTTGCAATCAGCCTCGTCATTCCCGTCATCGGCCTCATCCTCTCGCTGCTCTCCCAACGCCACCTCTCCTCCCCCGCCTCGGGAAATACTGCGACGACACCCGCCTCGGACAACAAGCTCACCTCGGCCACCATGTCTTCTTCCATCCGCCGGACGGCGCCCCTGGTGTTCCCGGCAGTCGGCAAACACACAGCCACAGTCTTCTTCGCCCACGGCTTGGGCGACTCGGGCGCCGGGTGGGCGGATGCTGTGCAGCATTGGCGCAGGAAACGGCGGCTCGACGAGGTCAAGTTTGTGCTGCCGAATGCGCCCGTCATGCCCATTACCCTGGTTCGTCTTGGCGTGAGCTCGGGGACCTGTCGAGGAGACTCATGTGCTGACCGCGTTGCATGCTTCTTTGGTGTAGAACAATGGGTTCCCTATGCCGGCCTGGTTCGACATTGTAAGTCCTCTCACGCGGCACCTGGACTTGAACACATCCAACACAAGTCGAACTCTGCTTCTCCTCGACAAGAAACGAGGCACATGGGGCAAGACCCAGCTGACTCGACGATGCAGAAATCCCTAGCGCCGTCAATCAACTCGCTGCAGGCCCGCGCCCTCAACGAAGATGTCGCCGGCATCCTCGAATCCCGGGCCTACTTCCACTCCCTCATCCAGGACGAGATCTCGGCCGGCATCCCCGCCCACCGCATCGTCCTCGGCGGCTTCTCCCAGGGCGGCGCCTCGAGCATCCTCGCCGGCCTCACCGCCCCCGTACAGATTGGTGGCGTCGTCGCCCTCTCGTCATGGCTCCTCCTCAGCCAGTCCTTCAAGGAGCACGTCCCCGAGGGCGACTTCAACAAGGCCACGCCCGTCTTCATGGCGCACGGGGACAGGGACCAGATGGTGCGCTACGATCTGGCCAAGGCCAGTGCCGAGGCGCTGAAGAACATGGGCTATGACGTGACGCTCAAGACGTACCCGTGAGTCCAACCGCCCCTGCTCGAGTGTACGTTTCTGATGCGGGACAATGTAGGGGTATGGAGCATTCAGCCTGCGCAGAGGAGCTGGACGAAGTGGAAGCATTCCTGAAAGAGAGACTCCCAAGTCAGGGGCAATGAGTCGAGACCAGGACATATCAGGCGTTAGCCCAGGATTATCTGATCTCTTACGCAGGCAGCTGGTGCGCTCGCCAGTTCAGAAATGTCGAGCTGCATTAGCCACCTTGTACATAGAGCTGCAGTCATCATTGATGGCTTCTCGAGATGGTTGGACCTGAAAGACCTCTTTTCTCAGGCCCCATTATTGAAGCAACGCGCGCATAGATCTTTGATTCAACCTCAATTACTATAACCAAGCTTATAGACCATCGCTGTGTCCAATCAAGGCAGTTGCGTCCAGCCATTTACCAGAACGCCGAGGGTATCCCAAAATCCAGCCCAAGCTATTCGCGAATTTTCCGCAACTATCCCTGCAGATTCAAACAAGAACAAAAGCCGTTCACATAATCAGTCCGGCCCATATCCGCTGTGACATCAAGAGGAAATGGGAACGTTATGCTGCAGTCGGAGGCACGCGCTTTGCAATTGTCTGGCTCCTCCTCTTTGCCACCGTAGCCGCGTCCCACACGCCAGCAAAGATGTCATCGCACTCGTCGTCGTCCTCGGAGTCAAACACAATCTCCGGGCCGTCTCTGCCCGCATCCTCGGCGGCCAGCCCGTCGTCGACTAAGCCCCGGTCGTCATCGGCGGCAACGTCTTCCCAGCGGCGGTGCGTGACGACCCTCTCGACCTCGAGGATGTACTTGCCGACCTTGTATTTTTGCGAGTTCTCCTTTGCGTCGACGTACTTCCAGCCGAGCTTGCGGGAGCAGGTGGCGCAGCATATGTCGGCGACGACGTGCCAGCCCGTGACCAGCTGGCGGTCCTCGTTGCGGCCGACGCGGATGTTGACGAGGGCCTGGTCCTCGGCCGGGGCCGACGGCGGGGCGACGAGGAAGGCGCGGCCGTAGCGGCCCGTGAAGCCCTTGGAGACAATCTGCGAGGCCAGGGCCAGGTCGGTCGAGCAGTTTATGCAGCGGAGGGTGTCGGCGGCGGCGCGGGACAGGCGCCACCGTCGGCGGTGGGGTGGTGACGGCGGCGGCGGCGGCGGCGGCGGCGGCGGGTGGCTGCAAGTTAGGTCGCGCGAAGAGCTGTCGGACAGAGTCGTGGTACTCGATGACTTGGCGGGAGGCGAGCAAGAGGAACAGGCAGGTGGCGCTGACGATGACGACGATGGAGAAGCCGACCGGCGCCGGCCGAGGGAAAAGGCAAATGTCGGCAGCAGGTAGCGGGGAAATACGGGTCTGGTGGCCGAGATACGGCTGCTGTCACGGGGCATGCTGGCCTTTCGAGGTTCTGTCCTTGGGATCCGGCTCTATTTCGGTTGCTGTGTTTCGGGGGGGAGCTGGCCAGCGAGGTGGGAATGGAAAGCGAGCGAGTGTAACCCGCGCGGCGGGCGCGAGACCTGTCTACATGTATGTACAGGCTGTGTCGGTGGAGATGCAGAGAGATGGGAGTGAGGAACGGTTGGGTTGGGCTGTTGACCAAAGTACACGGGACGGAGGCGGTGATGGATGGCCGACACCGCTCACATGAGCCCGTGACATGCATGACCTGTGCCCCGCATCACATCACAGCATACCAGGTAAAGCTAAGCGGTCTTGACTGTACATACTTGCACCACTATCCGATGTTATACTAGGGCCAGGAATTGAAGGACACCGGGAAGAGAGAATAAGAGAGTGTGTTTGGTGGCAAGAGTCTCCGTCACGTCCATCCGCCAAGGCCATCGTCGACCGGTCCTGTCAAAAACCCTCGATGAGACGAAGAGGTGGGCGACGAGTGCGGGGGTGGGGAGATGTGCACGGGCTTCAACGCCACTAACAGGCGCACATGGCATCCGAGGCCAGACCCTGTTACTGGCGCGTGAGACAGACCTCCACTCGACAGACGCGTTCAGCACACTGCCTCTCTGCATGGACATGTCCCAATCCCCGGTGCGCGCAGAGCAAAGACCCCGGCACCGCCCAATCCGAGATGCACTCATGTCCCGGGGGCTGACTGCCGTGTTTGTGATGTCCGTTGACTACATTGCATATGGTACGGATGCAGGACTGAAAGCATCCAATGCATACGCAGCTGGTGGAAGAAGACGGAGGGGCGGCGGCTCGGCCCCGCACTTTACCGAGGCATTGGAGGAGACTAGCGTCACGTCATTGGACAGGCAGAGGTGCCGCGGGGGAACCATTCATCACACACTTGCATGATACTATCTGTAAAATGCAGCAGCCGCCGTGTGTTCCCCGCTCCAAGGGGTTGGAGCTGGCATGGCCATCCATTTTTTCTTCTGTTTTCCTCCTGCCATCGAGCGTTGAGATCGCCAAGCTCCAACATTCACCCGTCATTTCCAGAACGCTGTTTCGGATAGCCCGACCCCACCCACCACCATCAGCCTCCTCCGTCCGGCGATCCCTTGCGGCCTCTGGGGACCTCCTTTCTTGTCCTCCTTTTTTTGCTTCTCCCCGTCTTTCTCGCACGAAGCCGGCCCTCTCTCACACCGGCCAAAGCCCTCCCGGCCCAATCATGGCCACCGTGACCAAGGACCGCATCACCTGCCACGTCCTCGACACCACCGCCGGCCGCCCAGCCAGGGGCATCCGCGTCCGCCTCGAGGGCGCCGACGCGACCTTTGAGTCCCTCACCGACGACGACGGCCGCATCGCCGCCTGGCTGCCCTACAGCTCTGCCACTTCGTCGGGCGAGGTCCCCGTCTATACCCTCGACGACGTCCTCGGCGCCCTCCAGGGCCCTTCGCGCTGGACCCTGCGCTTCGACACAGAAGCCTACTTTGGCTCCGCCCAGGACACCTTTTTCCCTGAGGCCGTTGTCGTCTTCCGCGTCGACCAGGGCCAGCGCTACCACGTGCCACTACTGCTGAGTCCCTACAGCTATACCACGTACCGGGGGAGCTGACGGAACGGACGAGGCACACGTCTTGGTTCGGGAGCATGCATCTATTCAGTTGTCGACCCGAGCCGCGCCAATCTATTTCAATCTTGCTACCCTCAGTGTATCAAATCCCATAGCCCTTTTTTCTTACTCCCAGGTTCCACCCAATGACACAGAAAAGTGTGTATTACTCCAAAAAAAAACACGGATGTCTATCGGAGCCTGATCCTCCCTTCCCCGGGCCTCGGCCTCTCCCATGTACGCAGCAAACTCCGTCGCTAAAACAAGTGAAACGGGCAAAGGTGGTCGTAGCGTCGTGATACAGCTGTTGTAGGGGAATTGCATGTTCAAGTCTAGCTCTTGCCTCGAAGTCTGGATAGCAGGCCCTTCTTGCGGCGATGCTCCGACACGTCGGGGGATGTAGGCGGCGTGTCCTCATCATCGGCCCGCTTGGAGCGCATGCTCTCGGCACCGTCCTTGGACATCCTCAGGCTCGACGTCGAATGACTGACAAGCCTAGGTTGGTCTCGGGGGAAGGAGTCGGTGCTGATAATGGAGAGGGACAGGACGCTGTGGAGGGCCTCCATCTGCGGGCTGATGACGCCGTGACCGATGGTACGCCTGTGCTTGGGACGGGAGAAGAGTCTGCCCCGCTTGAGGGCCCGGTCAACGGCCAGTTCCTCGTGGGATATGGTGGCGTTGGGGGAGAGATCGGCCTCGGGATGGGGGAGCGTGGTAGTACGGCCTAGCCTCGGTGTAAGCGAATGGACGACTTTTGGCGTCGGCAGCCAGCAGAAAGCATACCTTCGTCAAATGGCTCGGGGAAGCCAGTGTCCCGGGGCTGGCGGCGGGGTTTGGTGGTGCTGGTCTGGGGAGGCGACATGATGTGAATCTGCGGAATGGTTGGCACTTCAGTACTGGTGCTCTTGCGAGACGAACTAGGGCTGGGCATGATGGGCAGATTGAATGTTGGAGTCGACGTCGAACTGGATGATCCTGGCACCAAGACGATGGGGGTGCTGACGCAACAGCTTCGCCACGGTCGGGATGGACGTCAGGTGCCAAGGACAGGCCCGGTGCCTCACTCAGGAATAAGGCTCGGGCAGTCCACGGACACCGATGGAGAGGATTGAAGAGGGAGAGTGGCTGGGCGAAGCGGGAATCCAAGCATTTGGAGTCGACACGACCCCGATATCGACGAGACAAAACAACTGACGGCGCTTGCGTCCGGGGAGGAATGGGGCCCGGGGATGGGGGCGGGTGGAGATTGGCCGCGGGCGGATAGGGAGAGAAGCGAGATGAGCGACGGGCGCGGGTTAATGAGGATAAACAGCAGGCGCGGAATGAGAGGAGTCGGGGAAAAGGAAAGAAGGGAACAAACGACCAGATAAAAGAGAGGGTCAAGTTTGTGTTGCTGATGCAGCGGACCTACCGTGACGATGAATGGGGGACAAAGGGTTCGTCAAGGCATTCACGGCGGCTCGGAGTTTGTCCGGGTGCCATGGCAGGCGCCTGCCTGTTGTGGGCAGGTAGGCACGATGCCGTCTCGATGATGGATGGATGTCTTTGCTGCGCCTCGCTCCAAGGGCTGGCGGTTGGCGATGATCGGCCTCCTTCCGCCAACTGGGAAGAGGTGAGATTGCTGGTGGAGAGGGCGAGGGCGAGGGCGAGGTACCTGGAGCATGTACTCCGTACCGTGGCGGTGACAATATTGCGTACCCACCGCCAAGCAGCCGATGTACAGGGTACTTGTAGATATTTGCCCCCAGATTGCCCGTTTGTCGTCGTCGTCTTCCTAGACCTTTGCTGATGATGATGATCAGTTCCCGGCTCCTTTTGTAGACGTCGGGGTAGCTTAACGTACGTCACAAACAAACAAAACGTGGAGTCCAACTCAAATCTTGACCTCCGGGACTCGCCGCCTATGGTCCCGCCAATCTCACGGAGTCACTGGATCCACGCAAGGGACAAGGTGAGAAAGAACAAGGCTATTGCCGCCGCGGTCCCCTGGGGTCGAGGCCTGGGCTGAAAGGAGGCTCAGACCTTGCAGGGCCCGGAACAAACGGCATTCTCGTCGTCGTCAGCGCCCCAGCCGCCCGTGTTTATGGGTTATTTCAAAAGCAAGGGCCCGTCCAAGGATACAGTCGGAGTAGAAGACGATGGAATGCCTTCCTTCTACTAACCGAGCCGACAGCTCGTGCAGAGCGAAGAGACGACAAAGAGGCGAAAAAGTCAAAGTACAGGGTACATACCTTAGACAAAGATATCGCCAATATCCAAAGCCCCCGCTTTTCTGCCGATGCATTGTTGTTGTTCCGCTCCTGGCCGATAAAGTGCATGCATATTGCTCAAGTAGATACGTATCCGGTACATGCACATAACAGACGTCATAACATCGTCCCTTGTCTTCTCGAGATTTACAACCAGCGCGATGGTCTCCCGGATGGTCGACTTGGCGATTTCCGCTCACCCTCAGGTCGCTTATCAAACCCAAGTCCCAAATAGACGGGTTCTTTGGCAGTATTATCATTTGTTGGCACTGTGTGACCAGCGTTCGCATTCTTGGGCTTAGTTAATTGACCCTTCTGAGCTCCCTCCCGCCCTGAGTTGGCCATGTGCGACTGCGATCCACGGTCGCATAATGAGGTCTTTCTCTCCAGGTGGATCTTTCTGCGGCTTGTCTGCTGCTTGCGGCGTCGAGTCACCAGGCTTTTACTTAGGCTTCGAGATGACGGCAGGTCCCTTGTTTTCTGAGTGCCGGGTTGAGGCACCGAAGCACCGGTCTCTTGTTTGATTGGCGGGCTGATGGCCAGTCCCTTGTTTCCTGAGGCTTCGAACCTCCGGGCCCCTGTATCGGCTTCGGGGCGACGGGCAGTTTCTGTCCAGTGCTTGACTTGGACTGCATCCATGCAATTCCTATCGGACCGCCCCGACTCCCGGCGCCGCCTCAACTCGGGGACGGGACGCTCACAGATGCTAACCCACGATGGGTTTGAGCAAACCCTGGAGGAATAGGGACTGGAGCACCTGGAAAAGGCCAGAGTAGCAAAAATCATGGAGCTGATAAGACGCCGGTGCGTCTGCGAGACATGATGCTCACAGTGGACTCGGTTTGGACAGGCATTGTAAGGGGCAGTTCCGAGGTTCGTTGATACAAGAAAAACTCACGTTCGACTGACGACGGTGGCGAGAAGAAGGCGCCCAAAGCTCTCGGATCCGAACGCAATATGTGCTCGCTCGACAATTACGACTATTACCGTCCATTGGATGGGAAAACATCTCGGCCTGATCAGGAACGAGTTTGTTACAAGCTAGGCATGCCTAAGCCGGATAATGTCTGGAATTGCGGCGATTCTTGGCCTTTGGGTCCAGAGAAGAAATATCACGTCCACGAGATTCGGGCTGCATCGTCGGCCGCGGAAACTGTGATTCCATTGTCGCCTGCAAGTTTATCGTCGCATACGGAAACTGAGACTGCGTCGTCGCCTGCGGAACCCCAAAAAACTCCAGATAACGAGACAAAGAGGCCTGCAGCCCGAAATGATGGCTTGAATGATACCTATTTTTATTCCTCAGGTAAGTATCTTGACGTCAACAACGTGGATCAAGGTTGGTATCGCCAAGCAACCCCGAGCTCTGCCTGCCGTCACTCTCCTGCTACCAGTTGGACAGATCGGCTGCGATACGATGGCTAAAGTCAATGAGTAATAGAGGAAGACTGCATACAAAAGTTGATTCCATAAGTTCCGGGTCACTCGGGCCGCCCTGCCACCGTGTGAGTCGTGGCAAGCAATACATTAGAGCGTAAGCCAGTTGCCGAATCAGGAAATTGAAGCTATTCCTGCCTGATTGTCCCTCTTTCTTCTTTTTTTTACCTTTTAAATTAAGTGCTGATTTGGCTAGGAGAGCCTTCATTTCTTTATTAAGAAACCTCTCTTTCTTGCACCTTGGTTGCACGGTTGTTGCCTTATGTGGCCGTGCCGGCGGCGCCTTTGGTGGAGGACCGGCCGACACTGTTGTTGGAAGCTGGCAAGACCTATTTTTTGAATGTTAGAGCTGGGTTTCGCCTGTTTCTTCCAGTTCGAATTGCGACCGCGTGCGAGCTGGTGGAACAAGCATGACAGCAAGAGTCTTGTTCTTGCGCGCGAAGCATGGAGGGCTGATGCTGCTAGGCGGTCCAAAGACTTGTGCAGTCAACCTGCGTACTCGTAGTTGTAATAGAAAATGTCATTAGCCCGGCCCTTGGCTCCAACATATGTACATCCAAGTGCTATCCCACTTGATAACACGCATTCACAGTGGACAGAGCACAGGAGCAACCGCCACTGAGCCCCGACGAAATTGCAAATCTCACCTACTTTTTACCGAATTCCTTCGACCACACCTCGGATGACAACCTCCCTGTCCTGACTGGTGACAACCTCCCTGACGTGACTCCATATAGTCAACAGCTCAGCACTGCATATGACAGACCTTTGAGCCCTCGATACTCTTTCCCTCGAGCTCTTGCAAGGGGTTCTCGACTTGCGTACTCTCACCGACTTCCGCGACGTCAACAGGCGAGTGATATACGTAGTTGACTGCGCCTATACTCCACTGGTCCGCTTTGGGGTAATCCGCTTCGCTTCGTGGCCATCAGCCGTGCGCCGTGGTTAAGCAGGGTATCAGGCGAGGTGGAATGGGGCTTCCATTGTGTTGCATGCCGTAAATACAGTCCCCATACTCTGCACTGGCGACAAAAATTCACGGCAATCTCGTTCAACGAACACTTCAAGAGATGCCGTCTTATTCGACCCGGACAAAACCATTCAGATTGAACCCTGAGAGTAATTTGGACAAGCATATATGTCGAGATACCCAGTTCAAGTTGCAAACACGACGACGACGCTCTTCGCACGACCCGTTCCCGCCCCTCCTTGAGTCCTTTTAAGCAGTGTTCCCTTGTATTTTTTATTCTAAATGTTCATAGGTTACGACAACGCGACATTGTCTAACAGCGCATTTCGTCCTTTCCTGGCTTCACCATGTGGTTTAGGCACATATGGGCCGAATCATGCAGTCGAATGTAGTGGATTGGGTTGCACTTGACATTCGTTGCCCGCTTCTCCTTGCACCGCCGAAATTCTTCATACACCTTGCAGCCACAGGTGTACATACGAAAGTCCCGCTCGCACATGCTGCCCTGAGGTGCTGTTAGCCATTATGAACCATTCTTGCAAAGGTTAAACGCCTCATAAATGATGGATCGAAGACACTGCCCAAGACGTTTGGTTGGAATCTGAAGTTGCTGGATTTCGGTTATCACAAGCTAAGGCTGCCATTGCAAGATACAAGGCGCAGACTAACGAACGGCAAGCCACAGCTACTGACCTTGAATTACGTCGCGGCTAGAAAGTTCCGATGGACTCGATGAGGAGCTTGGTGGGCTGCTGAACGAGCTGCAGAATACGTCTGAGCGAGGTGGATAAGTTACTGAGACTCTGAGACTCTGAGAGTCTCCCAAATTCAGAGCGCTGGCTTTCAGACGGCAAAGGAGCGGCCTAGACTGTAAAGGCAATGCAAGGAAAGTTGCAGCGATGTTGAACCGTGCTCGATTGATCTAGGGCGAAAAGAGTTACCTAGGTAATACCATCCGAGATAAAGGCACGTGACCGCTGGATGGCGGATACAAGCTCCGACTCACGGGGGATGGCGGTGCGGAATATCACGTGGTGTCGTCGAACATTTCCGTGCCCCGCCTCCATCAACAAGGACTATGTGGGCGTGTCGACTATCGAGTACGACATTGACCGGGGAGAACGAGATTAATAAGAGACGCAGCGCGTGGCAGTCGAGACATGTCGAAAATGGTAGGAAAGGCACGAGGAATAAACTCGAAACCTGGACTTGATCAATCATTTCCATTGTCTTCCTCGCATCGGTTGGTGGGCGCTGATTAATTGGACTCAAGCGTCAGGGGAGCACAGCCACACCTGCCTCGTGTTCCGTACATGAGCCACAATTCCCTAGACCTCTTCCCGGGCAGCGACGACGACGACGCCCTTGGCTCAATCAACCGGCGCATCCTCCCCCTGCTCACTGCATCCCGCCGCCTCACGCAGCGCAGCCCAAATCTCATTGCGCGTCGTCGACCCTGCCACAATGTCCGACTCGCCGCGAGTCGTCGGCCGTACCGACTCCATCGACTCGCACGACTCGAGCCCAAAGCAGCCAGACAAGAAGAAGAACCGCCGCCCGGCGAGTACGTGCCCGCTCGACGCGTTTCCAGGTGCACGAGGCTGACGGGCTCATGATAGATACCGCGTTCCGCCAGCAGCGACTCAAAGCATGGCAGTATGTCTCTCTCGCTGCTTCCAGGGGCAAATGCAATCACTGACCCGCTCCCTAGGCCCATCCTCACCCCAAAGACCGTCCTGCCCCTGTTCTTCACCATCGGAATCATCTTTGCGCCCATAGGCGGCTTGCTCCTCTACGCCAGCGCTCAGGTATGGCCGGCCCGAGCAACCCTCCAGGCCATCCTTTGTTGACCAAATTGCCGCCTAGGTACAAGAAATCTCGCTCGACTACACGAGATGCAGGGCCGACGCTCCCGACTTCAGGGACAGGTTCGACAGGATGCCTGGCGACAGGGCCCAGACCGCCTTCAAGAGCTCTAACAAAAGCATTGAACCCCAGTGGGCCGTCGAAAAGGGCTTCAACGTCACCCTCGGCTCGGGCGTCAGCGTTACCACGGACCGCTGCTACTTGCGCTTCAACATACCCGAAAGCATGGGGCCGCCCGTGCTCTTCTACTACAGCCTCACCAACTTTTACCAGAACCACCGCCGATACGTCGAGTCGTCTGACCAGCAGCAGCTCAAGGGCGAGGCCCGGTCCTACGACGACATCCGGGGATCTAAGTGCACCCCGCTCTTCGGCGAAGACAGCGACGGCACCAAGAAACCCTACTACCCCTGTGGCCTCATCGCAAACTCCATGTTCAACGACTCCTTCACCAGCCCGGTGCTGCTCAACCCTCCCAGTGCAAGGGATAACCTGACACGCCCCTACAACATGAGCATCTCTGGCATTGCCTGGGACAGTGACAAGGCTCTCTACGGCCCGACAAAGTACGCCTTCTCGGATGTCCTCCCGCCGCCCAACTGGCGCGTGCGATACCCCGACAACTACACGGAGAGCAACCCGCCGCCCAACCTTCAGGAATGGGAGGCCTTCCAAGTCTGGATGCGCACTGCCGGTCTGCCCACCTTCAGCAAGCTTTACCAGCGCAATGACAATGAGGCCATGGTGGATGGGCGCTATCAAATCGTCATCGATGACCGTAAGTTGAGCACGCGCGAGGCCGTCATGTGGCAACGGCAACGGCTCACCACTTTTGTGCAGATTTCCCCACGCTTGAGTACAGAGGCACCAAGTCGATCCTCATCACTACTCGCACCGTCATGGGAGGCCGCAACCCGTTCCTGGGCATTGCCTACATTGCAGTCGGCGGCGTCTGCATCCTTTTGGGCGCCATCTTCACCGTGACCCATCTTGTCAAGCCAAGGTCAGCTGCTCGCTTTCCCGTTCCGTGGCCGGCTCTGTTGACCCTCCTACAGAAAGCTCGGCGACCACACCTATCTTTCCTGGAACAACGCCCCCGCCTCCAAGCCATCTGGTCCCAGCACCGCCATGGCCTCTGGCCGTGACGTCCGTCCCGCCGAGGCTTAGAGGGCTCACGACGGCTGTCGCGCCCCCGCCTCGCCCAGCACCGCGGGAAGCAAAAAAGCCTCGACCTCCCGCCTCGCCTCGTCTTCAGTGTCTCCCCGCACCGCTCGAATTTACCGACGGATAGAAGATCGACTCAGGCGGTTGGACTAGGGAAGATGGCGCGAAAGCAAGTTATTCAAAAAGGAGCAAGGGTGCCGGGCTGGGGTGAGGGCTTGGCCTCCGTACTCTCCCACTTGAAGACATGGTTCCCCCGAGGCGCATGACGAGCCTGATTGCCGGCAGCAGGCTCCGAAGGAGCTGACGTTTTCTACAAGAGTATTTGTCGTCTGGGAAAGAAAGCGGCAGCTCGTCACGGTGAACTTGGAATTTCCCCTGTCTCTCAACATGTCGAACCACGGAATTCATGGGGCGATGCCGGGGCTGTCCGAGGACGAGGCGAGGCCAGCAATTTTTTCCCTTTTTTTTCATTTGTATTTTCCCCGTGGCTCTGTCTTTCAAGCTCCACATCCCTACCCGTGGGCTTGGGGCCGGTCATGTACGACTGTTTCCCCGCGCGATGCTTTTCACATTGTTTGGTCCCCCCAGAGGGCGGAGTTTTGGCAAAGGGAGGGAGGAAGGGGATCTGAGCCGTCTTGGCTAGACGAAGGTATTCTTTTTGGTTCTGCAACGGTAGCTAGATGAAATGACATCTTTTCGTCGTCGTCCTTGCCCAGTGTCCACACGTCGGGCCTCGAATTCGCAAGCGTCAAGGGCAAACGAGCAGCGCCGCCGAAGGACAGACAATAACAAGGCCGTTAAAGAACGGACACGTCGCACCCAATTCTCCGTGCCCATTATTGACCAAGCAAGCCCCTATTTCAGAGTATAGTGCAACAAAAGTCCACACCGCAGCCGCCGCGTTCGGCCACAAACCACTGCCCACCATCGCCTGCTCCCGCAATGCGCGACAGCCACTCTTCGCGCACCCGCCGTTGTCGCTTGTCGCTCAGCGCTTCCGCTTCTTCTTGCTGCCCTGGTCCTCTTCCTCGTCGTGCCCGGCCTCCCGATCCCGCTTCTTGGCCTTCTTCTCGAGCTCATCCCAGTCCTCGCCCTCTTCCTCGCTGTCCAGCTCGGCGTCGTCGTCGTCGTCGTCGTCGCTCGCGTTGCTGCCAAAGTCTGAGCCCTCTTCGCTCGACTCGCTGGCCTCGTCCAGCTCGTCGTCGTCAATCTCAAACGCCGACTCCTGGTCCGACTCCTGCTCGCCACCGGATTCGTCGGACTCGGGCTGCAAAAAGGCCCACCCGCCGTCCACGAAGAACTGGTGCGTGTCGGCTGTGACGGTCTTCATGATGGCGGCCCAGTTGAGGTTGAGTGGACCTTCGGTAAAGGCAATGTCTGACGAGTCGAGAAAGTCCTTGACCTGGTCCAGGAATTCGACCGGGATGGTGTTGATGTGGTAAGGCGCCCGAGAAAAATCTTTGAAGACAAACACCAAGTCAAAGTTTTTCAGACCAAACTGCACGCGTTCCAGATGCGCCAGCTCGACGTCTTCAATCGTGACCACCATGAAGGGTGGCTCCACCACTTGAATGAGACAGTCGGTCGTGGGTTGGACAAAGACGTTGCTGCGGAACGGCACACCGTGGAACCCGAGGTCTCGGATGGGCATGTCCACCTCGATACCCTCATTGCGGCCAGCCTCGGCAATCTTCTGCGCGAATCCCTGGAACAGTCGATCAAGCTCCGCTCGGCGGCGTCGCTCCTCCTGCTCAGCCTCAAACTCGTCCTCATCGCCGTACCGATACTTGCGCTTCCGGTTGCCTGTCTCATCGAACTGTATGTCGATGGCCTCACGGTAGAACTGCACATCCTTTGTCTTCTTCTTGTTACCCACGATGATGGGGTCTTTTAGGTGGATGTGAATGATGACAATCAACTCGTGCTGGCAAGGCTGAAAGAACAGATGCCGAACGTTGGAGAAGAGCACGTCAACGCGGTGCTGGGCGTTCAGCGGAGACTGGTAGCGAATACCGTTCTGGTGAATTTCGACTTTTCCGGGCACTCGCTTGCCTTCCATGGCCGGCCGTATGTAGACATTATCCAAAACGGCCGGGCGACGGTCTGTTCGACGGGTTAGCGATCGAGCCAGCCGGCAAAGGGGCATAGTTGAAGGGCTCACTTCTAATCTCCATCAGCTTGTCCTGCTCAACCACATCCTCCATGTCCTTCTTCTCCTGTTCTCTCTTGGAGATGTCACGCTTCATATTCGAGATTTGAGTTGCAATCTCGCTATACCGATCGCCATCCGTCGACCGGAAAGTCAAACTTCGTACGAAATGAGCAGACGCATCCTCAAACGGTTGGTCGTCCTTTCTGCCGACGCCCTGACCGGGAGAGAGAAAGTTTATGCGTAAGAAGGCACAGTCATTTTCGTCGCTCTTGCTGGCATTCTTGATGGTGTTGATGTGGAACGGCACAGGCCGTCCCATGATGGGCAGAACAACAGTGTTGTTCTTGGTGTCCACTACGATCTCGAGGTTCTTGATCTTCAAGGGGAACTGGTCCTCGCGCTTGTACGACTCGAAGCGCTTGAACTTCTTGACCTCACCTCCGTTCTGCCCGCTGGTGGACTCGGCAAACCTGGCGAGGCCTTCCTTCTGTTTCTTTGTCGCAAGCTCTTTTTGGTGCTCTCGCCGCTTCTTATCGGAGTCGTCGTCAACCTGCGTAGCCCGCTCTGACCGAAGCCTGGTGTTTGTAATGTTCTTGGTGGCGACAGCGCCAACCCTAGAATCCTTCTTCTCCTTTTTGGGGGCCGGCTCCGCTTCCTCGTCGTCTTTGAAGAAGAATGAGTTGGCGTCGGCGCTGGTGGGCGCCTCGGCTGTGAAGACAACCGGCTCGCTAGTCGTGACACGGACGGTGTCGGTGAGGACGAGAGAGTAGCTCTTGCTGTTCTTATCTTGGGGCTGCGGGTTCTCAATGTCATGGAAGCCGGTGTGGATAATGAGCGTCATTCCGTCCTTGAGTGTCCGCGAGTTTTTGGCATTGAGAACGAGCGTGGGATCACGGTTCTCCAGGCCAACGCCCCAGCCAACATTCTTGAGAAAGTGCTTCTCCATCTCCGGCTTCTTGCTCTTGATGATGCCCAGCGCCTTTGCATAGACGTCCTTGGCCGCCATTCCATCTCGGATCTCCTTGAGGATGGTGTTGTGAATCATGTACAGAAGCTTGTAGTTGCTCTCCTGTGACTTGTTTGGGTCCACCAGGTACGTGCGGGCGATGGTGGAGCAGTATGACTTGTATCTAAGGCCCAGCGCGGCAATGATGATTCCGGCGTGCAGGTTGTCGTTGTTTGGATCGCCGACAAACCGAAGGTCGTATTTGCCGCCACTCTGGATGGCAGGCCCAAGGATCCAGTCGAGTTGAGAGGCATCAAAGTCGGTGGGCAGCTTGCCCTTGCTGGGAAGTTGGACCGTCTGCCAAAACTTGTTGTCGTCGAGCTTCTTGTCCACTCTCTCGGCCAGTGCCGAGTGTGTCACTTTCTTCTCGGCATCCAGGATGTTGGACATTTCGTCGAGGAAATAGGGCGTCATCAAGGCGACGCAGGCCTTTGATGCGGTCCGCATCGCTCGAAGCTCGCTCTCGTCCTTGATGGAAAACGCATGCGTAGATAGGGCGGCGGAGATGTCGACCTCTTGAACGTCCTTGCAGTGTTCGGCAAAGACCTTTTTCCACTCATCGACGAAAGGGCCCCTGGAGGTGTCTTTGGTGATTGTGCCAACTTTGTCCTGCACATGAAGGTGTCAGCGGCTTACTTTTGGCGAGTCAGGGCCGAAACTCACTCCTGCCGCCTTGATCTTGTCGGCAATATTGACGAAGAGCTTCTCGTTCTCGACTGCATCTTTGCCCCGGACTAGGACCTCGATAGGAAAGCGGCCGCCCTTGAGCTGTTCGAGATGTTTGGCTGAGAAAGAGTCAGCCACGGCCTCGGCAGAGGCTTTCCCGTTGGATTTTCGTACCTTTCTTTTGCGTCGTAAGAATGTAGAGTGCATCGACAGTAAAGAGCATGAGCGTCGTGGGAAACTCGTAGCCGAGCAGCCAAAACTGCGGCGGAATTAGTATTTCGTATTCTCGTCGTCTCATGCCGGCGGCGAGGCGCAAGACTTACGTGCATGGCGTTGTTCTTGTGGAACTCGGGGACCTCCTCGACCTTGCCCATCATGATGACGATGGAGGAAGCCCCGGCGAAAAGGGCATCCTTGGACCGCAGGTCATTCTTCCAGGCCGTCGCAAAGTGGGAGACGCGCTCCTGGAAGAGCTTGCTGTCGATTTTTATCTCCGCCATGGTGACTGCTGTGCGCGCTGGCGGGAGAAGAGGAGGCGACGGGAGAGGTGAGTGGATGAGGTGTCGGGAGCGACGCGAGAAAAGCGTCGTCGCGTAGATGGCGAGGCTGCGGAAGCGTGTCACGTGATAAGCTTCCACGCGTTGGACCAGGACTCGGCAGCGATTTGACGCTCGACCGGTGGCCTCAGACTGCGTCGGTCAAGTGTCACCAACGATACCCCGATAAGGCGACACAGTGCATTTGTCAAAAAAGGTCATCTAACTCTACTGACTATGGAGATGGAGCTCTACATGGACGGGGACGACGAGGATGAAGGCCATTCATTCACCAGCTGTGACTGGCTGCGCGTTTCGTGACGACTGCGAACCAGTTTCCCCCATCTGCCATGGCATCCTGAGCATGGTCCAGCAGCTAAACACAAATGATACGCTCTGTGCAAAGTACAGATACAGTTGTGAGTCAACGCGAGCAAGATGCACCATTTACTCGAAGCCGCAAGGCCGTCTCGCCCTTGAAATCGTGCGTCTTGAAACATGCTCCGTAGACTCATCGGTATTCGGCGCCGATAGTGGCTGCCCTTGGAGCTTCGACCCCGCACCCCCGAGCACCATCCGGGTCCAAGATTGCCGGGTCGTTGTGGATGATGGTTCCAATTCCCTCTCCCTCCCCATCAAGCCCAACAACTCGGCATATCATCGGCAACAGAAGCAATGAGACTCCCCTACGTCTCCAATCCACCACCAACAGCCACACCTCAGGATGCTGCCATCGTCGCCCGCATCCAATCTCGCCGCGCTCCCCGCCCCCTGCAGTCTCTCGACCTCGCCCTCCTCCACTCCCCTCCCGTCGCCGACGGCTGGAACTCCTTTCTCGGCGCCATCCGCACACAGACGTCTCTCGCCGCCGACGTCCGCGAGATCGCCATCTGCCGCGTCGCCGTCTGCAACAAAGCCTGGTACGAGTGGGGCCACCACGCGCCGCTCGCCTCCGAGGCAGGCCTCAGCCCGGCAGGGCTCGAGGTGATCAAGAGGGAGGTGCTCGAAGGCTTGGACAGGCCCGATGAGCTGGACGACAGGCAGTGGGCGGTCCTGTTGTACGCGGATGAGATGACGCGGAGTGTGCAGGTCAAGGATCAGACGTTTGAGCTGCTTCACAAGCTCTTTAGCAATCAAGAAGTCGTCGAGATTACGGCAACCGTGCGTATTGACCACGAGAGTCATGGACCGCTGCGCTGATAATCCACAGGTTGCCGCCTACAACTGTGTCAGTCGCTTCTTGGTGGCCTTGAACGGTACGTGAGCCGCGGTTCATTCCTTTTCTAACTGTGTCTCATGTTTCATACAGTTGGAGAGAGAAACGGGTCTGGCCCAGACCAAGCGCCTGCCCAATAAGCCACTCAATCTGTAGACCACATTGAGCAGCCCAGAGCCATTGATAGAGCAAACAAGAAGGGGTATATGACAACAATGCCGGCAGCCAACGGGCGAGCCAAAGGCTTGAAGCGACCAGAAGCAATGCGAAACAGGAGATACTAAGGGTAGAGATTAAAGGGAAAAGCCGCCGTGACTGCTGCGAAAAAGTGTATGGGGTATCCTATCTAAGTGAAGCGACCTGCAACTCCGGTCATGTCTCGCCATGCAACGGGGTTTGTCGAAAAAAGGCCCTCAAGGCGTGGCGAGGAAATGACACTGCCCTCTCCAATGTTGGCTCCTTGTTTTCACCATGCCTTTACCTGATGGGAGTTGTTTCCAAGAAAAAAAAATTGCATCGCCCGCAGCAATGACATCGCCCAACGTCACGGAGGCCTTGAGGTCATGGTTTGCTCCAGCGAGGCGTGGCGCCGTTGCATCCGCGGTGACGTCTGCAGCTCCTCGACGACGCCGGCCCAGCCCTTGCGATGCGGCGTCGTCACATTGTCCTGGTGGCCGATGGCCTGGGTAGTCAGACGGCGTATGGGCGCACGTTTGGTCATGGTCTCGGTGAGCGACTTTTGCAGGGCTGGCTTTGCGAAAGCCGACGTCTTTTCCCGGTCCCGGGGCAAAGGAGGGGGCGGCGGGGGCTGCTTGTCGGCAATGGAAGCCATGATGCCCATGTAGACGACGAGGAAGCGCATGCGCACGAGGTCGAGCCTCCGGACCCGGTCCTCGAGGTCGACGCGCTTCGAGGCCCAGAGCAGGCGCGCGCTGGTCCTCAGCGACGTGGTGCCCTCTCCAATCAGCAGGCGATTGAGCTCCTCGCGCAGGTCGTCACCGCCCCTCTGGATCTCGCGCAGCAGGCGGCCGAGGCGCAGCTTGTCCTCGAGGCGCTGGACCTTTGCGACATCGCGATCGTAGCTCTCGTTTTCCTGGATGGAGAAATCGACGGCATCGACAAAGGTGGCGACGTCGTGGGGTGCGGCCCTGTATGCCGCCGAGTAACTGGCGACGACCTGGGCGACGACGACCAACGACAGGCAGAGGGCGGTCAATGAAAGGACAATGGTCCACTGCAGCAGCCAGCCGGAATCGGCCATGATGACGGGGGGGGCGAGGCTGTGGCGGCTTTGAGGCTGCGGATGCGTGTCATGGTCCGATAGAGGCAGGCGAAAAGTCGAGGCGACGAGTGGCGACGACGAAGCAGGTTGGACGAGTGGCGTGGAGCTGTGGCATTGGGAGGAAGCGCACGAGAAGAGAGGGCTCCTGCGATGCCGCACCGGCCAGTTGGCCGTCAGAAGCGCGCGCCCCCTGTCATGTGCTGAACCGGGTTTTCTACAGTGGCGGGCATCTGCAGTGCAGACGGATTAGGCCGTCTTCCGCTATACATACACGCCTCCTAGCAGCCAAGTCTTGTGTTTGTGCAGCGGCAACTCCTCATTTCCAACAAGGCCATCAGGTTCATAAAGTATCTCATTCAAGAGCGCCCTTGCCGCTCTGCAGAAGGAAAAAAAACAGTTACCGTATCCGTCCGAACACTCGTCACATGGCGCTTGCAGGCCTGCCCCTACCGTCTGCATGGGCTTGTCGGCGGGTCCCAGCCGCCCATGTACAATACTTATCGTGAAGAGTGTACAGTACCAAGTAAATAATAGGTTATGTCCGAGACGGCGATGCACCCATGGTGTTTTGATATCACGTGAGTACTTCAACGTCAGCCCACCCCGGTGTTTTCTTTAGCAGCTGAATTCTTTTTAGTTGATACAACGCCCCAGCGGAGCTCTCCGGCCCGTAAAACATGCTCGCCAAAAAGGGGTGGGCAGTGGAGGGCAGCTTTAATAACTGCTAGCTCGGTAGCTCCTGCCGCCTTAATCCGACGACTGATGATGGCCTCGCTTACGGAGAACGCCGGCACTGCTCGTTTCTTATCGACGTGCCGGTCAAGGCTCAAACTGCGCCAATGAGAGCTTGCTGAGGTCGACCTGACTCCCCAGACCAAGCCCTGGCTGTCACCCGAGAAAGAGTTCGCCCACTTGTAAGCTTTTCTTCTTACATTGCCCCGCCTTGTGTCTAGGACCTTTTGAAGTTCTTTTTAAGCAAAGCCCTCACGCTCTGTTGTATTTCTATCGAAACTCCAGGAGACAACTCTTCAGGCATCAGCCGGCACGTACATTAAACGCATCTTTGGGCCGTGCTCCGAAAGCTCGACAGGCACGCCGAGATGAACCCACTCAAAAACGTTTCGGAGCGCTGGCCTTGTAGATACAGATGACCGTCACGACCTACGTATAACTTGAACACATTGAAAAATTCGAAGCTCGACTGTGGGTAGGCCGAAACGGAGGTTTCTCGGAGTGCTGGCTTTGAACATACAGATGACCGTTACGGCCTACGTGTAACTTGAATCCAACGAGAAATCCAATATATAGTATGGTGCATGAAGACGTTCTGACAGCTCCTAACATGTCCTTGCATAGAAGCTCATTGCGCTCTGCACCTCTCGTAAAGCCGCTCCTTGTCTAAAAGAATCATGCTTAGTCGACATCTCCGGCTCTTATGCCTCGTCTACCTCTTTTGGTGGCCCATCCCTACCTATTCTCAGCCCCCTGGACCAGAAATCACCGTCGTTTACCGCGCCGATACCCTGAGGCCTCAACAAGCGAGGCTCCAGGGCGGGTTCTGGCCTCGAGGCATGAATCGAACTCGGCCGACTGCGTTGCGCGCAGACTTTAGCTTGTTCAACCACGTCCAAGGCACGTCATCCCACACCAGTCGGGACAATTCGGGCTTCGTTTCCACAACTGCCAGTGGTGATTTCGCCGAGCAGCACCTTCTTGATGACCTGGACGCGACCGGCTACATCTACAGGATTCACGTAGCGGAAAACATCGTCGACGCAGCTGCCTCGCTGGGACCATATTATCCGTATCCAGACGAGGAGGAATTCGCGGCAATCGCTGGCGTACGCTGGATCCAGGTCCTTGGATGGACCGAGTACAGAAACGGCGATGAGATGGACTACGTTGAGAATCCCGATTATCGGTCGGAACTGTTCGATTCCCGCCGAACAGGCGGTGCGCAACCCCAGCTTGCTGGGTTTCCGGTGGGACATCCTGCCTGGCACGAGGATCCCTGGCGTTTCATGGCCGACTGCTTGAGCTTCAAGAAACGTCAGCTGTTTAGCGAGTGTGTGCCAAGAGACTCAGCATTGGAGCATGGATCGGACTATCTGGCATCTGCCACTAGGTTCGATTCCTTAAAGCTTCGTGTTCAGCTCGCCAATGATTTCTACGCCGGAACCGAGGACGCAATTGGCGTTAGATTCGGCTCAGAGAAAAGCGATATTAGTCTCTTTAACGATGCCTCGCGAGGACAGACGGCTTCTGTAGACGTCAATTTGACGGTCGTGTTCGGACAAGCCAAGGTTCCTCTACAGTCACTATCTGGACTCCTCCTAATCCAAACACCCGTGCCACATCCCGTCGCAGCAGACGACTTCAAGATTCAAGGTGCGTTTGGTGGCTGTCGAGAAGCTCGGTATCTCACATGTGCCGCATCTTGACTTGATTTTTCTTTCTCTAGGTATCTGGGTGTCGATACGCCTTATTGACACTCGCCTGTGGCTGCAAAATACAAACTACGCTTGTTTGAACAAGTGGCTAGGCACGAGAAGGCCATATCCAAGCCTGGTATGGAGCGGAGCCCTCAATTTGGAAGATTGGCAAGCATCTGAGTGATTGAGAGCACGGGTGACGGGAGCCAGTGGCGGAATGTGAAGCTGCGTGAAAACTGACTGAAGACGGGGCTGACGGCGGAGGCAACAGAGTCGTCGATGTAGAGAGAAGACAAGCACGCAATACTTTGATGCGCAACGCAATAAACTACTTGGAGAAAATAGCCATCAAAAGGCTGGTCGTGGATCCAGGGTTGAGCTGTCAAAGAAAGAGTCTTCCGGGTGTAGTTTGTCGTGACTTTTGATTGGCCGAGAAATTCTGCCCACGGCGAGGTAGTAACCTTACCTTGTCAGCACCCCAGCGTCCTCCTCGCGGACAGGCACGCCAAACCTCGCAACATCCGCACACGAAATATATACAACAATCCCGCATCGCGCCGGGCCCTTTTCATCATGGCGACCGACTCGCCAGCGCCGACTTTCCCCCTCCCGCCCATCCTCGAGCACCCCGCGTCGACGCCGCCTTCGCTCGTCGCCCAAGGGGCCGAAGGGCGTCTCTACAAGACGACGTATCTGCAGCCCGACGTCCCCTGCGCCCTCAAATACCGCCCGCCCAAGCCGTGGAGGCACCCGATTCTCGACCAGCGCCTGACCAAGCACCGCATTCTGTCCGAGGCACGCATCTTGGCAAAGTGCCGCAGGGACGGCGTCCGCGTGCCCGCCGTCTACGCCGTCGACGAGAGTGCCGGCTGGCTCATGCTCGAGTGGATACACGGCACGCCTGTTCGCGTCAACATCAACGAGTGGTTGGGCGGCAGGACCCAGGGCATCGACGACGACGAGCCTCTCAAGGGCCTTATGCGTCGCATCGGCGCTGCCCTCGGCCAGATGCACAAGGTTGGCTTCGTGCACGGCGACCTGACGACGAGCAACATGATGCTGAGCCCGCCGGCCACGGGCGCCAAAGACGCCCTCGACGGAGACATCATCATCATCGACCTCGGCCTCGCCAGCGGCAGTGTCCAGGACGAGGATCGCGCCGTCGACTTGTACGTCCTCGAGCGCGCCTTTGGCAGCACCCACCCGCGCGCCGAGTGCGTCTTTGGCGAGGTCCTCGAGGCGTACAGGCAGTCTTTCAAGCAGGCCCCCATTGTCCTCAAGAGGCTCGAAGATGTCAGGATGAGAGGTAGAAAACGGAGCATGATCGGCTGAAGCAAGGAGTAGCCCCGCCCTGAGACTGGTCAATTGTCTGTCCCCAACACTTTCCAAGTAATTTGCCTCCCAAAGCCTTGATACCATGCTCGCTGTTGCTACCCATACTAATCGACAGTCAAAGAAACATCCGGGTGTGCTGCTCGCGAACCGCTCGCCGTCGTGTTCGCCCAGAAACCGTATCAAGTCACGTAACCAGCCCGTCATCTAGTGCTCGGACAGTTCCGCGCCGGCAAAATACCCCTTGTTTTCGATGACTCCTCGATCGCGAACAAAGGCCATGTACCGCACCACCCACTGTGGGAATATATCGCCCTGCAGGCCGACGCCGTTGTGGGCGGCATCGGCCAGCACGCCGGCGCCTTGTGGGCCATGGCCCAGAAGCTCTCGCAGCGTCCCGCGCGGCAGGATATCCGTGCAGTCAATGTGCACGTTGAGCTCGACGCCCGCTTCGTCGGCGAGCTTCTTCAGCGGCGGCGGTACGTTGCAACAATCGCGAAGGTTGATTTGGTCGACGGCTGGGCGGATCGTCGTCCTCTTGATAAACTCGCCTAGCCGGTCGCTGCCAAACTCGGCTACGCCGAGCTTCTTGGCGACGCCTTGCCGGTGCAGCTCTTCAAACACTTTCCACGTCGCGAGCTGGTCTTCCAGGTTACCCTGCTGTGCGTTGATTTTGTCTGCCTCCCACTCGCAGTTTCCTTCAAAGGACATGCCGGGAAAGGATATGACGAGCAGATCGATGGTCTGCACGCCGAGCTCCTTGCTCACCAGCCCAAGCGCCTCCCGCGCGTACCGCTCGCGCTCCGCGACGGGCGTGTCCGGGAGCAGGAAGAGTTTGACTGTAATCTCGTACTGGCTCGCCTCCTCGCGCAAGCCAGCCGCCTTGACGGGGACGCGCGGAATGTACAGCGCCTTGCCGTTGCGCTCCGTCCATGCGTCTACGGGCGCGCGGGGCGGCGATTCGGAGCCGTTGGTCTCGGGCGCATAGTCGTGGCGCGCAGCGGCAAAGTGGTCGCGGAGGGAGCTGACGAGCTCGAGGTTGGATCTGGTATTGCTGCCCGATTTGCGAATAATCGGCGGGCCGCCGGCGGACATGACATTGCTGGCAGGGTTCGGTTAGCTAAGACGCGCATGGTTGGAGGGCAGGGATTGGGCTCGAGGTAGCACAAACCCCGTTGAGAGGACGATCTTGGTCATGACGGGCAATGCGCCGGAGGGGAGCCCGCAGAAGAAAATCCACGATCGAAACCCACGAGACGGAAACGGGGATCTAGCAGAGCTCGGAGGGTGAAAGGGGCGAGATATAAAAAAAGGGACGAGGGGATCCGAATCGAGATGGCACTGGAACCGTGAGAGGCTTAGGATGCCTGATATGTCAGCCTTCGTTCGCACCGATGGAGGCAGCTGGAAGCTGAAGCCTTTGTTACAGGATCCCGGTGTCCCGGAAAGGCGAGATGGCTTAGTAATACAATGGCTTGGTGCTGAAAACGGGGGGAAGAGGCCGCTTGGGAAAAGCCGGGTTGAGGAAGATATGGAGCGACGGGCCGAAGGGTGAGTGTGCGACTAGCCGACGATTATACCAGACACGAGCAGACCATGGCATGCGTATTCCGTAAGCTTTCAGAAGGGGTAAGACGCACCGTGTCAGCTTATAAGCGTTGTCGACCCGGGAGAGTTGCTCGACACGGCTTGAAAAGCGAAGCACAATGGACGGGCAAGAAAGACTCCATCGAGGCTACACGGCCGTGTCTTCAAGGACGGCCAACCAACGTTCGTGGGTTGAGAGAGTCGGTGACTGCATCACAGGACATGGAGAGCCTCGTACAAACCCAACGTCAGTCAGGACGGCGGCTCGTGGCGCAGGTCATGTCCTCGAGCCCCACTGTAGCCTGCTGAGTCTAGGAACTCCGAATGGGTCTGTGGCTGGGCCGGCTGGCTCGGAGAAACCCCTTCCAGGCAGGATTCGCCGCCCGCCGAAGGTGCGGGCGGCGCTCGTCACCGACCGGCCAAAATTCACCCAGGACTGGCTTGTTGAAGACGCAAGAAATCCACTCCGCGTCCAACTCTTCTTCTTCCCCAGGCACCACGCTTCCCGCATGCCAGGCTCCGCTCGGTGATGCGGATGTGATCGTCACAATGGCGATTCAGTGAGCATCCCATCGCCGACGTGGCTCTCTGGCCATTCATGCTAACATGTGGCCGCAAGATACCTCATCCTGCTGTCCCGCCAGGGCAAAGTGGTGCGTCCCATATCCACGCACACACAGGGCCGGAGCGAACCAATGACACGGTTGACTGACCTTCTCGCAGCGCCTTGCCAAATGGTTCACGACCCTGTCTCCCAAGGACAAGGCCAAGATTGTCAAGGACGTGACGCAGCTGGTCCTCGCACGTCGAACTCGCATGTGCAATTTCCTCGAGTACAAAGGTCCGGTGCCCCGTCATGATGCTCTTCACTCACCGCCAGACTGACACTCTTGCTCCCTGGCCTAGACACGAAGATCGTATACCGACGATATGCCTCCCTTTTCTTCATCGCTGGCTGCTCATCCGAAGACAACGAGCTCATCACCCTCGAGATCATCCACCGATACGTCGAGCAGATGGACAAGTACTACGGAAACGTGTGCGAGTTGGACATCATCTTCTCCTTTACAAAGGCATATTACATCCTCGACGAGCTTTTGCTGGCTGGCGAGCTGCAGGAAAGCAGCAAGAAGAATGTGCTGCGGTGCATAGGGCAGCAAGACTCACTCGAGGACATGGAGGTGAGTGGCTCTCAGTCAAGTCTCGTCTCCTAGGTCGCCGTTCGCCAGGAGGCATCCCTCTTGCGTTTGCGCACACGTCGACACCACGTTGCCGCTGACGCTTGAGCTGCCTGACGAAAAGGTCGAGGAAGAGATCACCCGGTTGATGTAACGGCTGCACCTCCTCCTTCTCGATGGAACACTTTACTACACGGATGCTGGCGATGCCACTCAACATTATAATACCACCCACCACGTTCAAGCCGCATAGACAAGAGGGGGATACACTGGCGGGGGTTCGGGGGTTCAGAGGGAGCTTGACATTAACACGGGTTTGACAGGCCTCTCTCGCTATCGAACAGACTCTCAGGGACGCGGGCATGCTCTGAGCATCGGTATCGGATCTCTTCGGCGTAGAAGAGAGGGCACGAAAGGGATGGGGCGTGGTCGTCTCCATGGTCTTTTGGCGATGGGGTCAGCAGCCCCGGATGGCTTTGGGTGTCTATAGATCTTTGAGAATGGAAAACCATGCTCATTCATATCAAGAGACGAGCAGCTACTGGCCTTTGGATATTTCCTGTCGGTCGACGGGCTGTTGCATGGTTGCCTATCGAGTCCATACTCGGTTCCACGTCGCGGCATCGAAATGGCAACCATACTGGCGGGCTCACAGCAGATGCTGGCACGAAAGGTGGTGCGACGCATGGCAGCTGAGGACCGCTAATCGGCGCCGATTCAGGGCTGTCCGGCTTGGGTGGCTGCCGAGAAGAGATACCTGTTGACAATGTCACGCCACGCATTAGCCGGCCGCTCGAGGTACCTTGGTTTGCGGTACCCGAAAGGGTCATGGCCCACGGATCCGTCGTCAGCCATCGCCGCTCCTCCACCTCAATGAACCGCTCGCTCCCGCTTGGCATTCTCACCATCCCCGCCCTTCCGATTCCGAATCACGCGATGCCTGCCAACCCTCGCCGCTAGACACGTCGTCTAGCAACAGACGCACCCAGGGCTTCCATCTCGCGCGCAGCAAGCGGCAGCTCGACCGGCAGACGCGACGCAACAATCATCTCGCACCGAACCGACCCCGTCGTCATCGGCGCCCCCGGCCACGACGCCTCGCTTGCACTTGCGCGCGTGCGCTGAACAGACACCTGTGCACTGACGCAATCGCGGCCCACCTGACAGCTGTCGGGTCCTCAAACCCAGCGCTTTTGTTCCCTTCGACAACGCGCCTCTCTTCCGCCCTCTTGTCTCTCACCATCGGCTATCCAACTTTGCTTGCAGACACGATGAAGGTGAGCGCATCTCAATCCTCCTCCGCCTTGGCGCTGCATGAGTGCGCCATCCACATGCTAACTCGTCTCGCAGTACCTCCCGGTGCGCGACTTCGAAGCCGTCACGAGCGCGCTCAACTTCAACACGCCCGACTGCAACGTCACGGGCGGCTGCGATCTCTACACGACCAAGTCGACCGGCTCCGACAAGAAACTCTACAAGAACATCGACAAAGACCTCAGCTCCCAGCATGCCGCGCTCTTGAAGCTCGGCGCCAGCCTGTCTCCGCCCGACCGCGAACAGATGCTTGCCACGTCGCCCAGCATGCAGCTCTTCTCGACCTCGAGCGCCTTTGGCCCCCTGTCGGAGCTCTCGAGTCGCCGCACTTTTGCCTATCTGATTGCGACGCTCAACGCGAGCCATCCTCACTACGACTTCTCTCATGTTCTGCGGCCCGGCGACTTCAAGCGCGAGCGGAATCTGCGGCGCGTCATGATCAACCTGGATTCCATCCTGCAGAACGTGCGACCCGGCCTGGAAGCGACGTCGCTTGACTCCTCGCCCGGCAGTAACCTGAACTCGGTTTGGGGCCCCCGGTGCTGGTCACTGATTGACAAGGAAATGCGGCTTAACGAGTGCACCATCTTCAGTTACCACCCCGATCCCGACCCGTTCGAGGAGGACGAGAGCGCCATCTGGGCGGTGCACTACTTCTTCTTCAACCGAGCCCTGAAGCGGGTGGCCTATCTCTACGTCCGCGTTGTCCCCGTCATCTCGTCCACGAGTCCGACGCTGCGGCCCACAAAGCTCGGCCAGCACAAGCGGCAGACCGACTTTGACTCGGAAGGCGCCAAGAAGCGCGCCAGGTACTGGCTCGGTGACCGCGATGCCGAACTGGTGCCTCCCTACGAGGACGACGAGGGCCCCCCCGACGATGGCTTGTTCTGGAACCGCGGATCGGATGGCGACCTGGTGCCCTTTTCGGACGACGATTATTTCCCGGAGCTGGACGAGGACTACGAGGAGCCTGACGACGATGACGACAGCCAGGAGCCTGGCAAATGCAACGAGAGACTGATGAGTGAGGACATTGCCGGGCGGATGGAGATTTGATGCCTTCTGATTGCCTCGCCCCCCTCTCTGCGCTGGAACGCCCCTCTGCGCTTGGAATCAGATCCAGACCTGCGTTTCTCAACAAACGTACCCACGGCAACGGAATGTTGCACCCCGTGGGTGTGGAGGCTTGCCGCGGAGTGGACGTAGCAGTCGGCTCGGGGATATCGCTATGACGCTGTTTTGCAGGCCAGGGGCTTTGTGAGCCGTCTTTTCCAAGCAAGTTCCCCCGTCCCCGTTTTTTTCCTTTTTGTTTTGAATTGTTGCCATGTGGGCGAGGCTGGCTAGCATGGTGTTTTGGTAGGTCTGCTTTCTGGTCGGTGAGAGCGGCTAGGAAGCCCGTCTCTGGCGTTTTTTTCTTCTTTTGCCTCTATCGAAACCAATATCAATTTCCTTTTACCGCTCGTCAAAGTCCACCCCTCTCCTCTCTGAACCCCGTCCCCTCAGTCGGTGGACGCTGCCATTGGCGCTGGATGATAATGACGGGCGGATGGATCAAGGCAAAGGGTGGCTGCGTTTGCCCCGGGCAGCTAATGAAGTGCATGTCGTGGGGAGCGCCGTGCTGCTTGTTCTGCCGGGTTGTCCGTCGTACTTGCTGGATTTCTTTGCGCTGCGGACGCTGTTTTGTATTGTAAGCAACGAGGATGGCTTCCACACGTGTCGGGGCCAAAACTGCTTGTCTGGTGCCCCTGACTGCCCGTATTACGAGACGAAGTCACCACGAAACCCCTCCCACAGACCCTCTTTCTTCCCGTCTCTCCCAACAAAAGAGGCGAGAGCGAAAAGAAAAGAAAACGACGTGCATAATTCACCTTTCTCCATCTACGCTTCGCAGCAAGGACCATAGAGCAAGCCTGCTCTATTCTTGGGTGGCTCCAGGCAACCAAGGAGACGACAAGGGGCAAAATCCTGGTGCGTCATCGTCGGCGCCGCCATGAGGATTCTGGAGGCGGACAAGCTGGCATGAGCGCCAGTTTGCGGCAAACAACCCATCCGTCTGTTGAGCCCGTTGTGCACCATCACCAAGAGAAGGATGGCGCTCTAGGTTCTTCACGTCGATTCGTTGCCTCCTTACGCGCAGCTTGTCAATCGCGAGTCCAGATATAGATTGATATACGGATATAATTTGAGCAAATGTCCCAATTTACGCTCCCCCGTCCCTTCCACCTGACGCAATGGCGCTCAGTCAAACAGGTCATGCATTAGTAGATGGCCGCAAACCGAGTTGAAGCCCCCAAATGTCCGCCCTCCCCTCTCCTTTACCAGGCCCTCACAACATCAATGAAAAAGCCAAGCCGATATGCCATAGGATTCCCCAACAAAATCCTGCCTTCAAACCACACAAAAGAAGCAGCTCAGGCCCGCGAGACACAGACTGCGGGGATGGCCCCGGGTATTCAGAAAGCAGTAGAGAAAGTGAAAACTTGTAAATGAAACCTATGGTTGGGCCAAGGCCGTTGTCAAGGCCAGAGCAGAGAATTAATTCCGATGTCGTCAAGGCACATTGCAACCATGGAGGCAGAAAGGTCGTAAGTAGTTGGTAAAGTCGTCAAAGAGATGTAATGCAAAGAAATGTTCCACACTGCGAGCGCCTGGTGTGGTACGATGTAGGGCTTCACGTCGCACTGGCCTTCTTCTTCCGCCCAAACATCTTGGAGAGGCCGTTGCCATCGTCCTGACGCGACGAGTTCCGGCTGGCCGACGCCCGCCGAGCAGGACCTCTGGGGGCCATGTCAGGCGGCGCAGAGTCCCGAAGGAATGCAGCCAGGTCGGATGTCTGACTTTTGCTCACAACGGCTTCGCGAGGCTCAAACTTCTTCATCGGGACATGGCCCGCGGATGGGGTTGTCGACGTCATGCGCGGCCGGCTCATTTGGCCGTTGTCTGTGGACCCATACTTGTCATAACCCGGGGGCATGTTGACTTGTATGGGAATGTAGCCGCCTCTGCCGGTCGCTCGGCTATTGAAAGGTGGCACCTCTTGCTTCGCGGAGGCACTCTTCGGCGGGCCGCTAGGCCCGTTGGAGTCCTTGTTTTCTCGATTGCCGTTGCGGGTGAATCTGCCGATGAGGCTCGGCGCGCTCGACTTCTTCCTGGGCAAACGAGGAGGCTCGGATGGGGGCTCGGGCGGGGGCTCGTAGTTGCGCAGGAACTCTGCCAAGCTCTCCTCTTTCCTAGCGGGAGGCCTGGGAGTTTCTGCGAAGCCCTCGTCCTCATCTTCCTCGTCACTCAAGTCAATTGCGTAGGGATCGCGGACGCGCCGCTGCTTTCGCTTCGGCATGGGCGCTTCGTCGTCGAAGCCTGCGCTTGGACCCGGCGCACCCTTGTTGTTGAGCAGAGCAGAGTTGGAGTTGATCGAGGACTGCATCGAGGGCATCGAGGTCTCCGTCATATTGGTCGAGCCTTGGCTATACCGAATCTCGGGGATGTTGGCGTCGACAGCCATGCCACCGATGGCTCCAGCCAGCTGATCCGAGTCCATGGTGGAACGGAATGGGGCCACGTGACGGGGGATCCGATGATTGCTCGCCGCGATTGGAGGGCCTTGGCGGATAAAGTCGATCAGGTCCGAACTGTCTCCCCGGTTGTCAACGGCGGCCTCGCGGGGCTGATAGCGTTCGCGACTGAGGGCCGGCGAGACGGGAGGAAAGTCCATGCTGCTTTTGATCGGGCTCGTCGGCGTCCTGACCTGAGGGTGTGGTGGACCCTTTTCACCCGCCGGTCCCGTGCACTTGATGAATTCGGCAAAGTCGGCTGTTGATTCTCCATACGTTCGGGCGTTTCGAGCCTCGGGTCCTCCCGCACGACCCGTCGATACCGCCACACCAGCAGGGACACGCGGGACAGGGCCGGGAGACTTGGCGGACTTGCGTTCGCCCGTCCTGGGGCTACTGGGGCTGACCGGGTGATGGCTCAACGGGGACTTGGGTGCCTCAGCCGCTGTGGGTGAAGATCGGGGTGTTTGCTGGCCACGGACTTCCTCGCTCTTCCGCGAGAACTTGGTGACAACTGGGCTGTCGAGGGAGCGCTTGGACTGCGTCGACATTAGCCTAAACCATCGCACATCGTCTCGTCACCGGAATGGGGCTACTCACGTCAATGTCTCGCATGTTTTCGGGCGTGAGGGTATACGTAATGGTTTGATTGCTCTGAATCAGCTCCTCAAAGTTACGTGCCACGCTCTCGGCGCGACTCGAGTTGTCCTCCGAGGCCCGAACGGGCTTCAGCCTTGACGTGCCCGATGAGGCAGACGAGGCAGAGGTATGGATTTGTCGAGGCGTGACGTTGCTCTGAGTAGGAAGCACCAGCTCCTCGTCTGTCTCCCTGGTCCGGGAACGCTCAATGGGCGTCATGCCCCGGCCGTCAGCCTTGGGACTGTGCCGCCCCGAGTGCCCCGCTGCCTTCTGGGGAGCTTCGGGAATGGTGTCATCCCGGAACGGGCCGGTCGAGACATTGAGGATTTTCGGGCTCGAAACCTTGACGTTGGAGACTATGTGCTCGCGCCTGTTCATCGGAGAGGTTCTTCCAGCTGAGGTGGCCGTTGCCTGCCCTTTCTTGGCGCGTGATGCAAGCGGCTCGGCAAAAGGGATAATGGGTGCGGCTTTGGCGAGGCCGGCGGCGCGAGACGCAGAGGCATTCGGTCGGCGGTGATAGTCCTCATCAGACTCAGAAATCGATTCAGCTGCAGGCCTCGAGTGCCTCGTCCTTTCAATGGAAGCGCGAGAAGTCGAAGCATATCCTGACGCCTCCGCCTCGCGTTCGATGGCCTTGGCCCTGCCGTCAGTCTCCGCGGCAGTGGCTCTTGGACTGTTAATCAGGCCCGATGGACTGATGCGGCGAGCTCGTTCCGCAGTCTCGACCGAAGTGTGTCGAGAATGGGCCGGGCTCCTAGGTCCTGTGACATCGACTATGCGGGCTGAGCGAACGCTGGAAGATCGCTTGACAGTTGAGGCCTTGCCGCTTTCCGAGGCGATGGACGCCGAAGCCGAGCTACCGGCGATTGAGACTCTAGAGGAAGTGACAATCTCGGCGGTTTCGTAGGTTACGACTTCATCATCTTCGTCACGGATGGACGAAACGCTGTTTCTGCGGCGAGCAACGGCTGCCGCACCCGTGGCGGCGGCGGCGGATGTCGTTGCGAGCGCTGCAGCAGCAGAATCACCTGGGCGCTTCTCCCCGGACGAGGCTGCCGTCGCCTTTGAGGTGCCGAGTGCCCTGGCACCGGGGAGAGCCAGATCGGGGTGAGGCATATCCTTTGCGCCTGACGCAGACGATTTCCCCTCAAGGGCCGCAAAATCCAGCGCATCCGCGGGCTGTCCGGCTTTCATTTTCTTCTTGGGAGCATAGAAAGGCCATACGGCGGGAGTGGGCAGCGAGTTGGCCCGCTTTCGACTCGGAACCATGGGCGTTTGAGGTTGAGACATGGTTGGCGTGGGGAGACCGTTGGCAACGACGGGGAGCATTATGGTGAGGCTCCTTGAGCGGCGCGGGGCCTTGGCCTCGACGACCGTCTTTTCGTCAAGCTCATCGTCGCTGTAGCGAGCGAGGCCCGGAACTTCAATCTCATCCACGTCTTTGTCACCCAGGGGCAAGGGGATGTGCGAGGGCTCGTCAATCTCTTTCGTGGCACGTCCGGTGGGGGCCTGGAGCTTCCTGGACTCACTCCCGCTGTCGCTGGTTCCCGATCGGGCGGTGAGTGCCTCGGTGGCCAGAAACTCGTGCCTCGGCGGAGCCATCAAATCTGTCGAGAATGGGTGTCCCGCAGAGTCACTGCCCGGATGCCGCATTCTCTTTTTCCAACCCCGCCACAAGCGGCCGAGGGTGCGATCGAGGGCGACGCGCTCCATGTCCATTTCACCGACCACAATAGCATCGGCGACATTTGAGGTGCGTCGGGTGCCCTCCTTGATGTCCCTTTCTATCTTGGCTCGGACCCGGGTATAGGAGACCTGGCCGGCGACAGTTAGGGTGAGCTCGCCCATGTATTCCAGGACCGAGGTGAGGAAGATGGCGGCGGCGGGAGAAATAACATGCGAGGCCTGCTCGTGGGTGCCTATCTCGAGATTCTCCTGCTCCATGTATAGGTCCTCGTCTTCCTCCTCCATGTCGCCGAGGGACGAGTATACCATGCATCGTAACCTGGTGCGCTTCCAGGCGAGCTCGACATCCCAATCCCGCGAGGCCCTGGGGTTGGGCAGGGGCGAGTATTCGTCTTCATCGCCGCTCCCAAGGTACTCGCGCAGCTCCTCGTCCGCGTTGCTGATGGTGTCCTTGGCGAGCTTGGGCTTGAGGATTTCGGAAACGGCGGGTCGGAGCGCTGACAGGTTGGTGGAGCGCGAGACCTGGAGAAAATTGAAAAGAAGCTGGTCGAGAAAGGCATTGACCAGCTGAAGGGCGTCAGAGGTGACGACTGCGGGCTCACTGGGCGGCTCGATGCCATTCTGGTCGTACCAGGTGCCGGCGTGGTTGTCGTGATCGTTGGTGACTATTTGGGCGGCGGCCGAGGCGGCTATGAACTCTGGTTCGGGTGATACAGACAAGGGAGGCGAGGCGAGGCCCAGGCTGTGGCCGACGGTCGATGGCCTGTCGCTAGATATGCTCTGGGTCCTCGACCTGGCGTAGCGCGGGGCCGGCATGGCAAAGAGAGTCGGGCTTGCCGGTGCCATGATGGCGGCACCAGCAGCTGATTGAGAATCGGTCGGTATGGCGAATGCTCTGGCGGGAGCGGAAAGGCACAAAATGGCTAGAGAAGCGGTCGGGGGGGACACGGCTGATGGTCTGTGCCCGTGTTGTTGCAAAACTTGGAGCTGCGCGCACTGCAGCGTGGATCAGCCGGCGGGCCCAAACTGTATATTTTCACACACAAAGTGGGAGAAGGGGAAAGTGGCTGGCGCAATTCGGTTTAATAGGGGGGGGAGGGCAGTGGCAGGTTTTTTCACACTCTGCGTGACACAGCGAGGGAGGCCACTTCATGCAGGAGGTGTCGAAGCTGCTCGTGGCAGGTCTCGCTCCCATGCGCAACACCACCAGCCACATTTACTCGGCAGAGATGAGGGAGAGGATGGGCGGATATGCGCAAGAGAGAGAGCAAATACCTCGAGAGATTAGGACGACGCGGCGACGAATTGGCTTTGCATGGCGCCGCCGCCGAAGACAGCACAGGCGAGGACGGACGGAGAAAGCAGTAAGAGGGGAGGTAATGCTAAAGAAGAGGTTGGATGATGACGATGACGACGACGACGACGACGACGACGACGATGATGATGCTGAGAGGGAGAAGCCGAGCGGGAAGAGAAGGGGCCTGCGTGCTGCTGGTTTGGCTTGAACTGCAAGAGGGCTCCCAGTGCGACGACCGCCGTCGGCAAGAAAAGAGCAAGACGGAGAAGCAGACGACGGAAGAAGAAAAACCGAGCCAAGCTCCTGGGGATCTGCTAGTGCCTGCGGTGGCTCTTGGTCAGGGGGGGTGGGCGATGGCTTATTAGAGGGTGGACGATGATGGATGGATGCGCTGACCTACGCGGGTGGAAAAGGTGCTGTACAGTGCCTAATAACTTGGCTGTTAGCAACCCGACAACTCCTTCTGGAGACGGTGGACCGATGCCCCTAGCGCAGCCCCGAATAGCGTTAGCCCCTATCGCTAGGACCCCTGCTGCTCCCTCTGTGGCTCGGTCAGGGAAGAGGGGGGGGGCGCTTTCTGGCCGCTACAGCTTTAGCTCGGCTCCCGCAGCGAGAGCACGAATCCTCGCCGGCCAAGGGGCACACGCGTTCCTTTGCCAATTAAATGGGTCGCGGCATTCGCTTCGGCCGACCATGGGGAGCGGAACAAGTGCCAGCCTACGGATTCGTAACTGCTTGTACGAATACCAGCCTCTCTCTCACTCGCTACGGTGCACGCGGCGAAAGGCTGGTCACTCACTCGCTTTCCGGCATTGACTGTCTTTGTTTAGCCCGGCTGTCTATCACCCCTGTCCCGGACATCTTGGCCGATGCCTGTACAATCAGGGCCTCGACCAGCAAAAGGCAAAAGAAAGACGAGGGGGGGAGCGCGAAGCACACAGCGCCCTTTTCTCTCCTTGACTCGTGGGGACGTCCATGCACACATACACATGATCCCAAGCAGTCGGGAGCCACTGTTGGCGCTGCGGGAGATGGACGGCAATTGCGCTGTGCTAACTACTTATTCTTGGACGGATGGCAATCAAGTTGTTCAGTCCAGTGTGCTCTGCATGGCCCAGGCAAGCGGCCGATGACCTCCCAAGGCACCTGTTTTCGTGCATTCTTCATATAGTGAGCCGGACTGGGTGAGCCCCGGCATCGTCAGCGAAACGGTCTTCGGCATCAGCATTCTCCTTCCAGTACTGTGTCCCGCGCCAATGCGGGAGGCAGGGCCTGGGGGTGGGGAGGGCCCGCGCCGCTGTCGGTTGGATGCCACCTCGGCGCGCCATCATCAGCCCGAAATCGTCCATCCACCTCGTCCTCGCCCTCAAGGCAGCCAGTCTTACGGCAGCCCTCCCTTGCCTGGCCTTGTTTTTGGCCGTCCGAATGTAAGTTGCCGCCAATACATCAGAAACTGGCGCCTTTTTGACAACCGTCCCGGCTCGGCTCGGCCGTTTACAGCCTCCACGCCCGAATCTTAGCCCGTAGATGCGGTTCCTGTTATCCGCCCACCTTTTCTTGGCTTCGGCTGAGCCAGTTACTTGACCACCTTCGTTGGTCATGTAAAGTAGTCTGCAGACCTGAAGTGAGGACGCAAATGCACAGACTTGACCAATTTTGCTGTGCCGTAGCTCTCGCCTATCATCCTCTCTCTCTCACATACCACTCCCCTCTTTCGGGTATTGCCGCTCCTCCTCCTCCCCCCCTGTCCACGAATCCCAGCCCTCTGCGCAAGTAAATAGGCGTCCGTCTGCCCCGTGGCCGGGGGCGAGAAGAGGCGGAGCGCTCCCGCCCCCATGCCACGCCCGGCTGGCGCTCGCTCGTCGTGGTGTGCGTGTGCGGGTAAAGCGCCCGTCGGCACTCGCTTGGCGTTGGATCACCAGTTTGAGCGATTGTTTGAAAGATGGCTAACATCAAGCCAAGGCACTGCAGTAAGAGTCGACTCTGACGACATGTCGGTGGTGGAACCTGCTAAGAAAGACCAACCTCTATTCGGTAGGCCAGGCCGAGCCAAGGGACGAGGTGAAGGCCAAGATGAACAAGACATGGCAAATGAGCAAGACTAATAAGAAAAGAAAAGGACTCGACGATGAAAAAAGGGCAACGGAAATCCCCAAATTAAAAAAGACCAGAGCAGGGTCCCCAAGCCTTGGTCCGTCGCCCCGCACCTCCGGGCTCGCACAGACTCTTCCTCTATCCAAGACAGCAAATATCTAGCTTGGTGAATCGCAGTCACGAGTGATCAAGGCTGTGCTGCCGATACCTGTCCGGCTGGGTCGTCGACTGGAAAAGAAACGCCGGATCAGCACACTCAGGCGACGCACGGCTGCGGCGTAGCGGTCGATAATCAACAGCCCTGGCTGGCTGAGCCCGAGTTCCGACGACCCCAGCGGTAATCGAGACAGAGTCGATGCCAGCACCGTCTGCGGCGGACGATGGCGTTGCCCCCCGGTTCTTCCAAATGCCTGTTCATGCCTGCGTTCGGGACAAGGAGGAGCGTTTCCATAAACATGAAGCATGTCTAATACAAAAGCAGGTGCCTGCTTGTCTCAGACGTCCGCGGGTGGTGTCGTCGAAGCGTGGCTTATTGTGTGCACTCACCTTGTTGCTGAACAAAGTGCCGAGACGACGGTTGCTTCTCTGGCAAAACAATCGACATCTCACCGGAAGAATCCTCCTCACTCCCCAAATCCTCGCGCTCCCATTGCTCCGGTCCTGAAATGATCGGCGCCGTCTCAGCCCAAAGGGAAACCCGGCCCCCACGAGTAGAAGGCAGCCAAGCCTAGGCAAATAATGAGGCAGACGCCGAAAACGGTGGGCCGCCAAGGCCGCATCAACTCCCCCAAATCTGGCCTGGTGAAACGACCATAATATCTTCGCACAGCCTCTTCGCCTTTCATCAACATGTTGCTCCTGGAGGACAGGGTCCCGGATATCCGATCTGCACGTCAGACGTCATCGGGGGCAGTGGGTTTTTTTTGACTTCTCGCCGTCGTTTCATGGAGAGGGGGCAATGCTCCGGAGCTTTTCTCGATCTTCACCCATCCAGGTTTCCCCGGGTTTTTTTTGTGATTGTCGGCACGGGCTAGGCTGAGCCGGGTGGAGGGCCGACGGTGAAGCAGAAGCATAAGGAAGCATAAGCACAAGAACAAGAGGGGCGGCCTCCGAACCCCTACGGACTCTGCCACACCCCCCCCCTTTCGGAAACAAGACTTTGACTGACTCATTCTCGCTCTCTCTCCATCTCTGCATTCAGTCAGCAATGTGAGGCTGACTGGCCGTCGTCGACGGGCCGCATGCACATCGTATTCTTGACCCGGGCCGCCCTCAGCCGTGGCACGGCGGAGCGAGAAGGCGTCTCTTGTTGCGCCCAGCACAGCCTTCTTTCCCCCACCCTGTCATCTCGTCAGAAGGGCGGCAGAGTTTGTCCGTTCGTCCGGCGGGCGACAAGGGAGAAGGGCGGCCATCATCACTCCCCTCTTGCTGCCGGGGGCGGGAAATGCGTTGGCTCTCAGGCTGGGATCGATTTCCTCTCTCCCGCCGTTGACGATGCGTCGGGAACCCAAACAAGGGTGGCCAGACGAATCCTGGACGAGCTCAGCCGCACGCTCGGTGATCGCCGGCCCATCTTGGTGCCGAAATGAAAAGCATCTGCAGCTACCGCAAGTTCGTCAAGATGTGTTGGAGATCGGGCGAGTGGGGGAGGGAAGAGAGGCTAGCGTTGTACATCCTTCCGACATCAACTACAGTACCTACCTACCTACACTACAGCCACCCCAGCTATCGTTACAGAACCAACATATCAACAGCCCCCTCTCTGATGCAGTACCCTGTAGTGGCATTCACATCTCCTCATGCCCGATTTCGCTGTGCCATAACAAGACACTCCTTCCGACAGCTTCTTTGGCTCTCTCACGAGCTCTTACTCACGGAAGGAATTTTCTCGCGCTATAACCTTCGGATGTACTTCCCTGGCCGCAGCGACTCGTGCGTATTAGACATCTCGAGTTAGGGTTGACGACGTGACGGTTGCCATTCATCCTGGCCATGCTGTTGTCGCTTCCCGTCCTTGTGGCTGAATGCGATTTCTCCATCTTTGCGAGCAACCAGGCAAGCCTCGGCTTCACAACCAAGCACGACAGAATATCACCCTTGAGCACTCGACACAATTTGGGGAGAACTGCTTCCAATTCGTCCCTATAGTCCACATCCGTTTAAAGCATATTCATCGTGAGTGAATCGTCTAGGGTATCAGTCCTAACCTCGTCCCCAACGCCGCTCAGTTCCAGAGCTCCCGAGCACCGCAAGAGCCAAGTCTCTCAATTCTTCTTGCCCTCAGCCTCGGCCTTCTTCTGAATGTCGTGCTCGGCCCCACGCTGCTGAGACTTGCCCTCGGCCCGCATCTTGTCGTAGTGCTCCTGGCCCCCCTTGTCACCCGTGACGCCGGCAACGGCACCTCCGACCGTGCCCTGCGCGCGGCTGGCAATACCGGAGCTAAGGTCGTTGAGCTGACCCTTAGCCTCCTGTTGCTGGCCTTCGAGGTTCTGCTGACGACCCGAACTCTTCAGGGACTGAGGAGGTAGCAAAGTCAGTGAACTGCAATCAAACCAGACCGGACGGCACGCACCTCGTTCCCAATAAGTCCACCGACAGTCTCCTTGGCGGAGCCGGCCGTCTGGTTCCACGAGCCCTGGGATCGGTTGGGGTCGTCCTTGGCGACGGCGCCGGAGCTGGACAGTGTGGCACCGGGCACCTTGACGGCGGCTTGCGACGCGTCGTGCTCGGCCTTGGCATCGTCCTTGCGCACCTCGCCTTTGGCCTGGTCGCCCGTGTTGCCAGTCAGGCTGCCAATAGCACTCTGGACAGCACCAGTGGCCGAGTTGACGTATGACTGGAGGGTGGAGGGAGCGGCGTTCTTGTTGTCGTTGTTGTCAGCCATGATGAATGACGAGAAGGATTGGACTTCTTGAATGATGACGGTGCTTTGGTCGGTGATTGATGATGCAGAGCGTTTGGGGTGGACGATGGTGGATGGAAAGGTAAGGGATCTTGGTTTGGCAAAGGCTTCAGAAGACGGCAAGCTCTTTATAGAGGGGGGAGTTCAACGAAACGCAGTGTCGCCCCGGCCAAAAAGGTGCAACAGCAGGGCAGCAAGTGATGTCATTCTCACCTGCCGAAACGTGAGCAACGTCTGGACCTTGGCACTAGTGGGGCAACACTCACCGAGTCTTGACGTCACGAGGAAGGGTCCTGCACCGCAACTCCCCTCGACACGACATCACCACAAACATGTGATGCAGTTGCATCGCACGCTTGCAAGCCTGTCTCTGCGCCACCCCATCCTGCTCGACATGCGTGGCCGGATACCTGGTACGTGTCGCTCGGTTCATCCACCTTGCAGACCAAGCTCGCAGATCCAACCCATCGTCACTCCTACTCGGCCCCGACACGCAAAGAGACAAACATTCCCATAGCACACATGCCCGAACATTCGTGGCAAGAGGTATCGTACCTAGTATACATGCAATTGCTGTGACAGACGCGACCGGCGCCATACTGTTGCCTCCGGCCTGGCCAACTCCAAGTACCTATTTCCTCCGGATTCTCCCCCGACCCGTAGATTCTCTCCCATGTTCGATCTTGCCGCGCGTCCAGCAACGTCTCAGTGCTGGCTCCATTGAATCGTGTTTAGGTCAATACCTTCCTGCACCAGCTCCCACAGCGGGCTCAGCTCTCGCAAGAAGCTGACGCGCTCCTGCACCGCCTTGAGGACATAGTCAATCTCCATTTCCGTCGTAAACCGACCGATGCCGAACCGGATGCTGCTATGTGCGCTCTCGTCGCTATTTCCGAGCGCTCGCAACACGTAGCTGGGCTCCAGCGAGGCAGAGGTGCAGGCACTCCCAGACGACAGCGCAATGTCCTTGAGAGCCATCAATAGCGATTCTCCCTCGACGTAAGCAAACGAGACGTTGACACAGCCAGGGTAGAAGGAGTTGGCGTCGCCGTTCTGGGACGTGTGCTCCATGGACAGTAGGCCTTTGAGAAGTCGGTCGGAGAGAGTCTTGATTCGCCTCGTGTCATACTGGAGCTTGGTGTCAGCTATACCAAGCTATTGCCACACCAGGAGCAACAGAAGGATGAGGATAAAAGTCCAAGATCAGGAATGGTGCTTCAATCAACACGAACGGCCTTGTCACGGGCCATTCAGAAAGCCATGCATGTGTAAAGCGAATCATCATTGGAAAGGGGTGGGAAACAGGGTGTGATAGTAAATGGGCGATGCGAGCACGTACCTCCATCTCCTCCTTGGCAATGCGGCAAGCCTCGCCAAAGCCAGCGACCAGTGGCGGCGCGAGTGTCCCGCTCCGAAGACCACGCTCCTGTCCGCCGCCGGTGATGATGGGGTCTAGCCGGACCCGCGGCCGTCTCCGGACGTAGCAGGCGCCGATGCCCTTGGGACCATAGATTTTGTGGGATGAGATGGACATGAGGTCGATGTTCAAGGCGTTTACGTCGAGCGGAATCTTGCCCACGGCCTGGGCGGCGTCGGTGTGGAAGAATACCTTTTTCTCGCGACACAGCTTGCCAATCTGTTCGATGGGCTGGATGACGCCGATTTCATTGTTGACGGCCATGATGCTGACGAGGGCCGTGTCTGGCCGGATGGCAGCCTCGAGCTCGGCCATGCTAATGAGCCCGTTGCTCTGGACAGGCAGATATGTGATTTCGAATCCGTCATCCTGCAGATGCCGGCAGCTGTCGAGAACACATTTGTGCTCAGTCTGAGTGGTGATGACGTGCTTCTTCTTGCCGGACCGGCCGAAGAAGCGAGCGACTCCCTTGATGCTCATGTTGTTGCTCTCGGTGGCGCCACTCGTAAAGATGATTTCCTTGGAGTCTGCGCCAATGAGCTTGGCAATGTGCTCGCGAGCCTCCTCGACCGCCTTTTCGCTCTCCCAGCCATATGCGTGTGTCCGGGAATGGGGATTGCCATATACGCCGACGTAAAAGGGTAGCATGGCATCGAGAACCCGGGGGTCGACAGGCGTGGTAGACTGCATGTCGAGATAGATGGGCCTCTGGCCCTCTTCCATGACGGCGGCCTGCTTGAGAATTTCTGGCGGGGTGTCAACGGATACATGTGCCTGCAGAGCGAGGGATACAGGGGCTCAAGGGCGTACCGGCCATTGGGCTGACTTTGGTGTTGGAGGCACCGCCCATCTGGGGCGGGGGGATGTCGGCAAAGTCTTTCTTGTCGAGCTTGATGGCCGTCTCGACCTTTGCCTTGTCGTGCCGGGACTCGGTCACGTAGGCGCGGCGGGTGGCGGCAGGGGCCAGCGCTCGCACGGCGCCGGGAGGTGCGGCGGAGCGCAGGCGGCTCGCCGACCTCAGGGCGCGAGATGAAAGTGAGGCCATGGCTGCGAGTGCGGCGATGGCGACGGTTGCATGGGCGGAGGAGAGCGGAGAGGAGGGGGAGGCAAGGTGAAGAGGAGGTGTTTTCGGTTTGGCTTCCAGAAATTTGTCATGGAGGCGTTCGGCTCGGGGATAAGAGTGCTCACGGCGCCGATGATTGGCCGGAGATATACAAGTCCACTGGCGGCCGGCTTGTCGACTCGGCTTGCAGAGTGCCGGCCATTTCGTCTGCTGGGCAAGCAAGAGAGAAAAAAAAAAGGGAAGCAGAGTAGGAAGCGAGCCAAGGTTTTTTATCTTGAGTCTGCTTTGAATTTTGGGCGTGATTGCACATGAAGCGTCTAAAATTTCGCCGGTGAGCCGACGAGGGCAAGTCCCCTAGTGGGGGTAAGATTTGTAGATAATCGGCCCTGTAGCAAAGTACATGGCAGTGCTTGGTGAGGAATATCAGGGCGTTTTATCACTCTTGACGTTCCGCAGTGCCTCATCTGGCGAAATGTACAGTTCCGCCCACGGCTGCAAGCTTTGTCCCTGTGCTCGACGACTCCACCTCTTGCGCAGGTTCTTGTGGCGGCGACCAAGGCGACAGGTACATGCTTTGGCAGCAGCTGTAGGGCAACGGAGGCTTGCAACGGCCGAGCCGGGACCGAGAGGGTGCTGTACGCTGTAGCGGTTCGAAGCGGCGGTTAGAGTCTACTGGGGAGAAAAACCAAAGCCGGGTGATATTTGCAGAATATAGTACTGCCAAGAAAACGATTTCGAGGTTGACTATTCAGGGGGTAGCTCTCCGGCTAAGCGGCTTGCTGCAGCACCCTCCGTCGGCTTGGGGGCTGATGACGCAGTGCAAGCCACCCCGGCCTGCTCCGCCACCATCAGCAGCTCCGTTTACTGGCTTGGGGTCCCCGGAGTGTTAGGAGGGACATGCGCCACGACGCAGAGACACAGCCACAGCCAAGTTCGTCACCAACAGGCCTCTTTAAACGTTCATCAGTTCCCACCACCGCCTCTGGCAAACCCGTCGCACCCCCAGGCTTCCGCTGCCTCTGACCTGGCGACCCTGCGCGCTCTCCTCCCCTCGCTTCCCGTCTCTCTGCGCAGCCTCGGGCGGCTTCCATCATGAGCTTCAAAGGCTTCCAGAGGAGCCTCACGCGGGTACGTTCTGAGACATGCCCCTCATCTCTCTGCCTCTGCCTCGCGCACTCGCCATGCACGACGCGGGCGGCTGTCTCCTGCCAAACGGCCGTCGCTGACCATGGTGAACCATCGTGACAGGCGCCGCAGCAGTTCAAGGCCAAGTTCAACATTGGCGAACACACAAAGGACGCCGTCTACATCGACGCCGAGCGCCGCTTCCAGGAGCTCGAGACGGAGACCAAGAAGCTCCACGATGAGTCCAAAAAGTACTTCGACGCCATCAACGGCATGCTCACCCACCAAATCGAGTTCAGCCAGGCCGTCTCCGAAATATACAAGCCCATCTCCGGCCGCGTGTCCGACCCCGACTCCATCAAGCCAGAGGGCAACCCCGAGGGCATCCGCGCCTGCGAGGAGTACGAGGCCATTGTCAAGGAACTGCAGGAGACGCTAGCGCCAGAGCTGGAAATGATTGACAGTAGGGTGATTCGCCCGGCAAACGAGTTGCTAGACGTCATCAAGGTCATCCGCAAGACCGTCGTCAAGCGAGAACACAAGAAGCTCGACTACGACCGGCATCGCCTCGCCCTCAAGAAGCTGCAAGACAAAAAGGACCGCACCCCAAAGGACGAAAAGGCCCTATGGAAGGCCGAGAGCGACATGGAGCAGGCCACGCAGGAATTCGAGTACTTCAATGACCTTCTCAAGGACGAGCTGCCCAGGCTCTTCACCCTCGAGAGCCAGTTCATCCAGCCGCTCTTCCAGTCCTTTTACTATATGCAGCTCAACATCTTCTACACGCTGCACGAGCGCATGCAGCGTTGCGACATTGGATACTTTGACCTGACGCGCGAGATAGAAGAGGCTTTTTACGACAAACGCGGCGACATCCAAGACCGCGCCGAGGCCCTGGCCATTTGCCGCTTCAAGACGACGGGCCGTCCACGTCCGCCCAAATACGGAGCTCGCCCGGCCCTCGAGGGCGGTAAACAGCCCGCGCTCCTCACGGCCGGACCAAGCGCGTCGAGCTCCAAAGCAAGCAACTATTCGCGCCAGTCGGTCGACTCAGCCGAACACAACCCGCCCCCCCCTTACTCTCCCTTAAACAAGCCCACGAGCCCCGGCCTGTCAGCCATCGCGGCGTCCAAACCCAAGCCGCCGCCCCCCAAGCCCAAGCCCAGCCGGCTGAGTGGCGCCCCGGCCGTGGAGACGGTGACGGCGCTGTACGACTACTCGGCACAGGCCGAAGGCGACCTGAGCTTCCGTACAGGTGATGTCATTGAGATTGTGCAAAGGACACAAAACGAGAACGAGTGGTGGACTGGGCGACTGCAGGGCAAGCAGGGGCAGTTTCCAGGTGAGTCTCGTCGGATTTCATCACCGTCTTGGTACCCAAACGAGCTGACGAGGGCCCGACGCTAGGCAACTATGTCAAGGCGAATTAATGGCAACCATCATCCTCATATTGTGCCACGCTGGGGCAAAACCCCCCTTTTGTCTACGCAGAGGACGCAGGGAAAAGAACAGGCTCCTCTATTCCTTCTCCTTTGAGTTCCTTAGAACGCTGGACAGACGTAATGATCAGGCTCGTCTCTGTGCAGCTGACCCGGTCACCATCTGGCCGGAAGAGCCCCCGTCACAGGCATGCCAAGGTGAAGGCAGCGTCGAGATGTGCGTGGGCGTTTGGATGGGCCGGCCCTACGCGAGAGGTTGGTGCTTGGTGTTTTGGCTACGTTGGAACCAACGGCATTGTCCCTCACGTTCAGCTCATGCTCCGGGGGGGGGGGGGTCTCTTTGCTTGAAGAGCTTGTGCCCCCGTTGATGCGCGAGTTCGTCAGGGCGACGTGTCCTGTCCGAGTCTGCAACTGCGAACCTACAGCTTATCTTTCCGACGCGTAAGCCTTGGGCGCAAAGCCTACATGACATTGTAAGGGGAGAAGAAATAAAAAGCATGATGCCCGCTTTCTATGTACCAGTTTGTCCCCCGCGCCATACGCGAGATGTCCATTGCGCATATGATTCGCAAAGTGAACCCGTTCGTCAGACATGTTCCCTTTACACACATGATACAAGAGAACTTAACAAAAATCAAGGGGAAAAGGGGTAGGAGTGAAGCATTCATCACGACGCACCCCCGCCGGACATGAGCGCCTGCAACTCCCACGGGCTCAGCGTGCTCCTCCGCCGCGACGCCGCCTTGCTCGTCCTGCGCTCGCGCTTGCGCTTCTCGACGGGGCGGGGCGGCTCGTCGGCGGCTCTGTGGAGCGGCAGCTGCTGATGCGGCGGCGGGGGCGGCGGGGCGACGTCGTGTTTGACGGGATCGACGTCCTCGAAGGGGGCGGCCGCTGAGGATGCTGCTGCCGCCGGCTCTGAGGGGACAGGGGCGGCGTCGCTGGCTGTGGTGGTGGTGGTGGTGGTGGCGGTGGTGGTGGTGGTCGGCCGTGCGACGCCGCCTCGTGAGCTGCGGGCTGCCTTGAGCTTGGCGCGCACGCGAGCTGCGTCGGCTTCCTTCTCCGAGGCGGCGAGCTTGGCGGCGATGGATGTCATGGTCAGCTGCGGGCTCTGCTCGGGCTCGACGTCGCGGGAATTTGCCAACGTCGACTTCGGCCGGTTAGACAGTCCATCGTCGTCGTCGTCATCGTCGTCGCTGTTGGCCAGTCCATCGTCCTCCTCCTCTTCCGCAAGTCTCTCGGACCCCGGACGCCGACGGTCCTCCCCCACCACCGGGTCCTCGACAGCAGCACGCGCCGGCCTCGGCCTCGCCAACAGCACCTCGTCGAGGGACGTGTGCGACGGCGACCGGGCCCGCCCCTGCGGCTCGCAGCCCCTGCTCGGCAGACGCGTCTGCGGTGCTCCCGTCGCCCCCGCTGCTGCTGATGGGCCCTTTTGCCGCAGAGGCAGGGAGCGCAGCGACTTTGCTTCGGCAGCCAGCTCCTGCGTCTTCTCTTCCACAATCGTGGTAAAGTCCCCGAGCCTCGGGCGCAGGCGCGTGCCCTGCAGCGGGCCGCGGTTCCCGGCGGATGCAGAGTTTCGGAGCGGGCTTAGCTGCGGAGGCTCGGGTAGTGGCGACGAGCCTGGGGAGGACTGGTATCGAGGGGCCTCGACGGTGGCCTCCAGCTCAGAATCGCGGTCCAAGATTGTGATGTTCTCTTCGAAATCGGCGGTCGCGTCGTCCTCTGCGTCAGGCACGCCTGCATCGTCGTAATCCGCTTCAGGAACCAGCTCGACACGGTCACGGCTGGGCGGGCTGGGCGACTCGTGGGCAATCTCAGCATCCTCCTCCGCCTCCTCCACCACCGCCGAGAGCCCCATGTCAAAAGCCTCTTTTGTCTCGTCCACGTCGTTGACGCGCACGGGGCTCAGCCGCAGGCCCATCTTGAGCTCCTCGTCGCAAACCGGTTTCCCGCTCGCAGCCATGCGCTTCCGCCAGCCGTCAATCAGACGCACCGCCTCCTTCCACCGGCCCTCCATCTTGACCCACCCAGACCTGAGGCGGCCGATCTCCTCGTCGCGCACCATGACCTCTTCAATGGGCACAAAGGATGGGTTCGTCAGGATGTTGCGCATGTGGTCCGTCACCGAGGCTAGTTCTGCGACCAGCTCGTCGCAGCTCAGGCGCTTGACCACGTCGGATTCTTGTCGCTCTTCTTCAGGACACGCGCTCATTTCTCGGAGTTGGCCCATGGTCTGCTGCATGACGTTGAGGATCGCCTCGTTCTCTTCACTCAGATCCTGGGCCAGCTTCGCGAGGAATGCGTTGGTCTCGTTTCGTAGGTTGCAATCGCCATTGCTTGCGCTGCCCGCCCGCACCGGCGAGTCCTTTTCCGCCCCGATGTCGCCCGTGACGTGAATGGTAGTGACGGATGGGTTTGCTTTGGAGCCGCGCGATCGACCAGCTTCTGCGAGCTGTTTCTTGAGCGTATCAATCTGTCGATCGCGCCGCCGCACCTCAGTCGCGCAAGTCGAGCGCGTTTGCGACACCAACGACTTGGCGCGAGAAATCTCCTCTTTCTGGCTCCGGGCCGTGGCTTCGGCCGACTTGAGCTGCGTCCTCAACGCCGCCTCGGCCGCCGACGCAATCTCAGCGCGCCGCTTCTCTTCTGCATTCTTCTCCGTCAGGCGGGCGATGTCGTTGGCGTGCTTGAGGTTCTCAGCGCGCAGGCTCCGCATAGCCACGGCCAGCGATTCTCGATGTTCGGCGTCTCGCTGTAGAGCTCGTCAGTTGGCCGACGGCAAACCCCAGGGTCGGAGCTCTTACGTCGCGCCGCAGAATCAGGTCATTGAGGATGCTTATTATGCGACCGGCCATCGCCGCAGAGCCGCGGTCGTCGCCAGCCATTTGCGCAAAATCAATGGCCTGGCCATCGCGCAGCAGTCCTCTCGAGACGAGCTGGTTGTTGATGTATAGCGACGCCGTGCAGAGGTTTTCGGTGTCAATCATTGCGACTCGCAGGGGTCCAATATGGACCAAGTTGTCGTCTACCAGCTCGTGACTCCAGTATGCGTGCAGGACACCGGATAGGTCGAGGCTCGTCGTTGCATTCAGCTGCCCGTGGAATAAATGCTGTCGCGACGTAGTTTGTGGTTGCTGGGTGGACGGAGTAAACAATGCAGCTGGACTGGTAATTATGACTAAGCCTCGTTTTGCGTCGATGCCCGACAGACTTCAACCAGATGAGCCACCAGTGGATATACGAAAAGCGCATAAATAATATACAAATTATAATGCGAAAACGGCAATCAAGAGGCTCGACCACGTAATGCGTTCGGAGCTTGGTGGATCTAATGAGCTTGGGCATCTCTGAGGTCCTAGTCTTGCCATATCTCATCGTGCTGTCCTTGGTGGAGAAGACATGCCGAAGCTTTCCCAAGGCGGTTCTAAAGAGTTTGGTTATGGCTCTTGTCACGCAGTCTCTCCAGACTGAGTCTCTCTAGACTGGAGGTTGACTATGTCGTCAAGATCTGCATCGTCCGCGGCCTTGTGCAAACGCAAGGCACCCTGGGACGACCACATGCCAGTCCCCTTGTCAGTCCCCATATCATGCTGAGTGAGTAAAGCAGACGCTGGACAAAGAAACGTGCTTCTCAACCCCGCAGTCAAACAGCTTCTGGGTGTTTGAAGACATGCCCACTCCCCCAGCTTCGTGTCTACTGGCGGTCCTTGGTGGGTGAGGCCTCAGAGACTGTTAGTCTTTTTTCTCGACGGAATTCTTCGCGTAGAGTATGACGTAGTTTCTTCACGATAGCCTCAGACTTTTTTGAGAAGATATTTTACGCGGTTGTTTTCGGCATTTACCCCGGGCTGATCAGGAATTCCCAATTTACCGTTTAGGTTTCGATGGCCCCGCGGCGTCATCATGATGGGCCAACGATGGGGAAAGGGGAGAACGAGAAGATGGGAAGAGAAATGAAAGATGGTAGACATACTGCAAAGGCGGATCCATGTCGACGGGCAGGTTCATCTTTCAGGTTTGAACTTGCCCCTCTTCTCTCGCATGACCTCAACCTTCCGCTTGTCTGCTTCGAAGCGTCTCAGGAGAGCGGCCTGCTCCAGTTTCCGCCTCTCGCGGAGCTGGAAGCGATAAAAGTCCTTGAGCTCAGACTTCTTCTTTGCCTGCCTATCCACCATCCTCTGCTTCGCTTCCTCGGCCTCGGCGCGACTTGCCGGAGTAGCTCTGCCGCCGCGCGTGACGGTGACGAAGCCATCGTCGTCCGGTTCGTTGCGCAGCCTCCGGGCCATTTCTACAGCCTCCTTTTCCTTGTTATTGAAGACGTTGAAGAAGGCGTGTACGGCGCTCTGCGTATCGGCCTTGTCGCCTCGGCAGAGCTGCAAGTGTGATGATATCCACGGCGCACCCAAGGGAGGCACATGATCGGCGAGACCTTCGCCCCAGACAGGGTACTTGTTCGTCTTTTGAAGCTTGGCAATGGCCTTGAGCACGAGTTGGACGCTCTTCTCGTCGGCAAACAAGACGACTGCCGTTCCGCTGCTGGTGTATAGTCGGCGAGTCCATATTTGCGGTAATTGCGCGGCCTCGATTTGACGTTCTCGGTCCTCGGCGTCCACGTCGGTTCTCTTGCGTTTTCGTGCGAAGCCTGCTACTTTGGTAGCGTGCGCAGGGTCAATGGGGAGCGCGGCTGCTGTCTCGTCATCGAAAACGATGCCCTCGAAGCGCCCTGCACCGACGAGGCTAGTGAAGACGGCCCTAATGTGTGGTTCGGTGCTGTCCGTGGGGATATTCTTCAAGAAGAGGCTGCGGTCATCGTGTTCTGTGGGAGTTTGGGGCGCGTTTCGTCGGACCCGGATTTCGTGGATGGCTGATTTGGGGTAGGAGGGGACTTCCGGCATGCGGATCGGGAGAATTGCGAATCGATCGCCGACCAGCTCGAGAGGAGCCATGGCTGGGGATGGAAGAGCGAGTCTTGGGAGCCGTAGAGGAATCGTGAGGAGCGATGGTGACGTTGGCGGGAAAATTTTGTCCCGCCTGGGCATGCCACAAGGACAGTGCTGGAAGTTGGAGGATCACACTGTATCGAATATCCTCTCGTCCGAACTGTTCGGAGCTATTCGGTCCGCATTTCGCAGTAGACTTGAAAACGAGATGAGACTAGTTATTCAATGGTTTCAATATATCCATTCTATCCGGGGTCAAGAAGCAGTAAAGCGTGTCTATCAAGCTTGATAATGGTCTCTTATGGTCCCTCCAGGGCACAGTGCAAATGGAATAAACTCAACGCGTTTCTTTGTCTTGACTGAGAACTGAAGGGCGGATTCTTGGAGGATGGACATGTGCGTCCTCTTCTAAATCAGCCTCTGAGACCTTTTTGCTCGGCATATGTATTTCGAGGTTCAAGCATATATTACTCATACCTTGGCCAATCATAGCCGAGACATGGGCGAGCAAGATAAGGCTTACGCTATCTATCCGACCTTCATACGTGAGGCTATAGTATATCCCAACTTCATACAACTGCGTACGCCAAGGCATTTGTTAGCCTGAACGAGTAACCGAGAAAAACCGACGACCCCGACCATTTGTCCTGACGTCAAACTCGGCGTTCCCCTTGCCGTGACTCTCAGGCCCAGCTCCACAGCGCGACGCGTCCACACCTGTCCAGGGCGGCTTTCGTCATGAAGCCCATCTTTGCGGTTCCTTTGGTTGTCCTGCTCGTCGGGCGAGCCTGGCAGAGGAACTCGCTGACGCCCGCCGGCCTCGTGGCTGGCGCTCTGTCGGCCATTGCCCATGCCTACCACCCGTGGAACTTGCCCCTTGTCCTCCTCATTGTCTTTTTCCTCGCTGGAACGCGCGTCACACACGTATGTTGGCGTTTGATGCCGGGAACGAGCATGCTTGCTAAGGGTTGCGCCAGGTCAAGGAAAACGTCAAAGCCGCCTTGACTGTCCACTCAAGGGGCACGTCTGGGGGAGAAGGACCCCGGACACATGTCCAGGGTGCGTATGCGCCATCACTTCTTAAACGGGCGTGGGCATTGACCACACTTCTACAGTTTTCGCCAACTCGCTCATGGGCTCCATCCTCTCACTACTGCATGCCTACCAGCTCCGGTCGAGGGCAGCCGCCTACGCCAGCCCCGACGCGCCCAACCCCCAGGGCACCATGTGTTTCTCGTGGGGAGGTGACATTCTCATCGTCGGGCTCATCGCAAACTACGCCGCCGTCGCCGCCGACACGTTTAGCTCCGAGCTCGGCATCCTGTCGAGCAGCGAGCCGCGACTCATCACATCGCTGACCCTGCGCAAAGTGCCCCGAGGGACAAACGGGGGCGTCACACTGATGGGGCTCGCGGCAGGTCTGTTTGGCTCCATGGTGATTGTGACGACGGCCATGCTGTTCCTGCCGGCGTGTAGCCCTGAAACGGCATCCACACTGGGAGGCGGCATGCCGTGGACGACGCAGCAGCGCAGGGTGTTTATGGGCTTCATGGTCGTGTGGGGGACGCTGGGCAGCGTGCTCGACAGCTTCCTCGGAGCGACGCTGCAGCGATCCGTCAGGGATGTGCGCTCCGGCAAGATTGTCGAAGGCGAGGGCGGCAACCGCGTTCTGGTGTCGAGCGACGCCGAGAGGGTAGTCGGCGGCTCGACGAAGCGGGCGGATGCGAAGGCGGCGGCGCTCAGCGGACAAGGCAAAGAAGCAATGGCGAAACTAGATGCCTCTGCCGTGGACGACGAGCAAGAGACAGCGGCAAGACCTGGGCCGGGTCCCAAGCATCGCAAGTCGAGCTTTACGGATGAGCGGCCGTCAAGGGTCATCGAGAGCGGCTGGGACCTGCTGGACAACAACGACGTCAACTTCCTCATGGCGTCGATGATGAGCGTGGGCGGGATGGCAGTGGCGAGCTGGTATTGGGGCGTGCCCATGGAGAACGTCATCAAGCCCTGAGACTATGACAAGCGGGCATATGCAGGAAGCGGCTTCCCCTCTGACCTGGATTGCTGTCTGAGATGCATGCATGCTGATGGTGCGGTTTACGAGATGGAAACTACCTCGCGTCCTCGACGGCAGCATTTAAGTTGCGTATGTATGAAATGGCACTGATGCGGCGGCTCGTCTGTAGGATCGTGGACGTCACCAGGGGACACCAAATGCCGTCGTTCGTTGCCCCGGATTCGATGTGTCATGGGGCACGGAGTCGTAGGTGCATGACATCGCGCCGGGCTTGGTTGGCTCGCTCAGGATACCAATCGTCATCTCCGTTGTTCGGCACTGCCCAGGATTGGGGCTCATTTCTTGCGGGAGGCGCCGCGAACAAAGCAACAGAGGACGGGAACGATGTACACTACATATCCGTCGTCTCTCTACGTACAAAGCATTGTGAGAGCGTTTGCAGGTCGCTGGCCGGGCAAGGGACCGGGCCGGGGACACCGGTCGCCTCTCGGCCCGCGTGGCTCAGGTGAAATGAAAACTTTAACCGACAGGTTGGTTGGGTAATTGCGAGCCGGTTTGGGAGAGGAGCTTTGTTGATGGGAAAAGGGTTGGGCGTGGTGGTCCGGAAGGGTCCAACGGGGACTCGGTCTTCCGCTTGCGGGGGGGGGCTTTGCAGATCGGAGGGGGATGAGAGCAACGACGGACGGTCCCGGACGGGAGGCTTACGGTACTCTGCACTTGGGGAGGGCATGCTGGGCATTCGTACTGTACAGTAGAGGTGAATAAAATAGAAACACATGCTAAGAAGAAGAGGCATTGCATGGCGCATGCGTGCATACCAGGGCTGAGGCCAGTGGCCGTGGGGGGTGGTAAGACAATATCGAGACAAGGCAAAAGACATTTGTGCACATACAGTATGTATCCGTAGAGTCGTCCCCCACGTCGGTACCTTGCTGATCCCGTCCCGCTGTGCTGTGCGCACGTGGCGTCGTCGCTCTTTCCGGTCTCTTTTTCATCAGTCGCTACACTTTCCGGTACTGTAGTTCGTACCTACTGTACTGACAGTGAGTGTACTTTGCACCTTGTCCTGTCTGTCACAGAACAGGCATGCCCACGCACCAAGCACCTTTCCCTTTGCATACAGGGAATGAAGCCAGGAAATAAATGCCTTGGAGGCGACATCGGAGGCCTTGTCCCTCTAGGACATGCGCCCCTGCGCTTCGAAACTCGCCATCAATGAAAAAGTAGTCTCTACCTGCTCCCCAAGTTCCGCGCGGCCAGCCCGAGGTGCGCGAGCCTCGGGAATCATGCGCGAGTGCAGCCCACAGGCCAATCACAGCCCGCCGATAAGCAAGTCTGCTGTTGCGGCGCTTCCTTCCAGGGCTCCAGACCCCCATCGAGGCGCAGGCGGCCGGACGGGTACCTCGCCTGCTGCCTCGGATGCCTCGTGTTGCCGAGTACTGCGTACCTTGATCGGCTAATAATAGGACACCGGCTACCTCGTACTTGCCCTGGCATGTAGCCCGGCCCATCTTCTCTCTTTTTGCCCCTTCTTCTAGATTTTCTCGCAAAGTCGCGCCGGCGTCCGGAACTCCCATGTGGCGGCCGGCGGGCGACACAAGGGGGGGAGTTGAGAGGCCTTGCCCAAAGAGGCAAGACGCGTTGGGGGTCGAAGATAACTGCAAATGTTGGACACGGAAGATGACACATATAAACGGGTCATTCTGTAAGGAACAAGTTTCGCCCAGATTGCAGTATTGGTGGTCCCCGGCCGGTTTACATGGCGTAATGCCAATGGGCAACTGGAAAGGGGCGGCGGTGGGGCTGCAAGAGCCTCTGAACTCGTGTCATCCGCTTGTCCCGCGCTTTCACCCATTCTCATAGACAGGCGCTCGAGAGGCTCTAGAGGTGACGTCGTCGAGAAATCCATCAGGAGAGGCTCGTGACTTTGATGATTTCAGGCCTCTGAGTCTCTTATCTAGAGTTCACCGCCCTCAAAGCAAAGGAGAGGCCTGTTGATGAGGTGAGGTAAGAAAGTAATTACCTGGCGACGATGCGTCTTGATTGGTGGCCGACAAAACAGACGCCCTCACCGGGTCAGATTCTCACGCTGCAAGGAGACCAAGAGGCCGTGCTTGTCGACGGCATGGGAAGCGCATGTCAACGACATGATGCATCTCCAGTTTGATCATGACATGTTTGCCCCCTACACGCCAAGAGCCGAGAAAGAGGGCGCGTGTGTCGCATGGCACCCCCGCCATTTTCCATCGAGGCGCTTTTAACCTCGCTAGCACTGATGCGCCATCTGCCCGGCGTTGTACCTTGCGTCTGCACTCGAATCCAGCACAGTATGCGCTGCCTGCTGGCGTGTGGTCAACACTGTGTAGAATCGCCTTGCCGCCTCTGGGATGCGCTGCTGTGGTGCGTCGGACGGCCCTGAAGGGTCTTTGTCCATGGCGTCAGCGCGCAACCAGAGACGGTAGGCATTCGTATTCTGCTGCTTGTTGTGATATCATGGTCATGCTGCGCATCGCCCTGTGCCCGCCGGCTCGGACTCACCAATGCTCCTACAGCACGGGCTTGGCAGCCGATGCCCAGCCCGTGGATACCCGGGCCGTGGCTCCCGTCACGGGGAAGCCAGCCGGGTTGAGAAAGGATGCAACGCGAGGGAGCCCCGAACTGCATCGACGCAATACGATGGCCGTTCGTGTTGCCCGTGCTGTGTGTCTATGGGACAAAGCACCGAGTAAGCATCAACAGATTGGGTGTTGGTGAGGCTTTGTTGGCGTTATCCTTCTTTGCTATACCTACGTAGGTCTGGACCTGCATCCTGGCCTGAAACTGGGAAGCGTTGGCCGGGTGTTGGCTGCCCCGGGCGACTGCAAAGAGGTACATAAAGTTCCGAAGCAAATTGCGAGTCATTAGATGCATTTGAAAACACGTATATTACAGTACATGCATACATACATACATACATACATACATGGACAAGAGGTTGGGCTCGATGATGGGCAAGCAAGGCCTTTTGGTGCCGACATTGGGTGGTGGCCAGACAACCAAGGCTCCTTGTGGGCCCTCTTGGGCGGTTGGTCAACGGACATGGATGAGGTACAGTACACTGTAGATTTCCGGCAATGTGAGAGGCGCCAACGGCCTCTTTCGGCGCAAGCACAGTCGCGCGCGGTGCTGCTGCAGCCCAGGCGCACCGCAAAACACGGCCCTGAGCCAGATTAAAACATGCCCAACCGGGCAGGACAGGACATTAGAAGCCTGTCATCCACCACCGTCAGCGCCAAATCAATATCTCGTGCAGCATGCTTCACCCCTCTAAGCCCCCCGCGAAACCCCACCCGGACACCCACCCAAAGCAGGGCCTCCAGGGCACCCCAAGGCGCAGTGTCGCCGCCGTCGCAGCACACCCCTTCCCCCCCCCGCCCCACCCCACAGCAGCCGGAACCAGCGACTGACAACCACACCCCTGCGTCGCCTTTTCTTATCTATACCTCGCGACAAGTACCCTCGACAAGGCCTCATGCTGGAAACATAAAACGCTCTCTGCCCCCTGCCCTTCTGGCCCTCCGCCATATATCCCTCGACCGCTATCCATCTCTCACTTGTCTTGTTTTTGATACCCGACCTTGCTCTTCCATCCATCATCTACGCTTCATCCATTCTACCTCATCCTCCTCCGGCTTCGGGCGTCAAAAACCGCAATCATGGTGCGTATTTTGATGCCCTCGCGCCGACTCTGTCCAATCACATGTCAAAGGACTTGGCTTGCTGACCATGATTGCTGCGCGCAGGCTAGCAGCGAAGTGCTCTCGTCGCGGACCGAGACGGTACGATGTTCCCTCGTTGCCAACCGTCGCCCAGGATACACGCGTCGAAATTGCGCATTCGGTATGGCTAACAAGTCGACTTGCACAGGTCAACAAGTATATGAAGCTCGATCAAAAGGGCAATATCATGGCCGAGTACGTCTGGATCGACGCCAACGGCGAGGTCCGCTCCAAGTCACGGGTGAGTTTTTACATGCTCCTTTTTCTCTGCCCGCGCAGCCAATGGCCATTTGCTCGTGGCTGCCGTCCAGCCATGATCTCGGAGCGACACTCGGCCACCGCCACCACCTGCGCCACATGTCGTCAACAGCCCTGCAACCGACGAGGCCAAGAAAACCAGGCCCGGCTTCGTCTGCACCATGACGACAACTCCCTCCGATGGCCTGCCACCGCGACTGGCCACCGCCCATGACGTGATGAAACGACCGACCCCCTGCTAACCTGCCTCTCCGCAGACTCTCAAGGAAAAGGCCTACAAGCCCGATGAGCTGCCCATCTGGAACTTTGACGGCTCCTCGACCGACCAGGCCCCCGGCGACAACTCGGACGTCTACCTTCGCCCGTGCGCCGTCTTCCCCGATCCCTTCCGCGGTACCCCCAACATCATCGTCCTCTCCGAGTGCTGGAACGCCGACGGCACCCCCAACAAGTACAACTACCGCCATGAGTGCAACAAGGTCATGGAGGCCTATGCCGACCATGTGCCGTGGTTCGGCCTCGAGCAGGAGTACACCCTCCTTGGCCACGACGACCGGCCCTATGGCTGGCCCAAAAACGGCTTCCCTGCCCCGTAAGCGGCTCCCCCATCTCGTGGCTTGAGAAGAGTAACAACCCCACTGACATTCCGTTCCCCCCCACCATAGTCAGGGTCCGTACTACTGCGGTGTTGGCAGCGGCAAGGTCGTGATGCGCGACATTGTCGAGTCCCACTACAAGGCGTGCATGTGTAAGTCTTGATCGCGCCATGATGTCATGTCTGGTCATGAATACTGACCCGAAGCCAATAGACGCCGGCGTCAACATCTCGGGAACCAATGCCGAGGTCATGCCCGCCCAGTGGGAGTTCCAGGTCGGCCCTTGCGAGGGCATCGAGAGTATGTAACTTTGCCGCTGTGCCACCTCGTGCGCATCATTGCTAACGTAATAAAAACAGTGGGCGACCATCTCTGGATGGCCCGGTTCTGCCTCGCCCGCGTTGCCGAGGACTTTGGCGTCAAGGTCTCGTGGCACCCCAAGCCCATCCCCGGCGACTGGAACGGCGCCGGCCTACACTCCAACTTCTCAACAAAGGAAATGCGCGAGGACGGCGGCCTGAAGCATATCGAGGACGCCATCAAGAAGCTCGAGCCTCATCACCTCGACTGCATCAAGGAGTACGGCGAGGACAATGAGCAGCGTCTCACTGGACGCCACGAGACGGGATCCATCGAACAGTTCACCTACGGCGTCGCTAACCGCGGCACCTCGATCCGCATCCCCCGCGAAACGGCTGCGAAGGGCGCCGGCTACTTTGAAGATCGCCGACCCGCCTCCAACGCCGATCCCTATCGCGTCACCCGCGTGCTCATGACGTCTATTTTTGGCAAGCTGTAAAACTACATACGACGCTTGACGTTCTTTTGCTTTTCATGGGATAAGCAGTCGCCGCACAAGGGTGACATTGGCGTTGGGCTTGGGCAGCATGGGTCAACAAACGCCCATCAAGGCGAATGGTCTTTTTTTCTTTCCAGCCTCTTAAACAAACACTGTCCATAGAAGACACATCCTACACTATACGTTAGGACAGGGGCTCTCTCTGGCCAACAGCATGTGTACATCCGATCCCCACTTCGCTTGGTACACCCACGCCTAGATCCAAAGTCGTCCGCCATGACAGGCTTCGTCTCGTCTCTGTGCCGTCCTGCAAGCCTCTGGGCGCCACGAAACGCGCAGCCGTTGGAGCATCCGCCTCGGTAGGAATGTACTGTAAGATGTGGACGTCATTTTATTTTCATGTATACAGTACGCTGAGCCTCACGATTCGCATACAGAAGTGCGATCGATGACGGCTTCTGGAGCTGAGCAGGCGCAGCAGGTAAGGTCGCCTCGGACCTCGGCTTTGACCGAGGACGGGGGCCCTGTGGCATTCGGGAAGACGGCAGAAGACTTCGGGGACTGTGCGCGTGATTGCTGTCGTCGTCGGGTGTTTGGGTCGTGGTTGACGGTGGTTGTGTTTTGTTAGGACGGGGCGGCCGGGGTCTTCACGACGGCAGAATCGTCATCTCTTTCGCGTGTTTTTTGCTCAGCTCTTTGGTTTGATTAATGTCGTACTATCGTTACAGGTGAATATAGGAACAATCTAGAAATGCAACGGCCCATCGCAACGGCAGTCTGTCTATCCTGATGGAAATTTTTAAAAAGAAAAGAAAGGAAACAAGACATACGCTCCAAGAGTCATGCACAGTATCCCCTAGTAGCAGCAAGCCGAGAGGCGGCAGAAACAAGGAAAGGGGGACACAAATCAGGCCGTGTCAAAGGATATATCTCGGTCTTCCGCAGGCGCCGCCACAGGCCGCTCAGGAACGTTGCGTCGACGGGCGGACAAGCGTCGACGGCGCCGGGGCAGAGGGCGTCGAGCGTGGCCATGGTGCGGCGGTTGTCGAGGCTGAACATGACGCTGCCCGTCGACAGGTTCTGCTTGATGACGGTGCTGCGCACTAGCTGGCCCGCGGCGTCCTCGCCCTCGGCCGTCTCCATGCCGCCCAGCCAGTCGTCGAGCGGCACCAGTCTGGGCTCGCCCTGGCCCGGGCGCAGGTCGGCGATGATTTGCGGCAGGTCCTTGAGGCGGAGGGGGTGAGGGTTGGTGATGTGGTAGATGAGCGGTGCCCCTGACGACGGCGATGATGACGATGATGATGACAGGGAGGACGACGACGACGAGGGCGAGGGCGGGGATGAGGACGAGGCGCCGGCGCCGGCGGCTTCGGACAGGGCCAGCGCCTCCTTGCGCGAGGTGAGGGCCAGTAGGTTCGAGGCGAGCCAGTCGACGGGGACGACGTCGACGGCGAAGCTGGGCTGGTCCGGACGGCCAATCTGCGGCACCATGCCCGACTCAATCATGCTGATGACGATGCGCATGGTGAACTCGTCGCCCGGGTCCAGCACGCCCGTGCCCTGGGCCGCCGCCGTAATGGCCGACGCGCGCGTGATGGTGACGGGGAAGCCGCGGCGCGCCGCCTTGACCAGCAAGTTCTCGGCCACCCACCGGCTCTTGAAGTAGCCGGCGTCGTCCTCGGTCGGCGGCGTAAAGTGCGCGCTGTCCTCCTCGCCCGTCACGTAGTCGTCGCGCGTGCGCCGCGACGCCGACCACGTCTGCAGATGCGCCACCGACCACGTCGACAGGTAGTGGATCTCGGACAGGCGCGCGCCCATGCCCGACAGGCGGATCACGTCGAAGATGGGCGTGACGTTGTGCGGCTTGAGCGCCGAGTACGTCTTGAGCAGCGACACGTGCCCGCCCAGGTGGTAGATGGCCTGCACGGAGGACCCGAGCTCGCGGAAGGCCGCCTTGGACAGGCCCAGGCCGGGCTGGATGAGCGAGCCCTCGACGCACCGCACGCGCGCCGCCACCTGCTCTGCCGTCAGCCCGTCGCCGAGGAGCCGGTGCTTCTCCAGCAGGCTGGTCAGCTGCGCCACGTCGAGCTTGTCCAGCGATCCGAGGACATGCACGGTGGCGTCGGGCTTGGACCGCAGCATCTCGGAGAGCAGGTGGATGCCGATGAAGGACTCTCCGCCGATGAGCAGCACCGTCTTGACATCGTCGCGGTCCACGCGAGGCGTGCCGCATCGTGGCGTGAACTGGCTCGTGTTGGGTAGGTTGGTCTCGACGCTCCAGCTGATGACGTTCTCGAAGCCGCCCTTCTTGCCGGCATCGCCCCCCTTGGCCCGCCTCACGTACGCGCACACGGCCGCCGCCGTCGGCTCCCGGATCAAGGCTGGCAGCGGCGGCGCAATCTTGAACAGCTTCTTGATCTTGGCTTGCAGCCGCACCAGCAGGATGCTGTTGCCGCCCTTCTCGAAGAAGGAGTCGTTGATGCCCACCTCGGTCCCGAGTGTTGCTCGGAAGAGGGCGAGGATTGTTGCTTCGAGATCCTCGGCGCCCGTCGTCACTGCTGCGCCCGGAGATCCGTTGACTGCGGCCTTACCTGGTTGCACCATGGCCGTTGAAGGATGCACGAGCTCAAGCGGGCGCTCCAGGAGGTTCCGGCGATCAACCTTGCCGCCCAGGGTGACCGGCAGCTTGCTCAGGAACTGGTAGCCGTTGGGGAGCATATAGTAGTTGAGGCGCGGTTTGATCTTGCGGTGCAGGTGAGAGACGATGGCCACCTTGTCATTCTCGTCGGTCACGCTGGCCTTGGGGACAATGAACGCAACGAGTCCCTGCTCATCCGAGTCGACGGCGCGTGCGACGACGGCAATGTCTATCAGGGCACCGGTCCTCCTCAAGCTCTGCGACTCCTTGAAAACAACCTGCTCGACCTCACCGAGGTCGACGCGGAAGCCGCGGAGCTTGATCTGCTTGTCGCCGGCGATGCGGCCGTGAAACTCGAGCTGGCCGTCTGTGCGGAAGCGGCCTCGGTCGCCCGTCTTGAACATCTTGTTCCAACCACGCCTGCGGTCCTCTTCGGATGCAAAGGGGTCGTCGACAAACGAACGGGCGTTGGCTTCGGGGCGGTTCAGGTAGCCGGCCCCGACCTGAGCGCCGCCCACGACGAGCTCTCCGATGTGGCCAAGCGGCACGGGGTTCCCCTTGGTGTCCAGCAAGTAGTGGCGGCAGTTGTCCATGGGATAGCCGATGGGAAGGCTAACGATGCCCTCTTCCGGACAGTCGATCTTGGCAATGGCTGTCTGCACCACGAGCTCAGAGGGCGACCAGGTGTTGAACAGAGTCGCAGGGGTCCCCAAGTCGTAAAAGGCCCTGGCAACGCGCACAGGAAGCCGCTCGCCGGCCAAGTAGGCAACCCTGTACTTTGAGCATTTCTTGAGCGCTTCAGGGTTGACTTCCACGAGGAGGGAGAACTGCGTAGGAGTAAAGTAAGTGACGGAGACGCCCTCCTTCATCATAAAGTCGGCCAGAGCGGCGGGGTCCTTGCGAACCTCCCACGAGGCCATCGAGACGGTGGCGCCCGCCGTCAGGCCCGAGAAGATTTGAACAACGGAGAGGTCAAAGGACATGGTCGTGTGTGCGAGGAAGTTGTCGTTGGCCGTGAAGCCATAGTCTTTGTTCAAGGTGCTCAGCATGGCTTGCGTGTTGGATTCCTTCAGCACCACCCCCTTGGGAGTGCCCGTGCTTCCCTGGTTCGAGTCAGATGGGGCCGATTCTCTACTTTTCATCGATGTATCACTCGTTCAAGAGGCACTCACAGAGGTGTAAATCATGTAAAAGGGGTCGTCGGGATGTCGGGCGCGCGGCCGCGCCAAGGTCCGACCGGCGGCTGCAGCCCCCTCGATCCCGACGACCTGGGGGGGGACGGCGACTTTCGACAGGAGCTCGGCGGCCAAAGCGTCTTGTCCCGGTCCGACAAGAAGGATCCTGGCCCCGGAGTCGGCCATCATGAAGGAGAGGCGGTCGTGGGCAAAGTCGGTATCGAGTGCGACGTAGCAGGAACCCGTCATCAGGGCACCCAGCATGCCCGCCACGGCCTCGACACCGGGGAGCGCGATGAGCGCGATACGGTCTCCGGGCTTGGCGCCGGCGTCGACGAGCTCAGAGGCCACGCTCTCGGCCTTCTCGATCAGCTGCCTGTAGGATACGCTGCAGCAGTCAGAAGTTTTTATCGCCGTAGCTTGGGGGTGTTGTCTTGCCATCGTGGAGATCACATCGAGCACCCCCCTTCCCTCCCACTGGTTCGCCCTGGTCTCCGTGTTCCAGTAGTTCTTCTTCAGAAAGTCGACCTCGAGGGGCCCGCACATGCCGACCTCGTCAATGGGCTGGCGGTGGTCCTTGATGCAGCTCGTGAGAAACGTGTTGAAGTTGTCGAGGAAGCGTTCCATGTCTGCGTCGTGATAGAGGGCAGTGGCGTACTCAATCTTGAGATCGAGACTGTGCTCGGAAGTCTCAATGGCCTCGAGCTGGATATCAGCAGCGGTGGGAATATCGTCGGACTCGATATCCTCGACCACAAAGTCGACGGTCTGGTAGGTTGGCACGGGGCCGTGGATCTGGTAGTTGACAGCGATTTGGCCGACCGGCATGTGGCTGCTCATCTTCTTGACCTTCATGATGTCCACAATGGTGTCGAAAGGGACACCACTATGCGCCATGGCGTCGAGCGCGCGCGCCTTGGTGGCCTGGAACAGCTGGTCAAACGGCACGTCACAGTCATCTGTTCCCGCAAAGAGTCAGCATCGGCCCATGTACATACTCTCACCCGCGTGCTCCCGGTGCAGCTTGATGCGCTCCATTCCCCGGCGGGCATTGTCACTTACCATTGCATCGCACAGGCGCCAAGTTGACAAAGAAGCCCATCAGGGGGTCAGTGTCGGGGTGGGGCCTGTTGCCGTCAACCACCAGGAGGACCAGGTCCTTCTCCTCGGTGTACCGGTAGATGAAGGCTCGGAAGGCGGCCAGGACAAAGTGGAAGGGTGTTCCGCTGGACTGGGCCGCGATGCGCTTCATGCGGGCAAACAGCTTCGCGTCCAGGTTGGCCTTGACCTTGTGGCGATGCGGATCGCTGCGCGCAGGACGCTCGCCCTTGGCAAAGGGGAGCACCTTGCTTGACTGGGGCAGGCCCTGTAGGGTCGAGCACCACCAGTCGAGGTCTGGCTTCATCAGGTCCGAGGCCAGACGGGCGTTGTGCCAGAGGGTAAAGTCGACGTAGCTGAACTCAGGGGCTGAGACAGTTGCGAGGTCCTGACCAGTGCGGATGGCGTCGTAGACGGCGACAAACTGGGACATCATGGGAAACAAGCTGGCGCGATCGATGGAGATGTGGTGCGTCATGCCAACAATGGCCCAGTCCTCCTCGCTCAACTTGGCGAGTGAGTAGGTGGCCACCTCTCCGCCCTCGACGTTCATCTCGATCCTGCGGTTGTACCGGACAAACTCCTGCAGAGCTTCCTCCTTGTCGGATTCATTGCTTAAGTCCCTGTAGTCGATGCCGAGATCAAAGTCCTCCAGAGGCTCCTGCACGGCAAAGTCGTCGCCCTCGAAATAAGCCGTCCGCAGGGCAGGGTTTCGCACAGCCATTTCGTGGATGGCCCTTTGCAGGACAGGGTAGTCAGGCTTGCCCTTCATCCGGAGAACAATGGGCAAGTTGAGGAAGGACTTATCCTCGAGGAAGCTGTGCACGAACCAGAGGCGAGACTGGAAGGTGGATAGAGGAATGACATCGGTTGGCTGCGACTTGGTGAGCTGGCCAGTGGCCATGGCGGAGACCGTGCTCTCCTCCTCGCTGCTCTTGGACTCGGCGACGGCCTTCTTGTCGGACTTGTCCGTGGCAGCCTCCTTGGTCGCCGTCTTGGTCGTCACCATGCGGGCAGTCTTGGACACCAGTGCGTTGATGGACGCGGCGCCGAGGATGTCAAAGAGGGCAATGTCGACCTGGGCCTCCTTTCGGAACCATTTTCGGAACTCGACAGCCACGATGGAGTCCAAGCCATAGGCCGAAAGAGGATTGCCGGGGAGGATGGATTCTCTGGGTGTGGCCAGAACGCTTGCAATCTTCTCCAAGAACCCGTCTAGGAGAATCTCAGTCTTCTTCTCCACGTCGGGCTCCTCCCTCAAGAGTGCCAGCAGGTTCTTGGAAGCCTGGCCGGCACCCTCGGCTCCGAAATCGTGGTTGGAGTAAAGGTTCTTCATCAGGGGTTTGCTGGCCCAGTAGACCTCGGGAGAGATGAGGCCGACGCCGCTGATGATCTGGTGGCCAGTGCAGCCACGGGCAGTCAGGGCCGGGGCGGACTCTTCGGCCATGACGGCCTCCTCGAGCTGAAAGAGGAGCTCGTCTTCGTTGATGGTGTCCATGCCCATCCGGAGCATAATCTTCTGGAGCTCTTCGTTCTCGGCCACGACACCGACGCCGGTGACGGCACCAACGTTCATGGTCGTGCCCTTGAGGCCAAGCTCGCGGCGGTGACGCATGAGAGCATCGAGGTAGCAGTTGGCAGCTGAATAGTTGGCCTGGCCCTTGGAGCCGGCAACGGCAGCCAGAGAGGAGAAGCAAATAAAGAAGTCTAGGTCGATGCCGAGAGTTGCCTCGTGGAGGTTCTTTGTTCCCTCAACCTTGGGCTGGCAGCACCTTTGCCACTGCTTGTATGTCATGGTCTCGAGAGGCTTGTCCTGAAGGACCATGGCGGCCTGGAAGACGCCACCGAGGTCGGAGCCAATGGCGTCGATGCAGCGCTGGACATCGGCGCGCCTGGAGACATCGCCGCGGTGGACGTTGACCTCGACGCCGCGCTCGGTGAGCCAGTCAATCGTGGCCTTGGCTTCGGACTTGTCGGCACCAGATCGAGAGAGGAAGGCCAGCTTCCTGGCGCCCTTCCGCACCATCCACTGCGAGAGCGTTCGCCCCAGACCGCCAAGACCGCCGACGAGAAGGTAGTGCTTGGACGAGTTGAAGAGCTTGACGTGGCGGTAGCCGCTGTGCATAACGGGGACCATGTCCTCAGGATGGGGAACAAGAACAACCTTGCCGGTGTGCTTGCCCTTTTGCAGCAGACGGAAGCCCTGGATGACATCCGAGTAGGCCACCTCCTTGATGGTGGCGGGCGCCCTGATTTCGCCGTTGGCGATCAAGGCACAGCATTCCTTGAACAGCTTTTCGCCGAGAGCCTCGTTCTGTTCAAACATGGTGACGAGGTCGATCGAGGCAAAGAGGACGTTCCGTCGGAATGGGTCCATAGCAATCTTGCTGTTCTCGTGGATATCACGCTTTCCAATTTCCAGGAAGCGGCCAAAGGGAGCAAGACAAGCCCAAGAGGCGTGGAGGAGGGGACCAGCCAAGCTGTTGAGAACAACATCGACGCCCTTGCCGTTGGTAGCCTCCATGACGCCCTTGGCGAACGAGGCGTCTCGGGACGAGAACATCTGGTCCTCGGTAAGGCCATAGACGTCCTTCAGGAGCTGTCGCTTGGCGGGAGAGCCGACGGTAGCGAGGATGCGAGCACCGGCGCGTTGAGCAATCTGGACGGCCATCTGACCGACACCACCAGCGGCGGCGTGAATAAGAACCGTCTCGCCCTTGCCAAGTCGCGCCGTGTGGTCCAGAGCAAACCAAGCGGTGCTCAGAATCAGGGGCATGGCGGCCGCGTCCGCATAAGACAGGCTGTCAGGGACCTTGGCGCACCACGAAGCAGGGTTGCGCACCACGCTCCTGTGTGCGCCCTGGCCGGGACGGAGAGCTACAATACGGTCGCCGACCTTGAAGTCCGTGACGCTGGCTCCGACCTTGGTGCAAATGCCGGCGCATTCGTCACCAAGCTTGAAGTCCTCGATGATGCCCATGCTGGCGGCGATGTCGCGGAAGTTGATGGCAGAGGCCTTGGTCTCGATCTCGACCTCGTTGTCGTTGATCTCGCAGTCCATGATTTCCGTATCTTCGCCAAAGTATAGAGTCTCCAGCAGACCAACCTTGCCGATCCTGAGAGCAACGGGGTTTCTGGTCTGGGGCGTCCTGAGCGGCTCCAGGCGAGGCTCCTGGTTGGGGCCGTTCCTGAGCTTGCAGTTGCGGTCATCGTCAGCCTCGACTCTGGGGATGTAGAAGGTGCCGTTGCGCTCCGTAACCTCATCCTCGGTGATTCTGCTGTCAAGGAGGCGCAACATGTTGGCTGCCACGGACTGGGCAGAGGATTCGAGACCAAAGTCGAACGTCACAGCACGGAGAGTATCGTTCTCAGACCGGGCTGTGCGGACGAGACCCATGTACATGGCACATTCCGGGCGACCGGCCTCGAGGGTGGCACTCTCGGTCAACCAGATGGTGTTCTTCTCGAGAGACACAAGCAGGGCCTGTGCACCCTCGAAGACGGCGCTGTCTGAGGCAGACTCGTCCAAGCAAGCCAGGACGACGACATCGTCCGAGAGAACGGCAGTGCTGGTAGCCAGCTCGGCGAAAGTGGTTTGAGTGATTCTGCCGCTGTATGCGGATTGCAACTCGCTGAGGATGGCAGAAGCGCGGTCAGAAAGCCTGCCGGCAGGCACAACGACGGAAACCTCAGACGGCAGCTCGAAAGGCTCGGCGGCCTTGCGAAGGGCCGCGCAGACGGGCCCGGAGAAGACCTCGTGGAAACCAGCAGCAGCAGCTTCGTTCTGGCCGTCGAGGAGGACACAGCCGCTGTCGTTCATGAAAGAAGTGGCATCAACGCCGGCCTCGCTGACGATGACAAGATCATAGGAGCCAGCCTGGGGCTCGGCAACGCTGACAAGACCCCTAGAGATCTTGGACAGCTCCTCAGCCGCCTCCTCAGCAAACTCCTTGCCCTGCAGCGAGCAAACGTCGAGTTTCTTGAAGCGTCGGCGCTCACCCTTGCCAGCGCCCAGAGATCGGACAACTTCCCTCGTGCGCTCCAGATCCGACGTGACGTGCAGGATCGTGGTGTTGGGAAACTGGTGGGCGAAGATATCCACAACATCCGACAGGGGCTTCCCCTTGACATTGGTCATCATGTCAAAGCACGGCTGCCAGCGCTGGCGATAAAATAGCACGCGAGGACCTTGACCCTCGGGGGCCTCACGCCCGAGAGACGTGACCTCGAGGCCGGCAATCTCCATCATGAGCTCGCCCTGGTCGTTCTGCATCATCATGTTGTTGATGGCGACGCGGGGAGACGGGAGCTGCGTGAAGGAACCGACTTGGAAGTGCTTGGTGGCCCTGTTGTTCTTCCAGTCGAAGAAGTTGCCCGAGATGGCCAGAGAGCGGAAAAAGGACGGGACGTAGGGCTCGTCAATGGGACGGCCAAGGCGGTCTTCAATGGCGTGGTAGATGACGTGGAAGAAAGAGTCCAGGAGGGTAGGATGCAGGACTGTCTCATCACCAGCGTCGTTTGGCAGGACGGATGGCTCGAAGACAAGGTCACAGACGGAGAAGCCAACGCCGCTCTCGACGTTGCCCTTCAGCAGGCGGAACTTTTCGCCGTAAGCAAGACCGAGTTCAGCCATGTTCTTGTAGAAGCTGCCGACGGGCATCGAGCGGTACGTCTTCTTGCGCAGGTCTGCGAAAGAGGTGCCTTCAGGATAGGCGGCGGTATACTCGAGAGGAGCGGCGTCGCCCCTCTCGACGCTAATAATGCCGTGGCAGTGGCTCGTGCAGTTGGAGGTCTCGTCGTACGAAAAGACATTGAACTCGTACCAGTTGTCAGAGTGGCTCTTGGCAGACAGGGTCACCGGCTTGAGTTCCAGGAGAACCTCAACCCCCTCATCCGTGTTTGGTATCAGCAGCGCGTTCTTGACGACAATGTCCTTGAAGTGGATCATCTTGACACTGTCAATCTCGTCGGTGCGGATGACAGCCTCGATGGCCATGCTGATGTACCCGGCACCGGGGAACACAATCTTGTTCTCAACAACGTGCTCGTTCAGCCAGGGCAGCTCACTCATGCGCAGGTAGTTGCGGAAGATGGGGTGCTTGGCGATGGAACCAGCAACGCGGTGGCCCAGGGTCGAGTGGCGAAACTCCCTCTGGCGGTGCTCCTTGATGTGGCGGGTCTCGGACCAGTAGCGACGATGGTCCCACGTGTATGTGGGCAGGTCAGCGAGCTTATCGCCAGTCGGGGTGTTGACCAGGGAGCCGTCCGCTGCGCGGCTGAGGTTCTCGTTTGCGGAGACCAGATCAACGGGATAGCCCAGAGAGAAGAGGGTGCCCACCATGCTCAGGAGGCCTTCAAAGTCGGGCACACCGCGGGTGAGGGAGGCAACATATGGCAGATCAAGCTTAAGCGCCTGAACGGTCTGGCGAGCAGGTCCCTTCAGGGCCGGGTGAGGACCAATCTCAACCAAAACGTCAATGTTTTTGTCATCCTGCTCATCAAGGAGAATGCCAGTGAGGGCATCAGAGAAGCGCACGGCCTGAACCATGTTGGCTGCCCAGTACGAAGCGCCCATCTTCTCGTGGTCCGCGAGGCGGGACGTGACGCTTGAGAACATGCGGCACTTGGCAGGCTGCGTCTTGAAGCTTGAATTGTTTTTCAGCGCGTTCTCGTACGCAGGTGCAAGAGGGAACATATGGTGGGAGTGGAAAGCCTGCTTGACGATGAGCTGGCGGACGAACACCTTCTTCTCCGTCAGCTTCTCCTTGAGCTCCTGTATGGCGTCTTCATCTCCGGAGACGGTCATGGTGGAAGGGCTGTTGACGGCGGCAATGGTCAAGCGGCCAGCAAAGGGCTTGAGCTCCTCCAGACACTTGCTTTCCGGCAGCCCGACGGCCATCATGCCTCCTCGAACGCCGTCATCCCGGCTCGCAGACATGTAGCGACCTCGATAATAGGCGGCGATGAGGGCGCCCTCAAAAGTGAGAATGCCGGCGGCGTACGCAGCCCCCATCTCACCGGAAGAATGGCCCACGACGGCTGAAGGCTTGATACCCCATGTTCCCATGAGATCGATCAGCGCCAGCTGCAGAGCGGTACAAATGGTTTGAGAGTAGAGCGTCTCGCCGAGAAGGGAAGTTTCCTTGGTCTTGCTCAGCTCCGCGACGATTGACCACTCCGGGCCGTCCGGCAGCTCTTTCAGTACTGTATCGCAGCGATGCAGGCTTTGGCGGAAGTGCGGACACTCGTCAATGAGCTGGCGACCCATGGCGTACCACTGAGCACCCTGTCCGGTGAAGATGAAGCCGAGCCGGGGGGCCGTGTTCATGGCCGCGGTCCAAGGGGCGGCGGGACGAGGCGTGCGTAGCTGTTCCCCCAGGCCGGTGGAGTCGCTCGCAACGACAAAGGAGCGCTGGCTGTGCATGGTGCGGCGCGTAGACAGACTGTAGGCGAGGTCGGCAATCGTGACGTCGGAGTTCTCCAGATACGTGGACAAGGTCTCCTCGGAGAGCTCGCCGGCCTTGGGCGAGTGGGAGGTCAGGGGAACAAGATACGGACGGGAGTGAACACCGTTCGCAATTGGCTCCGAGGCAATCGGCGCTGGCAATTCGTCACCCTTGGTGTACTCTTCAAGCACGACGTGAGCGTTGGTGCCGCCGTAGCCAAAGGAGTTGATACTGGCACGACGAGAAACACCTTCAGGGACCTTCCATTCGGTGACGTTGGTGGGAACAGCAATTTTCCAGTTGTCAAAGTCGATCTTGGGGTTGGGATTCTTGAAGTGCATGTTGGGAGGGATGAGGCCGCGCTCAAGAGCCAGGGTGGTCTTGATGACACCGGCCAGGCCGGAAGCGCCCTCGAGATGGCCAATGTTGGTCTTGACGGAACCGACGTAGAGGGGCTCCTCACGGCCAGGGGCAAAGACGGCGCCGATGGCGCGAGTCTCGAGAGGATCGCCAGCAGCGGTACCAGTACCGTGAGCCTCAAAGTATTGCGTGTCATTGGGGTGCAGTCCGGCCTTCTCGTAGGTGGAGCGCATGAGCTGCTCCTGGGCCACCGAGTTGGGCAGCGTGATGCCATTCTTTTTGCCGTCGTGGTTCGTGCCAGTCGCGCGGACGACAGCGCGGATGTTGTCGCCGTTGGAAAGCGCACCAGACTTGCGCTTCAGGATTGCGCAGGCGATACCCTCACCGCGGACGTAGCCGCTGCCGGAGGAGTCGAAAGCCGCACAGCGACCGCTGGTGGAAAGCATGCCCAGATCGGTCATGGTCACGAAGATGTTGCTGTCAAAGTGCAGCGACGAGCCAACAATGATGGAGATGTCGGACTCGCCGTTCTGCAACGTCTGGTTGCCGAGATGAAAACAGACCAGCGACGAAGAGCAGGCAGTGTCGACTGTGACACTGGTACCATGGAGATCGTAAAAGTACGAGATTCGGTTGGAAAGAATGGCGTCTCCAGTGCCGGTGACCTATTCGCAATGTGGCCGTTAGCACTCATGTTTGTAGGCTCAGGGACACTGCACATACAGTGTACTTGGGATAGTATTCCAGGTCCTTGGTCAACATGGAGTTGTAGTCGTTGGTAAAGCAGCCGCAGAATACGGAAGTGGAAGATCCCCGGATCTCCTGGAGAGTGATTCCAGCATTCTCCAGAGCTTCGTAGACGACCTCGAGCAGCAGCCGCTGCTGAGGATCCATGGCCTCGGCTTCTTTTCCAGAGATGCCGAAGAAACCAGCGTCAAATTCCCCAATATCCTGATCGAGAAAGTAGCCGAAGCGAGCATTGGTCTGCAAGCAGCGTCAGTTATATAGTTCCTCGAGCTGCTTGATGCAGACCTCTGGCAGCGCCTTGCACTTACAGTGGCCTTGTGCGTAGGCTCGGGATGGAAAAAGGCATCCACGTTGAACCTGTCCTTGGGCATCTTCTTCTGAACATCACGCTGCTCAGCGATGCTGTCCCAGAGCTTACTCGGGGTGCTGGCTCCTGGGACTCGACAGGCAAGGCCGACGATGACGCTAGGGTCGTCGGTGCGTTCGTTCACTCGGGCGGCCATTGTGATCAGATGGGGGGCTGAGCTGAGCTAAGAATAAATAAGTGGTGAAAAAGGAGAGATCTGATCTTGGAGCTCGGGGGTGAGTCAACGCTGGACTAGACCGTGCAGGTGATGTTGCGTGGTGTTGCCTCCTAATGAAGGTCTAGAGAAGAGGGAGTGCTATTTTAGTTGTTGTGCGAGTGCCACTGAGGGCGAAGTGAAGCTTCCTCTTCTCACTAACAGACCTGAGCCCCTAATCTAGTCGCGTGATGAGGGAGACGATTGCAAATCTATGCTGCTGCGGGATAATGACTGCATCAAGGTTTAGTTGTCAGTCTCTCTAATAAGGGTTGTTGACAACACCAACGTCCAGTGTCGAGCGAGAGGGAAAGAGCCGAGCGAGCAGAGCTGGACAGCAAAGACGGAAGAGAGAGCAGACGGCCGAAATGAGCAAAGGTAAGTCGCACCGAGACCGCGCGGCGGCATCCTCTATAAAGAATCAAGAGGCTCTGTCGCCGACCCCACGAAGACTATGCCGTGGTGCCTCGGCCAGCCCGATTTGTCGTACTTCGAGCCTAATTTGCCTGATCTCACGATGGGATCTCCGGAACCCTACGGAGCATCCTCCCGGCACTGGCGGCCGTCACCGTTCGGCTCCGGAATGGGATTTGTCGTGGTGGTCCCCGGCTCTCGGGCTCAGGAACAGGCCGGTCCACATAGCCAGCCATGCATGGCCAACCACATGGCCTCCTGGCCTGGTCTGGCCTCTCAGGAGGGAGGACAGTCGAAGCCTGCGGGAACGGGCCCGTAGAGCCATTTGTTTGCGGAGATGCATGCTCAAGGTCCGGAAAGGCCTCCCGTGCCGTGAGACTTCTCTAGCAGGGGAGGATCCATACTGTAGCCGTTGATGCAGGGCTGGACGGAAGAGTCAGCAAAGGATGACTTTGAGGTTGTCTAGGAGATACATGTAGATACCCAAGGCGCTTCAGGTCGGATGTATCTCCAGTTCCAAAAGACCAGGGGTTTAATCCCTTTCGCATCGGGGGAGCACGACCTCGTGCATGTGGTAAGGATGGGGACTGCTGGAAAGGGGGGAGGGTTCGACTTGGACATTACCAAGTCGATGTTGTTTCAATCTACCTATGTAGAAAAGCAGGCCCAGCCACACGATATCTGCTTAGATTCTTGCAGAAGTCATCCCGACAACTTTGTGTTAAACACACCCCCTACCCTGTCGGCCTTCTCACAGCAGCCTGACAGATGGAGTTCATGTGCTGTCACCACCCCAACAATGGTTTTGAGACTGGGCACAGATTGATGATGGATCCCGAATATCGCCGCTTCAAACATCCATGTGTAGGCTGCCTATGGCATTTGCAACTCGCGGATTGTCGAGGGTAGGACTGAGGGTGAGCAATGTGAGTCAACCGGTCAGAGCGGGACGCGTAAGGGAACAATCGACTGCGCTGGCTAGCGTTTCTCTGTGCTGCTGCCTTGCCGGTTTTCCGCGCACGACGCAAGACGGCAGGCAGTTGATTACCTTGGTTTGGCCGATCGCAGCATGAAACATAACTCCTAGGTGCAAGTCCAACAACGCGTTTCGACGGATGTTCCTGACGCGAACCCTGCGACTGTCAGCCTAATAGCCAGGCTTGCATCCTGGTTCCTGTGGGCTGACGTAAAGGATCGCTGGAAAGAGGAAGGGTAATTCAGCCTACTCTCCGATGCGATGACGGATAAACATGGGAAAGATGACGGAACAAGACACGGATTCACGCACGGGATAATCGGCGTATCTGCTCCACAGCCACATATATTCTGAAACGGCCGGCAGCCGGCGAGAGGCAACAGCACGGCATGCTGAGCCTGCACCCCCTGCTGTGGCAGTGGGTGGTTATGGGCAAGATGGGGCGAGATGCGTGAGATGGCTTGCTAGGGTGCTTTCCATGTGGCATTCCCACCTCATGTGGTCCCTTGGCACCCATCCTGTGCAGGGCAGGACCTTGGACCTCCTTCGGCGATTCACAGAGGATCATCTTGAGCTCATAGTGCCATCCTGAGATTCCGGTCGGCGACTTAACCGCATAACCGAACGTGACTATTGTTTGCTCACCGCAATCACCACGGACGGAGTATGCAGGCGTCGCATTGACGGCTACCGCAGAGTGGTCGCACTCGGGCCATCTGAACGCGCCTGGTCTTCCACGTGCTGGTGCCAGTGCCTGGAACGGGGGAATGAATTTCTCAGATCATGCAAGCTCAGCAATGACAAGAGATAAGCTCGTTCGGGCAAATGTCACCACGGCGGCGGGCGCTCGGGCAGGTCGCAAGAGACGTCATCGGTCCTGAGAAGTAGGGCGGCGCGCCGTCGTTGCAGGATCACGACCCTGCAGCCGGTCTCCGGGTATCTGGCGGATGCTGGCAAGCGGATCCGCGACTGCACGGAGCATCTGCGAGTGTATGGCGAATGAATGAGCGACAGCATGAACGAAATATAGCTCCTGTCTCCTTTTTCTCCGCGCAACAGCAAAATGGCTGGCGTTGGGTCGACGACCTTGTCAGTATCCATCCAGGAATCACTGGGACGCCGCGGCATGATGAACAACTGATGAAAGCGCGAATGACGGCATTGGGGAAGACAGCGAGCAAGCATCGCCATCTTGACCGAAACTAGGAGCATTTTCCGATGCTAAAGTTCCCGGCGGCGTGGTTCAACCTAATTGAAGCCGCAGCGGGGATTATTTCAACGTTGCAGTTTCTCATAGGTTTGAACGGGTGAGGTTTGATCGTTGACCAATGAAAGCCTAAGCCGCAACCCTTGTCACTATTGCATTGCCCTAAACAGCTCCGCGATCCGGGAAATGGCTTCCCAAGGCCCGAAGGGCAATCCGGTCGAGATATGTGACAGAATTGCCAAGCGGCCACCTTCGACTGACTGTCCCCGCGCGGCTTACAGGGCCCTCGGACGCCACCGCAGGACTTGGTGGCACCCATCAGTGGTGAAAGAGAACAAGGAGCCACCGTTCCCGCCTTATGGGGGTGTCCGGCAGGCACCGGCAGCGGCGACGGTGTTACCTGCCATGCGCAGTTTGCACTGATTCGCAGACATCCTGTTCAGGGCAGGTACGATAACTGGAGTCTATTGGAGGGTATGGAGGGATGAGAAGAGAGGCATCAAGGAGTACCAAGGCCTCAGAGTCGGTGGCTGCATCATTCATCCAGGATCCAAAAGGGCGGGTCTGCGGGGTTTGGGAGAAGCCCCGGTGCGAGGGTGAAATGGTGAGCGCTGAGAAGTGGTTACAGGCCTCTGCTGCGGCGAGATCTGGGCGATTGCGTGCGCGTTCAGCCAGGCACTCGAGCGGCGAAGCCTGCATGGTCCCAGGACTGCGACGCCTGGCGTCGGGCATTGAAGCAAGCGCGAGAGCGTGTTGCAGCCGTGGTTTGGCCGAAGATCCGATGGAGAGTCTCCAATCGCGGACGCCGACAGGACTCGGCGTAAGCAGTGCCGGCAAAGGAGGGGGCCAAGACGCTGTGCTGAGCCGTGGGAGGGCTGAAGAGGCTGGGTCGACGTGAGACGGATGTTACGGGGCGGCGCCAGTCGCTTATCGTTGGTGGTATGCCGCGAGACTTTGGTCTGATTGGAGGCGGGCTGATGGCGGCTTGGCTCCGAAGGGCCTGTCAGGGCGTGGCGCACCGAGGCCGAGAAGGGGAGAGCATGAAGAGAGGTGGTGAAGCCTGTGACCGATGGTGAAGAGGGTTAGTTTGAGTCTCGCCAAGTCTGTATCACCTAGTCTGCGCCCTCTGGATGGAGAGGGAGCATCCAGGATGCCTTGACCTTGGCCACCCCTATCGCGCCTGGAGTGGCATTCCGCGCGCTTCGTCCTCCCAATCGTTTGGCCAGGTAGCATTCAATCGCCGAGGTCGCTTGGCTGCGTCATAAGACCCAGACGACAAGAGCTTGGGTCCCCAAGGCCAATGGGGAAAAGTCAGGCTTATGGTCCCCTGCCTCGGCATCTCAAGGCTTCCCGCCGATGGTGCCGGAAAGAGACGATCCCTCGTGGGCGATGCAGGTGGGCAGCGTTCGCTCCCGTCTCGTTGTCCCAGTGCGGGCAGAAAAAGGTCCGGGCAGGGTCACGATAACGACGCTCGTCAGCGTCGTCTTTCTTTCTTTTGCGAGGCAACAGAGTTTGCGGGCCGCGACATTGGCAGTCGTCGACGAGACGAGCGAAGTGGGTGGTGGGGAAGAGAGTCATACAGTGTGTGATACAGTGTGTGATACAGTGTGACGAGGTCTGATGGTCTACTTGGTACAGTTACGCTGCCTTCTGCATACACGGAGCGCGTTTCGACCTGCCTACCCTATAACTCCGTCAGGCAAACCAGAATGGGCTGACGACACAATGTTGGGAGCAAGCTTAGCTTGTTTCACCTTGAGCCGTGCTTTCGGCACTCACGAGCATGTGCATGGAGATCGGCCGACCTCGTTGCGCTTCTTCTTCTATTGGCCAGCGAAAAGACCGCTGAGACGGGAAAACGTGCCTCCTCCTCGCATGCACCGACCGAGTTGCTTGACAAGCACCATTCATAGGACAGCGGATGCGTTGCTGTGTACAGTACATAGCTTCAGCACTACTTTAGACGCATATTCAAGGTGCATCCGTGATGGATACGAGGAAACGCGGCTGGCGCCGCACGCTCTCGCTCTCAAAAGTATTGATTCCACCGAGATGTGACTGTCCGCAACGAGGGCATTTGTTTCAATCAGTCTGATTGGCCATTCCGAGCCGCCCTCTGTGACGGGGTATTTAGATTCTACACGTATCATGAGGTGCAGAAGAGGCACAGCAAAACAAAGAAAAAAAGAGAGACATGACTCTATATCGGTGTGCGCGTCCCGCTTTCGTTTCCCGCGAGGTCCTGGTCGGCGGATGTACGAGCACACATTTGGAAAGGCAAGATGAGCAGTGGTGAGCTGTCACGCCAACGAGGTGCTAGACATGGGACACTCCTCTCCTATGCCA